CGTGTGCAGCTTCACTAAGCCCGGAACCTTACGCCCACTAAGCCCACTGAAGCCTTGTAAAGCCCTAAGCCCTGAACTGTTTCGTTCAGATGAGGCTCCTGGTGCTGTGGCCCGGGATTCGCGCAGTGGCCCGACCGCTGCCCGTTCGGACCGAGCAAGGAGAGGGCGCAGGGTTGGGGGCCCAAACGTCGAATTGTAGGTGTTATCCAGTGGGCCTCGAAAATGGGAACCTTGCAAGCCCTACGGTGACCCCAGGCCCTCAACCGGCAGGTCAGTTTGGGTGGCAGCGTAACGCGCCTGTGTTACGCGGCAACGTGCCTTCCTGTCACCCATGGGGCTTAGGGCTTGGGCTTATTTTAGGCGAGGGCTTAAGGGTGCAGAAGTTGTCTTCTTGTTGGCATTCTATCTGCGCAACGTGCTGCGTCCGACGGCTATCCGCCGTTTATAAGGGGTTATGACATACAATGGTCATTTGCTGTCTGTGTGCCGTCCTCATGCGGGGCGATCGCGGACAGTACTGGCAGCTGCCACTGCTCCACCCAAACCCTGTATAATGCAAAGCCTATTAGCCCCAACTCCTAAACCCTAAACCCTAAACCCTGAAGGACAGCGACTTTTGCGAGCAAGGCTGCTACGTTGAGGTGCCGCACGGGATCATCCTGGAGGCGAGGTCCCTCTCCTGGGGCCTAAACTCCAGGAGCCTGGTTTAGGGTTTAGGGTTGCGGTTCAGGGCAGTTTTAAAGGGCAGATATTATTATGTGCCTCAATCGGAACATGTGTATTCATGCCACGACGCACTCTTACAGACCTGGTTTTGCTTGAACATGCCCCCCCCCCCCCCCCCCAGCTTCAAAGGACCATGAAGCCACATGTAAACTTGGCCGGCTGGGGTCGCACTTTCGGCACGAGTTGCTCTTGTTTCTTTCGTGCTGGTCTTAACTGGGGCAGCCCAGGGATTAGGGTTTTAGGGTTTAGGGTTTCGGGTTTGTAGGGGAAGGGTTTAGGACACCGCTACTCCAAACCAGCGCAGAGAACCCTCCTCAAGTATGGCTGTGAGAACATCTGTCTTGGCCTCGTTTATTGCATGGTCCATCCTCTGGCAACGGGAGACCCCCAAGAAATGCGGAAAAACATCTGGGAACCTTCGGGAAGCTTAGGGATCTTTCGAGAGTATAACATTAGGCGACACCTGCCACCTTCGACCCTCAGCCCCCGACCTCAAACCCTCGACCCTGATGGTCTCGCCTACTGGGAGGCTTTGTGTGGCATGGAGAACTACAAGGCCCAGATGAGGGTTTGGGGGTCAGGGCTTTGGGGTTTTGGAGGTTTAGGTTTGGGGTCTGGGAAACGAATTGGAGCCCCAATACTAACCCTAAACCCTAAACCCTAAACCCTAAACCCTAAACCCTAAACCCTAAACCCTAAACCCTAAACCCTAAACCCTAAACCCTAAACCCTAAACCCTAAACCCGAAACCCTAAACCCTAAACCTACTGGCTCTTTCCGGTGCGAAGCTGTGGCCGCAGTTGGGGTCCCAGGTTCGCTTCGCGGTCGGCCATGTTTCATCGCCACTGCTCGCAGATGCCAATGTTTGCCATGAGGGTTTAGGGTTCAGGGTTGTCTTGTTTTGTTGGGGAAGTGTTGTATCATTCTGTTATTGCTCTGGTACATTGTTGTGTGTTGACATAACAACTTGTTATTGTACTGTTATTATATTGGCTGATCTTGTTGTGCTATTGTTCTGAGATTGTTATGAGAGTGCTATGAGATTGTTCCGATATTGTTATGATACTGTTATGACATCGTCATGTTGTCGTTAGGATATTGTTATGATGGTGTTGTGACAGTGTTATCATTGGACTTGTTATTGTACTTGTTATTGTATCGTTATTATTATATGTATATCTTTGTAATATGTAGAATGTGTATATTTAGTTTTTTTGGGTGAATGTTGCCCGATAAAATAGTATATGATATGACTGCATTGCTATCTCACATGATATTACAGAAGTGTGTTGGCTTAGAATGTTGCATTGGAAGCAGCCTTGCAACTGGAGTGAAGCACCCGTTGACCGACTGAACCACCCAAAAAACCACCGAGCCTCCTCAGAATTTGCTTCGGTCAACCCTAAACCCTAAACCCTAAACCCTAAACCCTAAACCCTAAACCCTAAACCCTAAACCCTAAACCCTAAACCCTAAACCCTAAACCCTAAACCCTAAACCCTAAACTCTCCTTGCTGAGTTCTGAGCAGGTAACCTTTCAACCATTTTGGATACTACATCGCGCTCCCAAGTCCAAAGCCCCTTATGAACCCTCCGGCCAAAACCCTTCAGAACCAAAAAATACTAAGTGAGGGGTCGCCTGTGGTTGATTCCCAGCCTGCGTAGGGAGCCTAAGAGTAAGATCGGCGGCCGCCAGGCTTCTCGGAAGTGCTTGACGAAGGCAGGATTTAGGGTTTAGGGTTTAGGGGTTTAGGGTTTAGGGTTTAGGGTTTAGGGTTTAGGAAGCCCTAAACACCCTTCCGCGAATTTTAGGAAAACCACCACAAAGAAGTTGGTTGAGGTCGGCAAGGTGGGCTGAAGGGCTTCCGGTTTGAGGAGCGTAAACAGTCCAGGACTCAGCTCGGGGTTCAGGAGGGTTTAGGGCTTGGAGAAAGGGTTTCCCGGAACCTTAGTCAACTTGCTCGGCGAGTAGCTGAACTTCAGAGACTTGCATATGCGAAGCTGAACCTTTTTGAAAAAATGGAAGTTTGTGAAGCTTAGCCGGATATCCAACACCCCTAAAGCCCCAAGCCTAGCCCTGGTGCCATCATAAGCCCCCAAATCCTGGAACCCTCAACTGCCATGCCAGAAGCCCTAACCGCCCCCCCCCCCCCCCAAAAAAAAAAAAAAAAAAAACTAAAAGCCCGAAAAACCCGAAGAGCCCTACAAACCCTATAAAGCCTAAAGGCTCTAAGAACCCTAAAGGCCCTGCAAACCCTATCAACCTTAAAAGCCCTAGACCCTATAAACCCCACAAACCCGACAAACCTTTTCAGCCCTATAAACCCTACACGCCCTATGAAGCCCCATAAAGCCCGATAAAGCCCGATAAAGCCCATAAGCCCTACAACGCCTATAAGCCTTACAAACCATATAAAGCCCTCTAAAACCCTCTAAAGCCCTATAAAGCCCTATAAAGTAAAGCCCTATAAAGCCCAATAAAGCCCGATGAAGCACTATAAAGCCCTGTAAACCCCCATAAGCCCCAAACCCCCTCTGCAGGTGCCACCACACCAGCTCAAGGCCTTCGACCTTTGCTCAGACAACTGAGAGCAGTTTAGGGTTTAGGGTTTAGGGTTAGGGTTTAGGGTTTAGGGTTTAGGGTTTAGGGTTTAGGGTTTAGGGTTTAGGGTTTAGGGTTTAGGGTTTAGGGTTTAGGGTTTAGGGTTTAGGGTTTAGGGTCCTCTGATTGAGGGCTTATGATAGGGGTTTTTATGATAGTTTTTTTTTTATGATAGGGGTTTTACTTACTTCGCCTTTTGTCGAACTTTAAACTTTTTGGGCCTCCTTATTTATTCGGAGTATCAAAGTTGAACCTTTTTCCCCCTAGGTTCTAGGAGAAGTAAGTTTATGATAGGGTCTTTATGATAGGGTTTTTATGATCGGGTTTTTAATGATAGGGTTTTTATGAAAGGGTTTATGATAGGGTTTATGATAGGGTCTAAAATGGGGTTTATATGGCTTAGGGTGTCATGAGAGCTCCGGATGTTCTAGAAAAAAACCCAGACGGGCGCAGACTTCGGAGAACTGACCCGGCTGAGCAGGGCATCCTGGCAAGAGGGCAGGGCAGATGGGAGAGAGTGAGCTTGGACGGATGGATGTCGGAGGCTGCAACCCCCCCCGCCCAAAACCAAAAAAAAAACCTGAACACCCTGAGAACCCCAGAAACACTAAGAACCTTAAGAACCCTGAAAACCCTAAACTCTAGAGAGGATTGGGGTTTAGGGTTTAGTCGAGCATGTTGGGTTTGCCGTTCAGGAAATTTAGGGTGTAGGGATTTAGAGTTTAGAGTGTAGATGCTGGTTCAGGTTAGGGTTTAGGGGTGGCAGTCCCCCAGCCCGAAACCAAGAGAAGAAGCACCTGACTTTTCGAGGCTCTGCTCGAGGGCCTGTGCTTCTTGGATGTTTCGGGATCGGGCTGGTTTAGGATTTCAGTGCCGCTTTTCCCCCCCCAGTGCTGCAAAAGCAGGGCTGGCGGCAGCCGAGCATGTGGAAAACTGCGTGCCCCTCAATCCGGAACCCCCCCCCCCCCCCGCCAGACCCCTAGAGCTCTTCTAGTTTCATTCTTTCATCAGAGGGTAGCGAGAACCCCCATAGAGTGAAAGTTGTACCCTAAATCGCAAACTCTAAACCCCTTGCTCTCTCTCTCTCTCTCTCTCTCTCTCTCTCTCTCTCTCTATCTCTTTTTCTATCTATCTATATATATATATATATATATATCTGTGTGTGTGTGTGTGTATGCATCTTGTCTATATATATATATACACATACATACATACATACATACATACATACATACATACATACATACATACATACATACATACATACATACATACATACATATGTACATATGCCCCCCCCCTTTCCCGAAGTTTCAGTAGCTTATTCGTTCAGCGCTTTCGACGTCTTGAGGTTGGGGGAAAATTTGCATATGTATATGTAGAAGATCTAGAGTATATACCCATACAGTAAGAAGACTAATAAATGAAATATGTATATGTATATGTATAAGTATCTGTATATGTATATGTATATGTATATGTATGTGTATGTGTATATGTATATGTATATGTATATGTATATGTATATGTATATGCATATGCATATGGATATGTATATGTATATGTATATGTATATGTATGTATATATATATATATATATACATATACGTGTGTGTGTGTGTGTGTGTGGCTTTGTAAAGATGCCATGGCCTGTAGAAGGATGCTGCTTCAGGTCACCTCCGTTCGGGACCGAAAGGCCGAGAAAGAGAAGAAGGAGGAGCTTCTGAGCCCTGGCTCAGTTCGGGGTTTAGGTTTGGGTTTAGGGTTATTTGGGGTTTAGGGTTTCGGGCTTAGGGCTTAGGGTTTAGTGTTTAGGGTGTAGGGTTGAATTAGGGTTCAGGGTTTCGGGTTGTTGGAATGAAAATCCAAAGCCCAGCAGATCTCAAAGGCCCCCCTCTGTCATATTGGATGTTCCTGTGTACTTTAAGCATGGCGACGGACTAGGGACTCGACAGTGTTCCAGGTTTATGCGGTTTCTAGTTGATCCATGACACCCCATGTACCCACTCCCCCCCAGAAAGGCACAAACTGCCCTCATTTGGGCCATATCTCGTTGGGGGCAGTCTTTGGATGGTATCCTGTGAGCGTGGGGGCGTAAGGGGTCGCACACCTAAACCCTAAACCCTAAGCCCCAAACCCTAAACCCCAAACCCTAGACCCCAAACCCCAAACCCCAAACCCTAACCCTAAACCCTAAACCCTAAACCCTAAACCCTAAACCCTAAACCCTAAACCCTAAACCCTAAACCCTAAACCCTCTTGAGGGGTGCTGGCATGCTGGGGTTCTTAAGGTCGGAGGGACGAGTAGTTTAGTCTTTGCGCGCTCATGGCTTCTACCTGGAGGTTCATGGTACTTCTTTAACCAAGTATAACTGTACTTAGAACTGTACTTATAACCATATTAGGGCACTTAAGGGGCTTATAAGTACTTATTCACCAATTATACCTGTACTTGTAACTGTACTTATAACCATATTAGGGCACTTAAGGGGCTTGTAAGTGGGTTCGAAGTACAGTTATAACTGGTGAATAAGTACCCTGAACCTCCAAGTAGGGTCTACAGTTGGGATGTTCATCCTCCTTATGCTGACAGTCCTTAGCTTAATAGGGATTGTACAATCGGGGGTACTATATTCCCTATTAAGGACTGTTAGTTTTATGGGGGAACATCTCGAGTCTAAAGTGTCAATCTTGGGCTTCTAAAAGGGGAGGCTGAGAGGCCTGTTTGGTGAGCGTTTCAGGGCCTCCCTAAACTCTAAAAAACCCCCTAAACCCTAAACCCTAAACCCCAGACCCTAGACCCTAGACCCTAAACCCTAAACCCTGTTAGAAGTGCCAGCTTGTCTTCCTGGCAGTCTCCGCGGAGTTGTCTTGTTGCTCCTGAACAAATGCCAGCAGAACTGTTAAGCAGATCACCGTCGCGAGACCCCCCATGTGAAGTTTCCAAGGGGGGGGGGGGGAGTTCCCTCGCTTAGCCAGAAATCATGCTAGAATCTTCTTACAAGGACCCCCCCCCCCCAAACAAAAAATAAAAATACCCAAGCTTCAAAAGCCCCCCCTCGTGTAGACTTGCCGTGAGCCCGGCTCGGCTTTGAAACACATGAGTGGCCAAGGAAGCGCAAGCGGGAGGAAGAGGAGCGCGAGAAGGCGCTCCTTCCCTGCCCCACGATGCTCCTGCCCCACGATGCTAGGACCCGGAGTAGGCCCTTATTCCCTGTTTTTAGAGTTTAGGGCCCCTTGTAGTCCCCTTCTAAACCCGAAACCCTAAACCCGAAACCCCCTACCCTAAACCTAAACCCTAAACCCTAAACCCTAAACCCTAAACCCTTAACCCTTAACCCTTAACCCTTAACCCTTAACCCTTAACCCTAAACCCAAAACCCTAAACCCTAAACTTCAACTTTCTACCAAGGCTTTGCGCAAGAGCCAGGAGGAGGTGGCGCGGTGGCTGGAACAGAAGGGGAAGCCACGGACCCAGCAGGGTTTAGGGTTTAGGGTTCAGGAGGGTTTAGGGTTTAGGGTTTAGGGTTTAGGGTTTAGGGTTTAGGGTACACAGTGCCCGAAACCCAAACCCCTAAGCCCTGGAAAGTCCCCATACGCTCAAGACCTCACAAACCCACTGTTCACCGACTTCCTCTCAGAAGCGAACCCTAAACCCGAAACCCTAAACCCTAAAGGGCAAGGGCGCGAAGGAAACAATCGAGGTGCCAACTGGTGGCAAAAGGGGCGTAGTTTCGGCGAATGGATATGTTGGTTGTTCCTGTCCAGTTCTTTCGGGTAATATGGGTTATAAAGGCTTCTAGTTTTTCCGTTCTTTTTTAGGTGGTGTAGGTTTTTGTCGGATTTAGGGCGTGCGTAGGCTTTCGGCTTTGATGCACTTAGGTTCCCAGAGGATGAGCCACCGCCAATCCGAGAGAAGCAGATCAGGCCGGGACTTCCCCAAGCCCTATGCCCCCAACCCGTTCTACAAGGAGAAGAGTTCCTACCCGGGGGCACAATGTCAGAAACTCGCACAAATAACCCTAAACCCTAAACCCTAAACCCTAAACCCTAAACCCTAAACCCTGTATACATCGACCCTGGACTCCGAAGGTAAACTCAATCCCCTGTCATCAGAAGCCTCCCATATTGAAGCCCGGTATGTTCCCCTAGCCCACTCTCGACACCCTAAAGCCTCCAGCCTCAAATCGAAAACCCGGCTCGCCGCAGGCGACGACCCAGCCCGGAGCGGGAGAAGGTGGCGTTTAGGGTTTCGGGTTTACGGGACTCTGTGCTCCCTTTCCCTATAGGACCCCCAGAGCGCCTTGGAGACCCGAAGCCCGAAACCTAAATTTTTCTAAAGGGTTTGGGCTTGGGGTTTAGGGTGTTCCAATAGTAGGGTAGTGGGGACCCTATACCCTAAACCCTAAACCCTAAACCCCTTAGCGATGGAGCTTAGGGAACTCGGCATGAAGAACCCATAAGAAGCAACGCAGCCGATGGTGTGGCGAAGGTCCGACGTCGGACCCGAGAAGATAGCTACGAGGTCGGGGGGGAGGGGGGGGGGGCGGGTGAGGTCTCGGGCTGAGTTTTGCTTTTGGGGGGTTATAGGGGTTCACAGTTTAGGGTTTGGGGGTTCAGGGTTGAGGGCCTGGGGGTTTAGGTTTAGGTTTAAGTCGACTGGGGTCGGGAGGTTGAGGGTTTAGGCACCATCTTCCTCCTAGGACACTGGCCATGTAGGGTTTTCTTGGCCGTGCAATGCGGCCCTGGCAGGATCGAAGATACACCAAAGACAGGCCAGCTGGAGACTTGCTTGCTGTCTGAAGGTCTCGTGGTTCTCCCAGAGAGCCCACTACCCCTTCATTAAGGAATATACCTTAAATTATAGAGGGATCCTTATTATGATTTAAGGATTATTCCTTAATTAAGGGGTGTTGGGCTCTTTGGGCTTCTCATGTTGCCAGAGAGTGTAGGGTTTAGGCTTCAGGGCTTGTGAGCTTAAAACCCGAATCCACAGACTGAAAGGTCGAAAGAAACCAGGAAAGCAATCTTCAAAGCCTCTCCATCCCGAGCCAAGTCTCATCCCCTTCGTCCTCGTTCTGCGTTAGGGTTCAGAGTTTGGGGTTTAGGGCTAAATCCCCAAACCCTTTCGCTCAACCTTTTACGCCCGGAGCCCTGTAACCTCTAAAGACCTGTACTAACCCAAACAGTATTCCTACAAGCATGCCGCCAAGCATCCAGAGCACCGAAGGGTCTTTCGAGGCCTCAAACAAGGGAAATCCGCATCACCGCCTTGAAAGGTGTTGGAATCTGAAAAAATGTGCGTGAGGGCTTCTGTCAGGGCATCTTCAGCCGAGCACCAGAGAGCCAGAAGCCTCATGGACACAGCGTGCCACTGTGATGTACGGATGCTTCTAACTCTGACACGGACTATGCGTTTGATTAGCGGTGGTGTTAGTACGCCCCCCCCCCCCCCCCCCCTACAGACCTTCCACGGATGGCGAAAATCGTGGCCTCCCCAAAAAGGCCCCATCACCTAAACCCTGAACCCTAAACGCTAAACTAAACCCTAAGCCCTAAATCCTAAACTCTAAAGCCTAAACCCTAAAACCCTAAACCCTAAACCCTAAACCCTAAACCCTAAACCCTAAACCCTAAACCCTAAACCCTAAACCCTAAACCCTAAACCCCACCATGCCCCACCCCAGAAAAGCCGTAGCCTGCAGGGATTCGGCATCGCCAGAGCCCATTCGTGAGCGCAGAGCGACTCCCGAGCCCCAGGCTGTGCTGGGAGGGTTTAGGGTTTAGGGTTTAGGGGTTAGGGTTTAGGGTTTAGGGTTTAGAGGAGTTTTTGGCGGTGTGCGGTTGTTTGGGGTAGTTTAGGGTCGAGGAGTTTGGGGTTGAGCAGGCATTTTCGGCTTTGAGCTGTTTTGGGGTGCAGGGGTTTTTAAGACCTAAGCCCTTTGGGTTTCCCGACAGACCCAGAAACACTTGACCTGGCAAACTCCACATTCGATACAGAAGAGCCCCAAGCCCCAAGGCCGAAAATCAACACCCAAAGCCCCTAAACTTCAAAGGCCCTAAACCCTCAACCCTCAACCCTAAACCCTAAACCCCAAACCCTAAACCCTAAACCCCAAACCCTAAACCCTAAACCCTAAACCTTCAACCCTACAAGCCGAACCTTCTGCCCGCTACCAGGATTCCAGGCGGTCTCAGCAAGGCGCCGGGGATGCCTCTCGCGGTGCGCGGAGGCTGGGTCTTGGTTTTAGGGTTTAGGGTTTAGGGTTTAGGGTTAGGGTTTAGGGTTTAGGGTTTAGGGCTTAGGGTTTCGGGTTTAGGGTTTCGGGTTTAGGGTTTAGGGTTTGGGGTTAGTTTCGGTTGTTGAACCTACTTGTTTCTATTCCTACTTTATTGTATTCTTATGTGTCTAAGGCTACTCTGGTTACAGCGACTATCACTCGAACTACTACGATTATGATTGTTATGAGTAGTTGTAGTACTACTCATACCACAGCACTAGTGTTTACAATTAATTCCAATCGTACTAATATTTCTAGGACTAGTAAGGATTATATGGTTCTTGTCAGAGCTGTGATTGTTGATGCTATTGCTACTTTCGCTGCTATTGCTTTTCTGCATGAAGTTTCCTCTTGGGCATAGATTTCTAGGAAAGTATTATATGATTCTCATCAGAACGAATATTGTTGGGCATTGTACTAGTACTACCACCTACCACAGCTCAGCTACTGCTACTGCTACTACTACTCCTACTTCTTCACCCTCGGAATTTGTGCTGCTTAAACCGAGGATCGTGGAGCTCGCAAGGAGCTTGTAGTCCCGCACGCTTGCCTTAACTTCACATGTCGGCCGCCCTGGAGCATCATGAGCATCATGCACAACAGCTGGGAAGGCCTTGAGCCGTGTTGGGGCATGAAGGCGCCCGGCTGGAGCATCATGAGCATCAGCTGGGAAGGCCTTGGGTATAGCCCTGACGGGGATCCAGATGTGTCCCTCCTTGTACTCACTTCCTCATGAAGTGTCGGATGCAGGCTGGCTTTGTGCAGTACGCAAGATGCGCATCGTCACATTCCAGCCATAAACCCTAAATTTAGACCTTACTAAGCCTCTATCCCCGATAAACCCTATAAGTCCTATAAAGTCTTTTATCAAGCCCGATTAACACCTTCTAAACCCGCATAAGGGGGTTTCCAAAACTCGTGGTACCTTATTGGGGTCCTTTTTCAAGGGAATCCTACTGTTTGGGGTCGATTTTACGGGTCCCCCTCTATTTTCGTAAACCCCCATCTATCACCCGCCCCTTTCGACAGGAGGTTTGAGGAGGCGCTCCGTGAGGAGCGGCTGGCAGCGCAAGGTGCGTTTGGGGTTTAGGGGTTTAGGGGTTTAGGGGTTTAGGGATTTAGGGGTTTAGGGGTTTAGGTGTTTAGGGGTTTAGGGATTTAGGGGTTCAGGGGTTTAGGGGTTTAGGGGTTTAGGGGTTTAGGTGTTTAGGGGTTTAGGGGTTTAGGTGTTTAGGGGTTTAGGGTTTAGGGTTTAGGGTTTAGGGTTACAGGATTTGGGGATTTAGGGGTTTTAGGTTGCTTTTGTGCATATGCGGTTTGGGCTTGAGGATGTCAGGGTTTAGGTGCAGACGCACCAGGAAGATTTTCCTGAAAGCGGCTGGGGGCTGTCAGGGGGTGCAAGGGCAATTTTACCCTCAAAACAAACATAAACTCCGATCCCCAGACACCCGCCCACTCGAGTTTTGAGAGGATGGATTCGTTTAGGTTTTTCCCCCCCTAACCTTTCAGGTGGGCATGTGCAGAATTCCAAGAGAGCTGCCCCTTATCAGAATCCCTTATGTACTCTTCAAATCCGCGGGGATGCGGACGTTAGGGGCACGAAACCCTTGGTGTAGACAGGCGTGTTCCGTCTTACGAGCCGCCCAGATCAGCACCGACAATCGAATGTAAAAGACCTACTGGTAGTGGATTCCCGAGCCCTACATACGGCAGGCTGAAACAAGCACCATACCGCGGTAGGTCTGGAGGGAGGCTACGAAGGCTATCTCGGGGACTACGCTGAAGAGGTGCCAGTCCGCCGTGTATTCTGTCATTTTTTGTGGCTTGAGGGTCTCAGAGTTCAAGCTTAGGGTGTGGAGGTTTGCGATATTCCGGGTACCTGTCTTGGGGTCCTCATGATAAAGGGATCCTACTATTTGGTCTATGCTGGGTCCCTTGTTATCGTAAACCCCCCTGTGGGGCTGAACCTGCAGCATTGGCCATGGCCAGAAAGGGTTTTTTGGGTCTACGGGCTTGGCCCCGTAACCCTGAGCTTCAAGCCCCAAACACCCGCGAGAAGTCCACCTACAGAACCCTCAACCCTCAACCCTCAACCAAGAGAACCGAAGTCCTAAACCCCAAGCCCTAAACCCTAAACCCGAAACCCGAAACCCTAAACCCTTTAAACCCTAAATTACCCTAAACCCTAAAGCCGTTCCTGAAGTTGCTGGGCCCACGGGGGCACAGTGTCTTCGGCCGTGGCGAGTGTTTAGGGTGTATCACCCTAAGCCCTAAGCCCTAAGCCCTAAGCCTCAAGCCCTAAGCCCTAAACCCTAAACCCTAAGGCTTTGGCTCGAAGGATCCCTCGAAAAGAACCAGGGTGAGTGTTGGGAGAACCGTTTTTAGGGTTTAGGGTCTACGGCTTAGGGTTATCAGGGGTTCAGGGATTCTCGAAGAAAGTCCGAGCTTTGTAGGCTTGAGAGAGGCCCCGTGTACAGCATCCCCTGGGTTCACTTGCCTCCCTGATCATTGCGACAGTTAGAAGGTGGTTGCGCTTTGTACATGTGACTGCCAAGGCTTATTGGAGGGCTTTTTTTGGGCTTGGGTTAAGGCCTGATTTTTGGGAATCCACAGTTTTTGAGTTCGCTTTGTTTGCTTACAGCTGTGCTTTCAAGTTTTCGCTAGCAGACACTGGAACACTTTTGCGCGCAGAAGCCGCGCCCATCCGGCCCTCGCAGTATAGTCGCGGCGATTCAAGGTTTATGGGGGGGTGGACACACGAGCCTTAATGATGCCATCCCCTGGGTTTAGTGTTTTGGGTTTAGGGTTTGAGGGTTTGAGGGTTTCAGGGTTTGAGGGTTTTAGGGTTTGGGGGTTTGAGGGTTTTAGGGTTTTAGGGTTTTAGGGTTTTAGGGTTTTGGGGTTTGAGGGTTTTAGGGTTTTAGGGTTTGAGGGTTTTAGGGTTTTAGGGCTTTAGGGTTTGCGGGTTTTAGGGTTTTAGGGTTTTAGGGGTTTACCCAAATTCCCTGCATCCCGAAGCCCTCGACCCTAAGCCTAAACCCCCCGGCTGCAAAGGTGCCTGATGCCAATGAGGGCCGCTGGATCTCGTCCACATCCTCCGGGAAGCGCGAAGTAGGGTTTCGGGATTAGGGTCTAGGGTCTGGGGTCTAGGGTCTAGGGTTTAGGGTTTAGGGTCTAGGGTTTAGGGTTTAGGGTTTAGGGTTTAGGGTTTCGGGCTCGATGGGACGCGGTTGCTTGTCAGGGGCGAACTTGGGCTTGGGAGCTGTATGCTCAAATTGTGATCCCTTCCCCCTGGCTTCCGGCCCCTTTTTGGCACCCTAGATAGTCGGGGCCGCCTTGTGCCCTAAACTTTAGACCCCAAACCCTAAACCCTAAACCCCAAACCCCAAACCCTAAACCCCAAACCCTAAACCCCAAGCCCCAAACCCCAAACCCCAAACCCTAAACCCCAAACCCTAAACCCCAAAACCCAAAACTTCAGACCCTAAACCCAAAGACGCCCACCAGGGACCCTGCGGCGGCAGCGTCCGCCTCCACGGCTGGCGCATCCTCAGGGGGTTGGGTCCGGCCCCCAAGATTCTTAGTAGGGAAAAACGAGTTGCTTAAGAACCCCCCCCAAAAAAAGATAAATAAACCAAACTGCTCATTGTTTTTATTTTATGAGCAGGGGAAAACGAGTTGCTTAAGAACCCCCCCCCCTCAAAAAAAATGCGAAAAAGGTTTCATCCTTATACTTGCCCTTAAAAGGAAGAAGATTTTAAATCTTTTGGGTGGCTCAAGCAGTTAGTACGGGATGGGCCCAGTATATGTTTTTGGGGAGTTTTAGGGTTTAGGGGTTTGCGTTTAGCGCGGCTTTGGGCTTTTTGGGCTTTTAGGGCTGAGGGTTGTTAGGGTTGAGGGCTTAGGAGTTAAGATTTGCGTGCCAGTTGAGGGAGCCCCACCCTACACCTAGGTAATTTTTCGAACCATGCTTGCTATGCTTATATGACAAACTGCCTAGAATGCCCATTCTACCAAGGCGGGGCTGCACGCTGTGGTCTTCGAGTTTCAGGGTCGCAGGGTTAGGCTCTAAGTCCTTAGGCTCTGTGGCCCAGGGTTTCTCTTTTCACGTGACCTCCTGACATGGTTTCTGGATCGCCCCAAACCCTAAACCCTAATCCCGAAACCCTAAACCCTAAGCCCTAAGCCCTACACCCTTACACCCTTACACCCTTACACCCTTACACCCTTACACCTTACACCCTGAACCCTAAACCCTAGGTGGTGACAGAGGAGGCCACCCAAGAGTACGAAGCGCAGAAGAAGCAAGCTGCGCAGGAGAAGAAGAAGCGGATGGAGGCGTGCGGAGCACTAACGGAACCGTTTTAGGCTTCGGGAGCCTAAACCCCTAAACCCTAAACCCCAAACCGCAAACCCCAAACCCTAAACCCTAAACCTTAAACCCTAACCCTAAACCCTAAACCCTAAACCCTAGACCCCCAGCCCTGTCTGCCAAGCATCGTCCCTCCGAAGCTTGCTGAGGCGACCGAAGTTCCAGGCTCCTTAGAGACAACAGATGCCCTACTAGAATTGTGCTTGCGCTTCCTTCACGAAGACCCTAAGCCCAAAGTAGGCCGTAAAGAAGATGTGCAAGAGGTTGGGGTTCAGAGTTTCGGGTTTTAGAGGTTTGGGGGTTCAGGGGTGTAGAGGTTTGGGGGCTGGGGTGTAATATAGGGGTCGGAATAATTGCATAGGGTCCCTTTATAATTATACTACAATCACCCCCAGAACCCTATTCTAATTATTCAGGTCCCTACCCCCTCAACCCTAAACCCTAAACCCTAAACCCAAAACCCTAAACCCTAAACCCTAAACCCTAAACTAAACCCTAAGCCCTGGTTTCGAAGCCGCGCAGGAGGAGAAGCGGCGAAAAGCCAAGCTCGCCAATGCCTTCGCCTTCGGCAACGAAGATGACGACGACAAGCGGGAGCAGGAGGGCCCTCGAGTGCAGGGTTTAGGGTTTAGGGGTTTAGGGTTTAGGGTTTAGGGGAAAATCGTACACCTCTCAAAAATCTCGCAACCCCAATGCGAGGCTTTTTTGGCTGCGGTTTTCTTGGCAGATGGCTTGACTCCAATCCGGAATAGTTCCCAGGGTTTTGGGGCTTCAGGGCTCTACGACTTTGTTTTCAAACCCTTCTAGGGGTTTAGGGTTTAGGGTTGAGGAAAGGGGCTCATAAAGCCGGAGATCTTGCGCCAGCACCGGCGTGAGGAGAGAATCGCTGCGGCCAAGCAAGCTGCGACTCGGCCAGCCGTGAGGGTTTAGGGTTTAGGGTTTAGGGTTTAGGGTTTAGGGTTTAGGGCTTAGGGCTTAGGGCTTAGGGCTTATAAGGGCTTAGGGCTTAGGGTTGTGGATGTCGACATGCTTGTCCAGTTGAGTCTTTTGGGCTGTTCGGGCTGTGAGGGCTCATGTGCTGACTTGAGCAGTAGGGCCGTAGAGTCATGCAAATGGACGGGCATTCGTCGAACCAGCGGCCGCAATGGGGAAAACTCCGCATTGACCAGATGTCCCGGTGGCAGATTCGGAAACTGATGCAGCATCGTGCACGTCAATGCGTTCAAACTAAGTGCGGGCACGGGCAAGCAGACAGGGACTCGTCGCTGGCTATCGAACAGGGTTTAGGGTGTAGGGTTTAGGGTTTAGGGTTTCGGGTTCTACCCTGAGCCCCCAAAGCCCTGACCCCCTAAAAGTTGGCGGAACCTTGGCCCGTTTTGCGACAGTACCACCAGCCTACCACTATCCCACCTTTGGAAGATTCTTCCTATGCTCCCCCCCCTAAACCCTAAACCCTAAACCCTAAACCCTAAACCCTAAGCCCTAAGCCCTAAACCCTAAACCCTAAACCCTAAACCCTAAACCCTAAGCCCTAAACCCTAAACCCTAAACCCTAAACCCTAAGCCCTAAACCCTAAACCCTAAACCCCAAGCCCTAAACCCTAAACCCTAAACCCTAAACCCTAAACCCTAAACCCTAAACCCTAAACCCTTTGCGGGTTTTTTGGGAGTCTCCGAGGCTCAGCAGTGGAAGCAGGAGATGGCCAACAAGGTGCGGCCCAACAAGGCCAGGAGGGCGGGGGGTTTAAGGGTTTAGGGGTTGAAGGGTTTAAGGGTTGAAGGGTTGAAGGGCTGAAGGGTTTAAGGGCTGAAGGGTTTAGGGTTTAGGGTTTAGGGTTTAGGGTTTAGGGCTTAGGGCTTAGGGCTTAGGGCTTGGGGCTTAGGGTTTAGGGTTTAGGGTTTAGGGCTTAGGGCTTCGGGTTTAGGGTTTAGGCTTTAGGGTTGAAGGGTTTGAGGGTTTAGTGTACAAAGGTTTAAGGGGTTTAGGGTTGGGGGTTTGGGGGTTCGGGGTGAAGGGGCTTAGGAGTTTAGGGGTTTTGGGGTTTAGGCTTGAGGAGTTGAGGGGGTTTAGGGGTTCAGGGGTTTGGGTTGGGGTTTAGGGGATCAGAAGTTCAGGGTTTGGGGGTTTAGGGGTTTGGGGTTTAGGCTTACTTCCCTGAGTCCATTGGGTGTGACTTAAGAGGTGAGCCCTCAACATCTGTGGCATATGACCATATGGTGAGTTCTCGAAAGTCCTTGTCATGGGCGGCCCCAATTATTTGGGGCTCCCAAACAGGGACCAGAATTTCGAGAATTCACCGTGTTGTTTAGAGGGTTCAAAGAGCCAGCCACCCAACATATCAACGACTTCGGCACGGTTGCAGGAATGCCTAGTTGAGGGTTCAGCAGTTGAGGGGTTTCGAATTTAGGATTCAGGACTTGAGGGGCTTGTGGTGAGGGCTATTCGCTTTGGAAGTTTAGGGGTGTAGGGTTTGGTGCCGCCCCTAGCGCACGTTTTCTCCCTTTTGGTTCCCGCGTAAACCTAGCCAGCCGGAACTGGGTATGGTATACTGGGCGAGGAAAAGGGTTCTTGCGTACTCGGGTTTGGCTTGAAGGGTTCAGCAAGGGTCTAAGGCTTCAAGTAAGGCTTACGAGTTCGTGGTCGTTGTCGGTCGCTGTCATGCCTTGTTTGCACCATGCAGCCTCTTTCCAGGCGGATGTGCAGGGCACGAGACCTCGCATAGCACGGGACTTAGCCTCCGTTCCATCCACGACAGTCCGCAGCATCATCTTCCGTGGTGCTCATGGTGCTGTTATACGCTGTTATAATTATGTACATCGGACTCTCCGTACAGATACTGACATGCTTGTAAAGGGGCAGGTACTGAAGACGTGCACAGGCATTTCAGACCCAAGGTCTGAGAGGCTGAATCCCATGCAAAGCAACACCAACGTCCCTTCAGTGCCACAAGCTACATCCTACACCCTACACCCCTAAACCCTAAACCCCTAAAGCCTAAACCCTAAGCCCTAAAACCCTAAACCCTAAAGCCCAAAACCCTAAACCCTAAACCCCCCTAAACCCTAAACCCTAAACCCTAAACCCTAAACCCTAAACCCTAAACCCTAAACCCTAAACCCTAAACCCTAACCTCTAACTTCGCGTCGACTCATGGCTCAGGGGCTGTTGTTTCGGAAACTTAAGCTCCCCCGAAGAGCGGGCCCTTCTATCATGGGTTCCCCTACTACCCCCCTCTATACTACCCCCCCTAGGTTCCCCCCATAATTAAGGCCAGCGTACGCCTGAGTCACAGCTGATCTAGTCATGGGGCGTATTCGTATGTCATTTCGATCAGCATAAACGCTCAAACTCCCCGGTTCCACCCCGGGGCCTGGTGTCTCCTCCTCCGGGTGGGCTGGTGCTGGAAAGGGTGTGGACCCTCGGGGCGGCACTAAGGGTCGTCAGCGACTCGACGAGCACCCCCCTTTCCCCCACTCGGCGGCGCCAGGGCGACAGTGCCTTTCCTCCCCATCTTCAGAGTCTATGATACACTCTTATTGCAAAAGAAGGTGGCCTTTCATGGTAAGTTTCCGAGCACACAATGCAGTGATTTGATTTTGGTCACCAATTGGTGAGAGGACAAGGGAGGCTCGGAGGCAGGCGCAGTTTTGTTGCGGCTACAGCTGGATGTTATTTAATTTTGGTTTTGTTTTGCAAGCGTGGTCGCCCCTGGTGCTTTGTGCTCCCCCTGCATCTGGCGCACGCTTGTTGGGGTCTGATCCGTTTCGGTCCGTTATGGTTACTTACTCTGGCCAGTCAATGTTCTGAGAGTGGGTCCTCGTGTACTCTCTTGACATGCTGATTTGTTCATGTGGGTTGCGTGTCGCCCCCGGTGCTGGAGCTGTGTGCTCCCCCTGCATCTGGCGCACGCTTGTTGAGGTCTGTTCCGTTTCGATCCGCTATGGTTACTTAAATTACTCTGGCCCGTCAACGTGATGAAAGTGGGTCCTCGTATGCTCTTTCGACATACTGTTTTGTTCATGCGGGTTGCGTGTCACCCCCGGTGCTGGAACCTGCCTCTGGCGCGCTTGTTGGGGTTCGTTCCGTTCTTGGTCCGTTTTGGTTTCTCCCTCCGGCCCGTTATTGTTGTGAGAGTTTTTTTCCTCCTCGGAGCAGGGGTGAAGGTTTTCGTCGGGGTCAAGCTTGCCTTGCACTTGGCCTGATGATTCCGTGTGTTGGGCATGCTTGCTACATTGCTTGTATGATTGCTGCGTTGCTTGTTGCGACGATGTGAGGCCCTGGTTGCTATATTGGTCGATCTGCTTTGTACTTGGCCTGATGATTCCGTGTGTTGGGCATGCTTGCTACATTGCTTGTTGTGACGATGTGAGGCCCTGGTTGCTACATTGGTCGATGGTCTTTTTGGGCCGTGTGTGCATTGTGTTTTTGAGTTTGCTTTGCACGTGGCCTGTTGATTTCGTTTGTTGTCGACGCTTGCTGGCAAATTGCTTGTTGTGACGATATTCTTTTCGCTGGGTGTGCGCGCTACATTGGTCGTGGGCTGAACCCCCTCTGCAGCTGACAGTGCCTTTCTCCATGTGTAACGTTTGCATTGCCTCCTTACATCTGTTTGTGCTTTCGATGCGCTGGTAAACATACAATTTGATGAGAAAGTCGCCCTTGTTTGCTCGATTTTCGCTTGCCTTATGTTGGTGGTTGGTGACCCTTGGCTGCACTAGCTAATTCCCCCACTTGAACTCTGCGACGGAGGGGGGCGATGACGCTTGCGGAGCCCCCCTGAGAAGTTGAGAGGGACGTGGGAGGCAGGCCGCACCGTAAGTGCTGGTCGACACTCACTCACTCACTCACTCACTCCCCGGTTCCACACCCAAAGCCCTTAAAGATTTAGGGTTTAGGGGTTTAGGGTTTGGGGTTTCCCGAAATGTGCCGAGGACATGTACACTGCCCTCAAGATGATTGCAGACTTCAAGCGGAGCTGCAATGGCAAGGCGAAGCCCATGCCCCCGGAAATCGAGCCTTGGAGCTTGTTGTGTTTTTCTTTTTTGTTGGTGTCATTATTATTATTATTATGATTATTATGATTGTTATTATTATTTTTATGATTATTATGATTATTAATGTTATTCTTGGATAAATTTTATTCTTTAGTTAAACTGTGGGGAGTTCAGGCTTCTGGAGTACAGGGTTTGGGGGCTGAGGGCTTGGGCCTCTTTAGGGGGGGCCTTGTGTTGCATTTTTTGCTCAGGGGCTTCTACTGTGGTTTCTAGTCTATGGGGTTTTTGAGCAGGGGCGGAGGGTTCCGCCAGAGTTGGCGCTTGAACGCTCAGCAATTTTAACCCCGCCCCCCCCCCCCCCCCCCCCCACAACAAGCAGAGAAACGTTCCTAAACCCTAAACCCTAAACCCGAAACCCTAAACCCTAAACCCTAAACCCAGGGAACGGCGACTTGCGACTCTAGGTCCTAACAGGGAGCTGGGTGGGAAATCGGTACCTTACATCTCCGATCTCTCACTGCAAGAGCCACTAACCCGAAACCCGAAACCCTAAACCCTAAACCCTAAACCATAAACCCTAAACCCCCGAACCCCCGAACCCCCGAAGTCCCAAAACCAAGTCACGCCGACGGCCTCCAGGGTTTAGGGTTGAGGGTTGAGGGTTTAGGGCTTGAGGGTTGAGGGTTTAGGGCTTGGGGTTTGGGGTTTGGGGTTTAGGGTTTAGGGTTTGGGGTTTAGGGTTTAGGGTTTAGGGTATTTTTTTCAGGGCCTTGCAGTGCCATCAGCCGAGGTCGAAGCAACAGTTCCCTGGAAGCACTTCAAGCCCGGCCTGGGCGCAGGATCTCCCGAGGATGAGAGCTTTTGGGGGTTTAGGGTTTAGGGTTTAGGGTTTAGGGTTCAGGGTTTAGGGTTTAGGGTTTGCGTAGTCATGTATTGTGGGCCCTTGAGAGGGGACTCCCTACATGCCCCCTCTATACCCTGCAAAACCCCAGGGCCCATACTTTGACGAAGGTGAGGGACCAGATAGAGGGACCATGTAGCTACCCTTGGACTTTGGGCGGTGCGGGATTCGGCTCTAGGGCTTCGGGTTTTCAGGGTTTCGTGGCTAAACCCTAAACTTAACTCTAAACCCTAAACTCTAAACCCTAAACCCTAAACTCTAAACCCCAAACCCTATAAACCTTAAGCCCTCTAAAGCATTCCCCTTCCCTGTCTTCGCCTAAGGCCATTGTGACGGGGGCCCCGATGCCATAGCCTGCCATTTGGTCGCGGAGCCCTGGGGGTCTGAAGGGTTCCCCAGACTCCTAGGACCCAGAGTAGGCCCTTATTCCCTTTTTAGGGTTTAGGTTCCTTGAAAACCCCCTTTAAACCAAACAGGGCACCTTTTCTCTTTAGGGGAATACCAAGAAATTAGAAATGGCTCATTCGGTGGCCATCGCCGGAAGGGAATCCCTTCCCCCTCAAAGCCCAAAACCCGAAACGCAACTGTGAAGGCCCTCAGCCCAAAGCACCCGAAAGCGCCCTACCTCAGCCTTGAAATGCGAGCCAGAGCCCTAAACCCTAAACCCTAAGCCCTGAGCCCTGAACCCTAAACCCTAAACCCTAAACCCTAAACCCTAAACCCTAAACCCTAAACCCTAAACCCTACGCCCTAATGGACTCCCGAACCTCACAACCCCAAAGCCCCAAAGCCCCACAAGCCCACATCCCCGGGCCTCGCGCGGTCCTTTCCTGCTGGCGCGGAGGGCCGCAGACTTCGTCCACGGAGTTTAGGGTCTAGGGCCTAGGGCTCGCACGGCTCATGGTTTCTGGGTCCAAGTGTACCCAAACTCCAAGATAACGGCCCTTCTTATGGGTTTTTGGGCTATTGCTTTACATACTTTGAGGGTCCAGGTAGAGCTTAAGGTTCAGGGTTACGTTAAGGCCGGGACTTTTGACTCTACGGATGGAGGGAATTCGGGTTAGGGTTTTACGGTTGCCCTCTCAACTCCAGCTGAAGAGGCCCAGAGGGTGTGTCAGCGGACGCAGACTTTCAAGCCCCAAATCCCTAGCTCGGTGGGACCTTGAGATGCGATGTTAGCACTTAAGAGTTTAGGAATATGTTTTCAAGAGTTTGAAGCACCAGGTCAGATCCCAAAAGTAAGGGTAGCGGTATGGCGAAGTCATCGGCCCGAGATCGCAAGCAGTCTGCGCTTTGCAGTGTGTCACACGCCATTGCTCTCCAGTGACATGTCTCGGCCAGCACCCCTCAACCCTAAGCCCTAAACCCTGAACCCGAAATCCTGAACTGTACACCCTGAACCCTTAATCCGAAAGCCGGCGAACGGAAGGCACAGAGCCCTAGTGGCCACAGAGCCTAAGGCTTACAGCCCCAAAACCTCTGCATGCCCGCTTGCAGCATCTGAACGTGACACCTTCGACCTGCCCCAAACTAGGTAGACGGATGTTATATATATATATATATAGATACAGATATATATATATATATATATATATATATAATTTTTTTGTTCCCTTTTATTGGGTTTAAGAGGATCATCTTCAGGAATATGTTCAGAGGGCTTTAAAGGGCCATCCTAGCAAAGGATCCCGCTCAACAGATTGGCAGCTGCAGCTTTTAGACCCTTCTTCTCTTTCAAGCCTCGAGCTTGAAGTAGCCCTAATGCCCTGACAGCATCCCCCCCCCAAAAAAAAGAAGTAAAAGACAATCACACACACACACACAGAGCCCAAACCATCCGAACAACTGCATCCGGTCCCGGCGGATACCAGAGACAGATGTCTCGGCCGCAGGGCGGAAAGGACGCTGCCCCCAGAAGTCAGCCCAGCTGGGGTCTCAAATGCAATCTCAAATGCTCCGGGCATGAGGCGCTTAATTTCAAGGTTTAGGGTATTTAGGGTGTATCCGGACATCCCCAGCCCTGCCGCCTCAACTTTGCAGCCTAGCCTAGTGGTCTGGGACTTTGCGAACTCCCCTCTTGGGCGCAAGGTTCAGAGTGCTTAGAGCGTGGGGTTCGGGGTCTACAGGGGTTTAGGGTTTACTTGGAGGTTCATGGGTAGAGCAATAGCTATAGCTACCCTTCGAACCCAACTTATAGCTACCCATGAACCTTCAACCTTGGCGTAGGGCCTCATGGGGAATCTCTCGGACAATTGAGGTGCTTGGCAAAGGGGTCTGGGGGGAGCGGAGCAAAATAGAGGTGCCCCGTCTGTACCCCAAGCGCAGTAGACTTACGCCTGAAAAGGAGGGTACCCCCCGAATTCCCGGAAATCTCCAGGTGAGTCGGTGTGGGCTGCTAGGTTTTATCGAGGGAATAAGGGGGTATGGAAGGGGTTCCGAATTAAGGGCCCATACCAAGGGACCATGCAACAACCCTTAGAACTCTGGGTTGACTTAAGATCGGAAGAGAACAAGAGCTCGCGAGCGGTTTCGAAGCTGGCTTGGCTCTGGGGGAGACCCCGTCAGTGCGGCGCAGGCCTTAGGCAGTCTCCAAACTCTGCATTCCGAAGCGCGCGAGAAAAGGCCCCACAAAAAGCACAAAGGCAGCTGCGATCTGGGGTCCTCCTCGGCCCTCCTTTCTCTGGCCTCCCTTGGAGGCAAAAGATCCTGGAGCGCCTGGTGGCCGAAGCCCCAGCCGCCGCAGCCGCCGCGGCCGCGGCCGCCGCGGCCGCCTCCGCTCCGCCCTCGGCCTTGGCTCTGCCGGGCTCCCGGCCCGCGAGCGTGCCGAGCGCCCCGCCGCCGACGCCAGACGAGCGCTTGGAGCAGTTGAAGGTCGGCGAAACGGGGCTTCTATCCGGTGATGCCGCCTCCAAAATCCCTTGCCAAGGTTCATCAGACTGGGTACTCAGGGTATAGTTTTTTTAGATCGTGTTTATGCAGGGATGATAAGGGGATAAGGAGGAGCTATAGGGTCCTCCTGTACGAGTCCTATGATTCTTCCACGAGCTCAAACTCGAAGCTGGTGACTCGAAATCCCGAAACCCTACAGCGGCTTCGCGCCCTGAGAAGGGAAACCCTTCCATTCAGAGTCCCCCAAAGTCTACTATTCTGTACTTACTGGCTCAAAACCCAACTTTTCAACTTTTGGGCTTCTTACAACGTAGTATATTCTGAAAGTTCCAACTTTTATTTCCTTGGGTTTTGGGCCAGTAAGTGTAGGTGATGACTCGAAAATCCCTTGCCATGTCCCGCCTCCCAAAATAGTGGCGAACAGTTGCTGAGGTGGCCTTCGGGGTCTGGAGCCCCCTGAAAAGAGTCAGCTTTAGGCCCCCGAACCCTAAACACGCACACTCTAAACCCCCTACTTGGAGGTTCGTAGGTATCTGAAAGAAGTGTTGTAAGTACCCTAGACAGGGATATCACCAGCTAGCAGGAGAGTTTCCCGACATATCACCCCACTTATAGCTGCCCATGAACCTTCAAGTAACCCTAAACCCTAAGCCCTAAGCCCTAAACCCTAAGCCCGAAGCCCTAAACCCTAAACCCTAAACCCCAAAGCCCCAAACCCCTTAACCCCGAAAATGCCCCGGCGCCAGGTCGACGGAGCCGAACTCTGTGGGGACGAGGCAGGGTTTTGTTGGGTTTTTCGGTTCGGGGATTTGGGGTTTAGGGGTTTTTTATTGAGGGATTTTAGGAACTTTCTGTAGGATTCTTAGGTAACCTACAACAAGATAGGTTTTGGGTTCTTAAGGTAGAGGACAGTCGGTATTTAGAGGGTGCTAGGGTTTGGTGTGCCATGTAGCATGCATCTCGGCCCACAAATCTTTTCACCGCCGCCCATAATGTCTACAACCCGTAGAGCCCGCTGCCAATACCCCTGAATTTTAATGCTACGCGACCTGCCTCGGCCGGGGCCTTCGCAGGGCGGGTGAGAAGGTGCTGTTTGGCTTCCGCGCTTTGAGAGGCTTCGTGCAGTTATTTCCTTTTGGGGACCCTGTTGGAACACACCAAAGGTCGGAGTGATGAGAGCAAGCAAGGACAACTAGGTTTGGGTGAGGGGAACAAAGCCTTTCCAGCTCAAGCAAGGCGGAATTAACGTAAAATAGCGCCAGCAAGAGTTGGAAGGGTGAGGAAGGCAGGCAGCAAGCGTGCAGGCAGGTGGGAGGAGGGAGGGTCAGCAAGGGGGAAAAGAGGCCCAACCGCCCCCTGGTCTTGCTGCGCCGTGGGTACCCGTACCCAGTCCAGCCAAAAAGTGCCAAATAAAGGGGTGCAATCTGCACAGAGGGCGCTGGGGAGGTGCTTTGTGCTTCGTACTCCACCAACACCTAAGGCCCGAGGCCTCGGCGCGTTCAGGAAGGTGCCTGGTTCATTCCAAAAAAAGCCAGAGGTATCTCTTGCATTAAGCCCATTTAAGCCCTCTAAGCCTCAAGTAGCTGGGCTCTTTGGGGTCAGGAAGAAAACCCCCTACCCCTATGTCCCCAACCTCCCAAACACCCCGCGGGCGATATGGCGTTACCTCGTCCAGGCTTGGTTCGCCGACGCCTCCTTGCGCGCCGACCTGCGGGCCGCTGTGCGCGAGGCACGCTTGGCGCTGAGGTTTCGGGGGCTCCCTGGGCTACGAACCCGGAAAAAATCCTCATCCCTCAGCCCTATAAACCCTAAACCCTAAACCCTAAACCCTAAACCCTAAACCCTAAACCCTAAACCCTAAACCCTAAACCCTAAACCCTAAACCCTTAACTTAAACCCTAAAACCTAAACCCGAAACCCTAAACCTATGGACCTCAGACCCAAACCTTGAGCCTGAACCCTGAACCCTACAATTCTACAACCCGCTTGGGGCAAGCCGTGCCATGACCCTCGCCGGCTCTGTGTGCATTTTGACCAACTCTCTCTCTCTCTCTCTCTATATATATATATTTATTTATTTGTATATTTATTTATATGTATACTTAAATGTATGTATCTAGCTATTGATAGGAAAACTCATATAGTTGATAAATGATTGCATATTCAAGATATAGCTAGTGTATGACTATTATCTAGCTAACATATACTCAACTATGTGTTAATGAAAGAGCGTGGATTTCAAATAGTACGGAGAAGAATACAAAATGTCAGAATCAGAACGGTGTCAGCGCAGAACGACGACAGTTTCGAGGATAACAGCATGGCACGCCCGAGTAGTCTTCGAGAAAAACCGCATGTCCTGGCGCACCGCGCGGCATCAGTTACCTACCTACCCCTACTTGCTTTTCAGTGCTGACACACAGTTTGGGGAATAAGAACGCCAAGAATGATAAGATGCAGTGTGCTTGAAGTGGCACTTCCTCGCGTGTTGCTGATCTCTTTCCTGCTTCCGTATTTATGTTGCGTTGTTGCGTTGACTCATGAGTTTCATTCTTGTTCTTCTCGTGCTTGCTGGTCAGCACCTCAGACTTTGACGGCAAGACGACAGCTGAGCAGTCCAGAAGGAAGGGCGCCTCCACCCTTCGCTCTGTGGGACAGCCGCCTTCAGCGCCTTCGAGTGCTTCTTCCCCTGCAAGGGCAACACAGGCCCCGGCCGTGCGAGACCAAGAATAGCACAGATGCTGCTGCAAAGACCAAGGCAGGGCCCACGGTTGCCACCACACACTCCTTCGTGACCGCCGCCAGAAGGAACGGTCGCGACGCCAAGCTGATACTCTTGCTGGTCGTATTCTTGAGGTGTTGGTCAGCCCTCCGGAGCGACGCCCAGAGCGACGCCCTAGCGATGAAAAGATTTGACTTCAACAGTTTGATTGGCACTGACAGCTGGCCCGGAACACAAAACCCTGTAAAGCGACGGGTTGGGTCGGGGCCGAGAACCAAAACCATCAAAGCCCTTGAAAAGCGACGGGGAACACCGAAAAACGACGACATACAGGTTTTGACGGTTGCTCATATGGGCTCGTCACTTGCGTCGTTGGATGCAGTGGATGTAGAGCCGTCTCCTTCATCCGGCTGTTAAGTGCTCAGGCTCAGGACGGCGCCGCCCTGCTCGCGAGCTTGAAACGTGTTCGAGCCTCGTCGATGGCGCAGGGGTATGCACGGCCGCATGGATGAATTTAGAGTTCCGGGGAAAATCTGTTCGCTATTTATCCTAGCTTCTTCTTAGGACAAGGCCCTGCAAGCAGCGAAGCAGCTCCTCGCGAAGAAGCTTCTGCGCCGAAAGTCGACAGAGGCAGAGAAGAAAGCCCGCAAGGGAGCCCGGCAACTGTTGTGCGCCGCCGAAAAGCGGCCGACCGGCGCTCGGCGGCCGCGGCTCCGCCGAGACTCTGCTTAAGAACCCCCCCAAAGTCCAGTTTTTGGGCGTACGTGGCCCGCTAAGTTAACGTATGGGATTCGGATTTCCCTGAAGAATTGCCGCGTAGACATGACGAAGGCGTTTTGTGGCGACGAGGGGCGGTGACCACGCCGGGGCAGCAGTCGTGCTGCCTCCGAGAGGATGGCTTCTTGAAATACAGGAGCTCGGGGCCCTCGCCAACTCTGGATGTGGGCGCGCCCTTATGGAGGACGACGGTTCAAGGCAGGAGCGGACCGGCTGATGGGTGAGTTATCTATATATATATATATATATATCTATATATATATATAAATATCTATGTTTGTATGTACATATATGTATATGTATATGTATATGTATATGTATATGTATATGTATATGTATATGTATATGTATATGTATATGTATATGTGTATGTATATGTACATGTATATGTATATGTGTATGCGTATGCGTATGCGTATGCGTATGTGTATGTGTATGCGTATATATGTATATATCTGAGGAGACCATCTGTCACGTGTATACATACATATATACATATACACATATATACAGATATACATATATACATATATACATATATACATATATACATATATACATATATTCATAGCAGGCCCTATGAGCCTGAAAAGCCCTATGCACCCTACCCCCCCGCCACCCAAACCCAGCACAAACCACAGGGCAGGAGAGGGGAAACCCTGAACCTTGAACCCAAAACCCTAACGAGTGGCAATTTGAAGGCCCAAAATCCTACAGCCGAGCCTTAAACCCTAAGCCCAAACCTTAAATGAAATTCTCACTAAACAACAAACCAAACTCTTCCCAGATACAGCAGCAACAATAAATGTAATATCTTCATTCCACGCAAAATCAAAATTGGAAATAGCCATATTTCAATATAATATTTCACAGGCTATTTGTAACACTATTTGAAAGAAATAAATCAACAATATTTCTAATTTAGCAAGTTTCATTTCCAGACATCTGGCTTGACTTAATCATCCGAGTGGCGCCGTCGGGCCGGCTCACTTTCGCCACCCACATCAAGCCAGCCAATTTGTGTCATAACATCGCTGCAGATTCGTGCCATTCTGGCGACAGCGGAACTGTGTAGGTACGCCCGCAACTCCACGTTCTGGGAGGATTCGATCATACCAGTTGAAAGGCTCTACTCGTGCTTGACTGGGTGCATGAGATGATGGTGACCACCTCTGGCGCCGGTGGAAGCAACGAGAGTCCTTGCTTCAAGTCGCTTCCCAAGCAGCCCAGCAGGGGTATACCGCTCTGGTTTTGTTTGCCTTTTCACAAATGTTGGCAGCAGATCGGTGTGATTAGCCTTCTACGCTGGCTGGAGCGGGAGCTCGACGAAGCAGGGGTTCGCCGTCATGCTTTTCGGCTTGCATTTGCAAACCCCTACCCACACCTGTATGTCAAAGTCCGCAATATGCGTCGAACTTGAATGGAGGTTGGAGGGCCAAGGGGGATGAAGGTAAATATCTTTCAAGTTGCTATCTCTTTTGATGAAGATGATGATGTTATTGAAGAAGAACTTGATAGTGGTGGAAGTATTTAAATTGCAGAACTTTGCGCAATCAATCCAAATAGATCAAAACCCATAAAATCAGATGAAAGTACAAACAATAATGCCAACAATTAGTACATTTTGATGAAGAAGGTATCCTTCCCAACAACCAATTGATTCAACACATGCGCAACATATTGTAAATGTATATACTGCTACTGCAAAAGAAGTATTTTAATTTGAGATAGTATACTGGGACCTGATGTTGGTACGATTATAGAAAAACTACTACCATGAACCACAGACCATGGATCAAAGGGGGAGGGGAGAGGGGGAAACCCTAATCTCTAACCCAAAGCCTACCATGATCGGGGGGAGGGGGGGGGGTTGAGGGGCCCAAAAACCCTAAACCCTAAACCTTAAACCCTAAACCCTAAACCCCAAACCCTAAACCCTAAACCCTAAACCCGGAATCCTCCAGGCTCACCGCGAGCAGAAGATCCTCATTGCTTCGCCAGCGGAGGAGGTGCGAAGAATCTGCGAGGCCGGTCTGCGTAGGGGTTTAAGCTTTCTATAGGGTTTGTAGGGGTTTTAGGGTTTCTAGGGTTTCCAGGTTTTCTAGATGTTTTAGATTTTCCAGAACTTCTAGGGTTTTTAGTGTTTCTAGCATTTCTAGGGTTTAGAACCCTAGGGCTTCCAAAGGTCGAATTCAAGGCCCTTCTTCCAAAATCGTCGCCGAAGGCTGTGAGCCGGGCCAACCTTGTCACGTCCAGCTTCACTTCCAGTGGGTTAAGGGTTAAGGGTTAAGGGTTTAGGGTTTAGGGTTTAGGGTTTAGGGTTAAGGGTTAAGGGTTTAGGGTTTAGGGCAGTTTCAGCTACTGAAGCCCTAGAACGCTAAGCCCTGGAAGAAAGAATCGAGCACCAAACCCCAAAGCCCCTCGGTGTTTCGGGTGTGAGGTTGAAGGCCACCACGGGCGGATGACAGTGAGGTTGATGCAAGATTTCGTTTTTGCGGGGACTTGGGAGCTTGGAGTTAAGGTTTGTGAGGTGCCCAATACCTCCTCAATGAAAGGGCATTCGAAAGTTCGGGTGCCTTTCGATTTAAAGGGAATCTACAGTTTTTGGTGGACCCAAATTTTCAAACTCATCATGAGAACCCTCTATCGTTTGAGGTATGTTTCTTTGTTCGGGGGTGGATGAATACAGGCGGCCTGCAAAGCCTAAACTCCCGAAGCCAGAAACACCTTCATCCCCCCAAAACCCACACGATCTCCAAACCCCAAGCCCCAACACCGTCCAACACCCAAACGACCCCCCCCCCCCCGCCCCCCTAGAACCTCAGATCCCTAGAGAACGACCCTCCTTGAAGGTTCATGAGGGTGCTTACAACCCTACTTACAACTACCCATGAACCTCCAAGTAAACCCTCAAAACCGTGGAGGGATCACACCTGGGCCCTCTGCATGTGTTGCGCCTCGGTGGTGCCCACCTGGGCGGCTACGGCGAGGTGCGAGCCCAGGGACCTGAATCCACACTTGACCGGCTGGTTCTTAGTAGGGAATGAGGGAATGAGGTACCCTAGAATCCCTAAACGGGTAGAAATATATATATATATATATTAGGACACTAATTCCCTCATTCCGTACCAAAAACCGGGGGTTGAAAGTTCAAGGGCAGTTAGAAGTGGGGTTATAAGTCGGGTAGCTCTCATGGCAACTGCTTGGAGGTTTATTAGGGTGTCCTCTAAAAGAATGAAATGCTAACCCCAACGCCTAGACTATCAAGAGCCCCCCTAAACCCTAAACCCTAAACCCTAAACCCTAAACCCTAAACCCTAAACCCTAAACCCTAAACCCTAAACCTAAACCCTAAACCCTAAACCCTAAACCCCAAACCCTAAACCCTAAACCCTAAACCCCAAACCCTAAACCCTAAACCCCAACCCTAAACCCTAAGCTCGAAACCCCAACAGAACCCGAAGCTGCCATACAAAGGCCCCCAGACCCCCTACCATACCTACTTTACACAAGCCACCAACCTGTTCTATGATGATGATGATGATGATGATGATGATGATGACTACTTTGATTATGATTATTGTTATTGTTATCATTTTTTATCATTGTGATCATCATCATCATCATTATTATTATTATTATTCTGATTGTTATGATTATGATTATGATGACTCTTCTTATTATTTTTATTGTGCTTCTTCATGTTTTGGTGATTAAATATGAATATTACGATTAGTCGTACTTCTATTGTATATGTAGATTAAAGTATGTTTTCCTTTGGGGGGGGTGGATGCCATCACGCCCCAGTGTGAGATTCTCATCTTATAATCTTGGCGGCCTGCCGAACAACGATGTCATGGGGCGTTTTGTGAACCCTTAAACCGCCCTAAACCCCTAAACCCGAAACCCTTGAACCTCAAATCAAATGCGGAACAAACTGCTTCAGGCTGACATCGCCTACTCCTACAGACAGCTGCAGGGGGGCTTGGGAGAAGTGGGAGGGTTGACGGCATAGGGCAGTTTAGGGTTTTTAGGGGGTTGCGGGCTTTCTGAAGGGAGGGATCCGATTCTGCAGAAGGTATGTGCGTGAGGGGGACCCCAGATTACAAACCTTGGGGCTCAAGTCTACTAGGGCTTCCTTACCCTAAGCCCAAATCCTACAAAGCCCCTTCTACACTCCGCAGCCTACCAAAATCCCAGATCCCAAATCCCTGAACCCTAATTTAGTAAACCCTGAACCCGAAACCAGGTCGCGAGCCCTCCATCCGGACAAGAACCCGGACATACCAGAGGCGGACAAGGCAACGCCAAAGCCCGGTGGTTTAGGGCTTAGGTGGGTTTAGGGTTCTTACGGTTCTTAGGGTTTAGGGTTCTTAGGGTTTTTAGGGTTCTTAGGGTTCTTAGGGTTGTTGTTTTTGGGCTTTGCGGCTCACAGGTTTCGGACTGTGGGTTTGAAGGTTCAGACTTTTGTACTGGCTGGTTCTTAGTAGGGGATGAGGGAATGGGGTACCCTTCAGAGTCCTTTAAAGGGTATATATAGGGCCCGGAGTCCCTCGTTCCCTACTAAGTTCCCTACTAAGAACCGGGCGGTTTTGGGTTCGGGGGTCTAGAGCGTTGAGTGCCCAGGAAGCTTAGACCCTAGACCCCAAACCTTCCCCAAACCCCGAAGCTCCAGCCCTAAACCCTATAAACCGAACCCGAATCCCTGAACCCTAAACCCTAAACTCCACACCCCAAACCGTCCAGGCCTTCCACCGCCTCAGCGAGGCGGCTGAGGAGTTGCGCCTGGGCCTCCAGGCGCTTTTCGCGGCCCCCTTGCGCCGGAACTGAGGGGGATTTCCGAAATAGGGTTTAGGGTTTAGGGTTTAGGGGTTAGAGTTTAGGGTTTAGGGTTTAGGGTTTAGGGTACCCTGAAATGGGGGCGCTCCATGGGATGTTCCCGCTTCTACTAACAGTCCATAATAGGGATTATAGTACCCCTAATAAGGACTGTTAGCATAAAGGGGAATATCCCAAGTGCTCCTTATATACCCCAAAAATACTACGTAGTCCGTTTAAAGGAGCCCCCAAAAGGGGACCCCTTTTTTCGGAGATATGGGTAGTTCCCTAGTTTCGGTATCCCTTTTTTGGGTCCGTTATCACAAGGACCCCAAAAAGGGACCCTAACTTAGAGAGCTACCCTTATGAGGTCTAGTTCATTTACTGCTCCCACGGCGCCCAAGGTGCCTTATCTTCTGGGGTGTAGGGACCTAGCTGGTATGGTTTGAGTTTGTTTGTCGGGGGGGGGTTATCAGGTTTGGGGCTTGTAGCTTAAGGGTTTCAGGCGTTTAGTGTTTGGGCTTGAGCTTTCGACCCTAAACCCTGAACCCTAAACCCTAAACCCTAAACCTTAACCCCTAAACCCTAAACCCTAAACCCTAAACCCTAAACCCTAAACCCTAAACCCTAAACCCTAAACCCTAAACCCTAAACCCTAAACCCTAAACACTCGCGGACGTCTGGAGGGCTTGGTAGGGAGTTCCAAAGGTCTAGGGTTTAGGGTTTAGGGTTCGGCTTTGGCGATGCTTGGAGCCCTTGACACTGGAAACCGGAGGAGCAGCGGCGCCTCGTCGTGTGGTTCTCGTCGGCGACCGGGCAAGAGGTTGGGCTCAGGGTTTCTTAGGTTTTGGGGGTTGTGAGGGTGCTCACGTGGGGGTTTCCGAAAGTAGGGAGACCCCTTCTTGGGGGACCCTTTAAGAGGATTCCATTCTTTTTGGGTGTATGGTACGCCTATTCTGACAAATGCCCACGTGAGGTTTTGGGGTAGGGGGGGGGGTGCGGTTCTAGGGTGTTAGGGTGTCAGGAGCTTGGGGTGCAAAGTTGCGGGCTTGTGAGGACGTTGTGTGCACCCAACATGAAAGCCAATGCTAGCCATGAGCTGAATACTAGGGTTCAGGGTTTAGGGTTTCGGGTTTAGGGTTTAGGGTAGGCACCCTTGCTGTCTTGGAGGTGTTTGGGGCGGGGCAAGCCCAAACAGAAGGGCCTGCGCTTTGTGCATAGCAGGCTTGTTAACCTGGAGAGCGCTTAAGGCCTTCATCTCCAAGTGGGTCGTTCTCGGCACCTCTTAACATATGGACCCCAAAAGGGACCCTTGTTTACAGAACTACCCCAGTCCATCCCCGTAGAAGTCCTAAACCTACTCTCAGCAACCCGCCCTAAACGGAGCCAAAGGGTGGAAGGGAAGAGTGTCAGTAGCCCAATTTCTCCGAATTTGAGAGCATAGGGCCCCCCTTCACATGCAGGTCCCTGCGACGAACCCTAAACCTTAAGCCCCAACCCGAAACCCTAAACCCGAAACCCTAAACCCTAAGATCCTAAACCTTAAACCCTAAACCCTAAACCCTGGAGGTCCGAGACGACTTGATGGAGAGGCCCCAGGAGCCTCTCTTCGCTGAGGCTTGGAGACTTTGCTTTAGGGTTTAGGGTTTGGGCTTGGGGGCCTCAATAACTTCAATAAGGTTTTTTTTTTTTTTTTTTTTTGGGGGGGGGGGGGGAGTGATTACAGTATGACTATAAATGGAATGTAGGGGAACACTATTAGTAACTCTTCCGACCCTTATATGAAGCCCATCCTGAAAACTCCTCCGGCCCGAAAAACACGCTTGTTTCAGGAGTTTGGATGTATTGGGGCTTAGGTTTTCGTAGTTCGTGGGCTTAGGGCGTGGTGAGGGTTTGGGGTGCGCATGGTTTTGGGTGCTGTGGCTGCTGGTGATTTGTGTGTTGTGGGGGGGCGGTGGAGGGCAGTTCAAGAAGCATTATGTAGCCCTGAAGACCGAACGCCGAACCCCTAAAAGCACCACACCCCGAGACCATGAGAGTACCTACTTGGAGGTTCATGGCTACTTGCAGGTAGGATCAGAAGTTGAGAAACTATGGCATAACTATGGCTATGACCTTGTTTATTCATTTAGGGTACGTAGAACCCTACTTGTAAGCACCCATGAAACTTTGGTAAATCTGAGAACATCTACAGACTAAGCTCCCCCACCCCAAAGCTGCACAAACCTTAAAACGTTAAGCGGCCCGAAGCCCCAAACCCTCAAACCTAGGGCTTGGGGTCTTAGGGTTTAGGGTTTAGGGTTTAGGGTTTAGGGTTTAGGGTTTAGGGCTAAATGGCGCTACGCAGGCGTGCCGCCTTCTGACGGTGGTCTGCGGCGTGGCCGGTGTGGAGCTTGGAGCGGACCCTTCCAAGGAAACCAGTCACAAACATTCTGTGTGCATATATTGGGATGTTCCCCGTTATACTAACAGTCCTTAATCGGCATTATTTTAATTGGGGTACTATACTCCCTACTACGGACTGTTAGTATGAGGGGGAACATCCCAATGCATACATCAACATATAAGTGCCTATATATATACATATATATGTATATATATTTATGTGTGTGTGTGTGTGTGTGTGTGTGAAATTATGCACTCACATACACACAGACACATCTACATACACACACATACACATATTATGCACATACATGTACATTTGCGATACACATACGTATACACATACACATGCACAGACACATGCACCTATACATGTATACGTACTTATATATTAATACATATACATGTTTCATGTAGCTATACGTAAACGTATCCGTATACAAAGGCATGTGCAAGTACATGCACGCAAGCAGTTTGCATAAACATATACATGTTGCATACACATATACGTATACCATGTCTACGTATACATTTACGTGTATATACACATGTTCCAGATACATGTACATGCATATAGATAATGTCTAAGCATGTTTTTGAGAGGTTGTTCCGGGCCAACCCACTACATGTACATCTTGCTGTGCATATGCACAAACACATATGCATCTGCATCTACAAATATGCATATCTGTATAATGTATACATGCAGATAGAAAACACATACATGTACATGCACATGTGTATATATGTATATACATATATAGATCTGCATGCATGCTTGTCTGTGTTCAAAAGCTAGGGACTTTGAGCGGTTTCCCCCCCCCCCCCCCACCCCCTCTGCCCTCCCCTACCCGCCCCACTCCACGTTGAAACTGTTGTGAGTTTTAGTGCCGTGAGGCGAAGGCCGTGTTGCCACTGTGGCCCGGACAAGGGCCCTTGCGGCCTTCGCCACGCGCCATCCTGCCGGGGGCTCTGGTCGTCTCGGCGCAGCCGAATTGTTCCGTTAGCACACTGAATTGGGTCTCTCCCTCTCTCTCTTTTTTTTTTTTCTCTCTCTCTCTCTCTGTCTCTCTCTCGCTCTCTCTCTCGCTCTCTCTCTCGCTCTCTCTCTCGCTCTCTCTCTCTCTCTCTGCCTCTCTCCCTCTCTCTATCTCTCTTCGCCCAAAAGCCTAAACCCCAACACCTAAAGCCCTAAGCCCTCAATGCCAAAATGCCCCTGGATGACAGACCCCAACCTCAGAGCCTCCAACTTCAGACCCAGACCTTAAGTCCACACAGCGACACCCTCAGCAACAAAACCCCGACGCCTCAAGCCCAGACCTCCAACCAAACCCCCAAAACCCCAACACCCCCGTAGTAGGGAATGAGGGAATCAGGGCCCTATATATATACATAAAATATATATATATATATATATATGCACCATTTGAGGGATTATACACGGGGCTTCATTCCTTCAGTCCCTACGAAGAACCCAGCCAGAAACCGCGAAGAGCCGCCGACAGGGCTGCCGAGCGCCAGAGCTGATGGCAATGTGGTTCGAGAGGCTTCCGGGCCCTTAGGGGCCATGCGCGGGGCGTTGTCTACTTGGAGTTTTGGGTTTAGGGTTCGGGGCTTCGGAGCTTTGGAGTTTGGACTCGTTAATAACAATCCTGAACACGCACTGTCACTCACCCCTTTCACAGCCCGGCTTAGAGCTTGGGCTTTAGGGTTCAGGGTTTAGGGTGCTCCGGTTGGCTTGATGAAGCTGCCGTTTCCAGGTCCCGAAGCCCATAGCTGCTCTATTGAAAGGGCGAAGGGTTTAGGGTTCAGGGTTTCGGGTCTCGAAGGGGCAGTTCTTCAGAGCTTGCATGTCCGGGCGAAGGGCTTAGGGTATGCACGTCCCCTCAGACCCATTGTCCCTAACCCCAAACGCCTAGACCACAGGCCGTGCGACAGCATCGAAGAAAGCAGAAGTGGCCTGACTCCTAAAGCCCCTACAAACCCTAAACCCTAAACCCTAAACCCTAAACCCTAAACCCTAAACCCTAAACCCTAAACCCTAAACCCTAAACCCCAAACCTTGCAACCCCCCCAAACCCGTCGCAGGCCGCAGTTGCTGGAAGCCTTGGGCTCTCCGTCTTTGCGCTGGGAACCGAGCCGATCCGTTAGCCCAATACCCCACAAGGATCTGTAATTACCTTGGCCCTCTTCTCACCTGCTGGGCCACGAACAAAAACAAGCCTCTACCGCGTAGTCTGGGCTAGACTACGAGAAGGTGAAGGGTTTCGGTTTGGGGTATAGGACTTTGCCCTTTAAACTTTGAACCCAAAGCAACATGTCTCGTCGCGCCATTCCCAGCCTTCCGCATGCCGGTGTCAGGATATCTCTGCTAGGTACTCCCACCCTCAGAACTCCAAGACGTCCATCTGCCTAGTACCCCCTAAACTCCAAACCTAATCAAGCCACGAACCCCAGAATACACCCAGAGAGGCGAAATACTCAGAGCCATATATACCTGAATTCGGAAAGAGGGTTGTAGGTTTAGGGCTGAGGGTTAAGGGCCTTACCCCTTTGGTTACCCCTCACATGTCAACAAGGGGGGGAAGATCCCCTTTTCGTCCTTTCATAAGGGGCTCTAAGCCTGTACAGGGCCCAAGCCCCAAAGTCTACCCAAAGACTACCGGCCCCGGGCACCACCTCGCGTCGCTCCCCGTAGAGAGCGCAGTGCTCATGCTTCCGTGGGATACCTGCCCGCAAACCCTGAACGCAAAAACTTTCAGCCCAACACACCCTACAGGCCCCCTTTCAGCCCCTTCCCACACCAGAGAGAGAGAGAGAGAGTTAGCCTAAACCCTAAACCCTGAACCCTAAACTCTAAACCCTAAACCCTAAACCCTAAACCCTAAACCCTAAACCCTAAACCCTAAACCCTAAACAGTTATGTGCTTGGTTCAGGCGAGCAGAATCTGCCACTGCAGGCACGGCCTACGATTGCGCCGCCAAGTGGCGGCCTGAGACCTCCAAGGCCTCAGCTCTCAGTGATTCTCAGTAGTTGGGTTAGGGTTTATGGTTTAGGGTTTAGGGTTTAGGGTTTAGGGTTTAGGGTTTAGGGTTTAGGGTTTAGGGCTTAGGGTTTAGGGTTTAGGGTTTAGGGCTTAGGGCTTAGGGCTTTGGGCCCGCCCAAACATTTTGGGAGCCAGACAGAGACCTCAGTCAGAGCCAGGGTGTGGAGTGCAAACCCCAGGCCCCTGCTTGGTGGTTCATGGGTACTTATAAGTTGGGTAAAAGGTAGGGTAACTGTGGTTATTCCCTTATTTATTCCCTTACGTAGGGTACAGTACTTGTAACCCCACATAAAAGTGCCCGTGAACCTTCAAGTAGGGCTGTGGGTAGTCATGGAGTCCTCTAGCCTGTGCTACGACTTTGAGTGTAAGGGGTCCAGCCGGCACGCCCCCTCACACCCCAAATCCTCATAAGCCCAGCGTATCCAGGTATCCAGCGCCCGGCAGGCTCCAAACCCCAAACCCTAAACCCTGAACCCTGAACCCTAAACCCTAAACCCCAAACCCTAAACCCCAAATCCGGATTGTGGGCAGCCTGACATACCAGCTCCGAGGGCAGGTTCTTTCGCCCAGAATGACCTCAAGCACCACGCGCGCATGCCCTCTTATCCGAAGCTTCAACCCTCAGGCCTATCCTGAATCCTCAACAGAAGCCCAGAAAGCCTTGACCCTAAACCCTAAATCCCAAACCCCAAACCCCAAACCCCAAACCCTGAACCCTGAACCCTGAACCCTAACCCCTAAACCCTAAAGCCTTCGGTCTCAATCTTGCCAAGTGAGGCGCTACCGAGCACAGTTTCTCTGCCTGCTGGGGAGGGCCTTGGCCGCTTGGAGCCCCAGCTAGCTACTGTTTGCTTAAGAACCCCCCCCCCAAAAAAAAAGGAACTGATAACCCCAATACTACCCTTATGAGATATTTGAAGTCAATTTGTATATATATATATATATATATAAATATTATACACACATATTGGGGGGGGGGGGGGTTCTTAAGCAATTCGTAGCTAATGGGGGTTCATAGGGGGCTTGGGGAGAAAGGTTTTAGAGTTTAGGGTATAAAGTTTGGGATTTAGGGTTTAGGGTTTAGAGTTTAGGGGTTAGAGTTTTCGATTTAGGGTTTAGGTACTGTTTATAAGACCTTCCATGATAGGAGTGACCCATGAGACCCATTGCACCGTAGGTGTTGCTCTTTCAAGGATGATGAAGTACTCCTAAACCTTAAACCCTAGACCAGAAACCCTAAACCCTAAACTCCCGGTAGCCATCAGCCGCAGCCCCAATTGGGGGCTCCGCAGACGAGTGAGTGGCAGAACCCGTATGACTGGGCTTCGAACCCAAACAATAGTAGCAACAATGATAAGTACTAGAAGCAGTAACAATGATAACAAGAGTAATAATCATGTTAATATATATATATATATATATCTATGTATATAGAATAATAATCATCAAAATAATAAGAGTAATAGTAATAATCATAATGAAATCATCAACATAATCATAATAGTAATATTATTAATCGTCGTAGCAATAGTGTATCATAATTCCAATAGCGATATTCATATGAATGGTCTGCTTGGGGTTAAAAGGGTCTTCGCCTGATCCCCCTGAAATCGCTCCGACCCGATGCTGCTGCCCTCACAGGTTACACCCTTCAACCCTTAACTGATTATTATTATTATTATTAGTATTATTACTATTCTTGTTTATTATGACGAGTCTTCTTCGTCTTCTTCTGCTGACTTGTTAGGGTTTTTAAGCGGACCGCCCCGAAGAGTCCCTCGTGCTCACCTCCAACGGCGGCGTCACGCATAACTCCGACAGAACTAGTTGCGCACCTTTGCCTTCCAGTTATATATGTACATATAATATATATATATATATATGTACTATATATATATATATATTTGTATATGTATATAATATTGTAGCCACCATGAACCTTGGAACTTCCGGGGGTGTCTTTTCCTCAGGCTCAGAGTTTGGGGTTTTGGGCTGGAGCTGCCGGGCCTCTTGGGCATCGCACGCAAAAAGCGCTGGCAGACAGCCTTGGGGCACAAGCCGAGCCACCCAAAGGCCCCCATTTAGGGTTTAGGGTTGAGGGTTTAGGGTTTAGGGTTTAGGGGCTAGGGCCTTAAAGCCAGTTCTTCTTGCAAGGCTAAGATGGAGAGACTGTTGGGGCATTCCCTTGCTGAGGGGTTAAGGTTCGCCCGTTTAAGCCAACAAAAAAGGGGCACCCTTTTCATTCCTAGGTTACTCTGAATCCTGGGGGAGTGGCGGCAAGCGCGACGATACCCTTGTCTCTCTCTTGTCAGTTGTGTTCCCTAGGTGCGGAGCAGTGTTGCAAGCTGCTGAAGCAGTCCTAAACGGCCCTAAACTTCAAGCCCAAAGCGCAACAGTGATTCTCGACCCGAAGCCCCAAACCCTAAACCCACAAATCCCAAACCCCAAACCCCAAAACCTAAACCCTAAGCCCTAAACCATAAACCTTCAGGGTTGAGGGTGTGGGGTTCTCGGGCTGCTTACCGCTGCCCGGGTATCTGTCGAGGCAGAGGTGCGGCGCATGGGCACGGGCATGGCGGCTCGGACCAATGCTTGGGGCAGGAGGCATCTTCCTTCTTGCTTAGACTTTCCCTAAACCCTACACCCTAAACCCTAAACCCTAAGCCCTAAACCCTGAACCCTAAACCCTAAACCCTAAACCCCTTCTTGATAGTAGGCATAGTAAGCTGCACGCCCGAAAGCCTATAAACCACCCAGCTCAAGTGATGGTTTTTGGCAACGACCTGGCAGACCGCTTCAGAGGATTCTTTTCAGAGTTTGTTTTGTTGGGGAGATGGCGCCCTGATGATCAGTGCTCTTTTGTTGAAGGGAAGGCTTGGGCCAGGTTTGTGTTTTAAAGAAGGTTTGGGCACGGGTGGTTTGGCTCTGGAATCTCCTTTGCAGCGGCCCATTCCCCTTGTTCTCTGGTCCCCTGGCCCTCCGGTCCTCCAATTTAAAATCCTGCCAAACCCATGATGCGCTATTTCTTTTTTCAAGCCGGGCAAGCTTGCTTCGCTTGACGCAAAACAGGCCCTTACTCCCCAAGGGCTTTAAGCATAGCAGAGCTTTGCCAAGTGCAATTCCCCAATAGCTTGATGCAAAAGAGGACCTTGCTGGTATCCCTAATCGCTTAACGCAAAGAAGGGCCCTACAAATTGGAATTCCCCAATAGCTTAACGCAAAGAAGGACCCTACAAATTGAAACTCCCCAGTAGCTTGACGCAAAACAGGACCCTAGAATTTCGAAGTACCCAACAGCTTGACACAAAACTAAACCCGCCAAGGGCTGGGCCAAACCTAGGGTTATTAGGGTTTATGGTTTAGGGTTTAGGGTTTAGGGTTTTGAAAACCAGTTTTGGCCACACCTATGAGAAGTTAAAACAGAAGAAACAACCTCTGCCGGAATGCTTGGAGCTCTCGTCCTTCCGGGTTAAGCCCCTAAACCCTAAACCCTAAACCCTAAACCCTAAACCCTAAACCCTAAACCCTAAACCCTAAACCCTACACCCTACACAAACCCCAAACCCTCAACCCTAAACCCTAAACCCTAAACCCTGGAACCCTCAACAGCTGCTGGATGAGGGTGTCGGCCTGTCTGCAGCCCGACTACTTCTCAATCTTGTCTCCTTAGATTCCTTGTATACTTACGGGGTTTAGGGTTTAGGGTTTAGGATTTGGGGTTTAGGGTTTAGGGTTCAGGGTTTAACCCCTCAACCCGAAGGGCACATTCACACGTACAGCCTGCCCACGCACTAAGCCCCGGGACGGCTGGAATCAGATCTCCCGGACCTTTCCAGAGCTGGGTCTCTGGCAGGAGCCCCCTTCAGGATCGGTTTAGGGTTGGGTTTAGGGTTTAGGGTTTAGGGTTTAGGGTTTAGGGTTTAGGGTTTAGGGTTTAGGGTTTCGGGTTTAGGGTTTAGGGTTTAGGGTTTAGGGTTTAGGGTTCAGGGTTTAGGGTTTAGGGTTTAGAGACCCTAAGCCCGAAACACCAAATCCTAAACCCTCACCCTGGACCCCAGACCCTCAACCTCCAACTCTTCAGCCCTTAGATGGTAGTTCCTGAAGTCCTACACGTCTGTTCTTGTTGTTTTTGGCGGGCGGGGGGGGGGGGGGGGGGGGGGGGGGGGGGGGGGGGGGGGGGGGGGGGGAGCTAACCCTAGGCCCCAGACGCCCTCAGACCAAAGCATCCGATTGGAACACCTGACCCTGAAAAATTGCGAGGGTGCCCATTCTAGGATGCCCAGTAGTGACCTTACCCTAAACCCTAAACCCTAAACCCTAAACCCTAAACCCTAAACCCTAAACCCTAAACCCTAAACCCTTTTTGGAGGGGTTTAGGTTCCCAGAAAACCCTTTGAGCAAAAAAGGGCACCCTGTTTCATTCCTGGGTTCCTCGGCATCCCAGCATTTAAGGCTTAGGATCCCTGTACACCCCAATATAACCCTAAACCCTAAACCCTAAACCCTAAACCCTAAACCCTAAACCCTAAACCCTAAACCCTAAACCCTAAGCCCCTCACCCCTTCCTGCAATATTAGAGGGCACTCCGTTAGCTTTTGGCAGCACTTTTCCTGAAGCGCAAAATCCACAGGCACTCCTAACCCTTAAGCTTTGAACCCAAAGCCACAGCCCTGGAACCCCAAAAGCCCTAAAGTCCTAGAACTCGGAGCCCCACTAGCCCTAGACCCAAAACCGCCTAAATCATGAAACTAGAAACCCTCATTCAACCCTAAACATTCAACCCTAAACATTCAACCCTAAACATTCAACCCTAAACCCTAAACCCTAAACCCTAAACCCTAAACCCTAAACCCTAAACCCTAAACCCTAAACCCTAAACCCTAAACCCTAAACCCTAAACCCTAAACCCTAAACCCTAAACCCTAAACCCTAAAACCCTAAACCCTAAACCCTAAAACCTTAAACCCTAAACCCTAAACTAAGTGAGGGGTCGCTTCCGTCGAGCGACAGACCCCGAACGCTCGGCCGAGGGCCTTACAGCCCGAGCGCCCAAGCGAAAAGAGAAACGGAAAGGTGAGGGTTAAGCCTCACCGTCTGTCCTGGACAGGCCAACGGACATCGGCCTTTTTTACGACAATGTCAGTACTCGGCTAAGGGATGGCCGGCACCCAGACCACCTTTAGCGTAGCTAAAGTATAACCCCAAATCGTAACCCTTTGCCTCTGGAGGTCAGTTCAGGGTTTTGGGTTCAGGGTTTGCCGGCCCCCCCCCCCCGGGGCCCCCTGGCCCCTGGTGGCTGGATTCCTGGACCAGGAGGCTGGCGAGGGGGTGCAGGCAGGCTGGTTGCTAGGAATTTGGGCCCTCTCCCCAACACACCCCCCGGGCCAAGGGCCCCCCGGCCCCAGGCCAAGGGCCCCCCGGGCCAAGGGCCCCGCACCAAGGCCTCCGCGCCAAGGGCCCCCCGGCCCAAGGCCCCCGAGCCAAGGGGCCGCCCCAAAGGGCCCCGGGCCAAAGGGGTTCCTGGGCCTGGGGCAAGGGCCCCTGGGCCAAGGCCCCCTGGGCCAAGGCCCCCCAAGGGCCCCCCGCGCCAAGGGCCCCGACCAAGAGCCCCCCCAACCAAGGGCCAAGCGCCCCCGGACCAAGGCCAAGGGCCCCTTCGGCCCCCAACCAAGAACCAAGCGCCCGGCCAAGGGCCCTTCGGGCCAAGGGCCTCCGCCCAAGGGCCCCACACCAGATAGCCTTACCCCTACGACTTCAAGCAAATAAGGGCCTCTACGGGCCCTAACGTGCCGAAGGCCCGAAAAGGGCCGAGGCTACCCCGAACCCCAGCTTAAACCCTAACACCGCAAAACCCTGCGAAGGCCTTCAAGCAAATAAGGGCCTCTACGGGCCCTAACTTGCCCAAGGCCCGAAAAGGGCCGAGGCTACCCCGAACCCGAGCTTAAACCCTAGCGATTGATTAAACCCGATTGAAATACTCATTGGCGAAAATTCATTAATAGGTTCCCTGACCTTTAAATGAATAAAGCCTCTACGGCCCCTGACACGCCGAAGGTCCGAACAAGGCCCCGAGAGATCCCAAGAGCCACCAAAATGCTTCAAAAGGCTTCAAAAGGCCCCCTAAAAGAAGGGGGGCCCCAGGATGCCCGTGCCTTCAAATAAAAAATGCCCTAAACCCTAATAGAGTATAGTTTGGGTGGCCGGGGCGGGTTGACGGGCAACGCGAGCGCGCGGCCCGGGGTGCTTCACACCCGAGCGCGCGCCCTCCCCTGACACACCCTAAACCCTAAACCCTAAACCCTAAACCCTAAACCCTAAACCCTAAACCCTAAACCCTAAACCCTAAACCCTAAACCCTAAACCCTAAACCCTAAACCCTAAACCCTAAACCCTAAACCCTACCCTTTCTTGTGGCTTTGTCCCAGCACAGGAGTTCCGAGAGCAGCTTTACCAGCGTTGCTGGGACGACCCGTGTGGCCCATTGCCAGGGCTCCACGGCCTCAGCCTCAGATCCTGAGCTTAGGGTTTAGGGTTTAGGGTTTAGGGTTTAGGGCATCAGATCCAGAGTTTAAGGTTCTGGGGGCTTTCGGTCTAAAGCGCCTCTTTTCGTTTGTTCTAAGGTTACGAGATGCTGTGTGGCAGCTGGGGAACCCTTAGCAGTTTGCTGTTGGAAGGCACTGAGTTTCAGGGGAGTCATATTAAGGATGTGCCCCTCAGAGGCTCCCTGAACATACTCCCAAAATGGCCCTCATATTCCCTCAGAGGATCTGCAAAAAGCGACCCCAAACCCAAGGTGCAACCGTAGTAGGGGTCCAAGGTAGAATCCCATGATAGCTGCGAGCCTCCCCAAGGTAAGGACCTTAAAGGTCAGATGACGCATCAGGGTGCTTTCGGAAAAGGTGCCTCAAGCCCCCGCAAGCCCCCCTAACGCCCCCTGACCCTCATCCCTAATGAAACCCGAAACACGAAACCCGAAACCCGAAACACGAAACCCGAAACCCGAAACCCGAAAGCCTAAAGCCTAAAGCCTAAAGCCTAAAGCCTAATTAAAGCCTAAAGCCTAAAGCCTAAAGCCCAAAGCCCAAAGCCTAAAGCCTTAAGCCTAAAGCCTTAAGCCTTAAGCCTTAAGCCTCAAGCCCTTAAGCCTCAAGCCCTTAAGCCTAAAGCCCTTAAGCCCTTAAGCCCTTAAGCCCTTAAGCCCTAAAGCCCTAAAGCCCTAAAGCCCTAAAGCCCTAAAGCCCTAAAGCCCAAAAGCCCTAAAGCCTGAAACACTCCTAAGCGTGCTGCTCGGTGGAGGCCGTGAGCGCAGCCGAAGCCGCGAGCGCCCGCGGCGCAGCAGGTCGGAAGCGATGAAGGGTTTAGGGTTTAGGGTTTAGGGTTTAGGGTTTAGGGTTTAGGGTTTAGGGTTCAGGGTTCAGGGTTCAGGGTTCAGGGTTTGGGGTTTGGGGTTTAGGGTTTAGGGTTGAGGGTTAAGGGTTTAGGGCTTAGGGAGGCTTGTTTGGGTTCAGGGAAGCGCCCAAGCCCTGCAAGCCTTTTTGGATCGCTAAAAATTCTCAGGGTGGTTACATGGTCCCTCAGTATGGAGCCCTTAATAGGGACCTCCTATATGGTCAGAGGGGTCCTGGCCTATTTCGGTGTATGGCACCACCCACCCTACACCTTAGAATAAACTCTATCCGAGATCTCAGCCCCAATCCTAGTCCTAGCATGTCCACCCAAAGAACCCAACCTATATTACCATCCTAGGAATAGTACTTACACCTACCTCGGTGCATATGCCTGAATAGGCAAAGGGGATTGCTGATGGGGGGCAAGTGTGCGGGGCTTTGATGGAAAAGGTTGTGGAACCGTGCTGCTGGCGTGCAGTTCGTAAACGGTTGGTGAAGGAGGCAGCAAAATCTATGGATTTTTTTTTTTGGGGGGGGGGGGGGGGGGGGGGGGGGGGGTAAGGTGCTGTTTTGGTGGGGCCATTGGCTGTCGGCTTGAGTTCGCGCGGGTGTGTCCTAGTTGTCATAGGTGTGTCCTTGAGTTCGCTCGGATGCGTCCTTAAAGTTCGCTCGGGCGTGTGCTTGAGTTCGTGCGGGTGTGTCCTTGAGTTTGCTCGGGTGTGGTGTTGGGGTAGCTGGAAATGCGTCGGGGTAGCTCTGAAATACCTCGCGGTCATACCGTAACACCTGACCCTTAACCCCAGACCCTGAATCAAGTTCTACAAGACCCCCTTGCCTAGTTAGGCGTGTGGCACCTAGGTAGTTGAAAGTATTATTCCTAGGATGGTAACTTATGGTGTTTTTTGGGAGGAATTGCTAGTATTGGGGCTGAGATCTGAAGATAGATTTCATCCTAGGGTGGTGGCTGAGATCTTAAGATGTTTTTTCCTCGGGCGGGGGCTGGGTGGTGCCATACACCTAAATAGGCAAGGACCCCTCTAACTTTTTACTCTCTATATACCCTTTAACACCCAAGGAACCATGCGTCAGAACCCTCGTCAGAACCCTTTGAGGAAGCTGGGGGACCCAATCAAGGGACTGCGTGACTACCTTGGGATATTCCTCCTTATACTAACAACCCTAAATAAGGATTATAATTGCCCCTATTATTCACCCTATTGAGGACTATTCATATAAGGGGGAACATCCCAAGCAATTAAACCCTAGACCCTAGACCCTAAACCCTAAATCCTAAACCCTAAACCCTAAACCCTAAACCCTAAATCCTAAACCCTAAACCCTAAACCCCAAACCCTAAACCCTTAAAAACTAGTATGAGAGGTGGGCCCGCAAGTGGCGTGTGGCCATGGCGGCGATTCTGCCCTCCGGCGAGGTGAGAGGGAGGGGGGGGGATTTTATGCTTTTACGGTTTTTACGGTTTTTGGGGGGTTTTAGGGTTGTAGGGTTTTAGGGTTTTTCGGCTTTAGGGTTTTAGGGGTTTTGGGGTTTCAGGGTTTTAGGGTTTTAGGGTTTTCGGGTTTTAGGGTTTTAGGGTTTTAGGGTTTTAGGGTTTTAGGGTTTTAGGGTTTTAGGGTTTAGGGTTTAGGGGGGGGTTAAGGGGTTGGGGTGTTTAGGGGTTTGGGGGTTTGGGTGGTTCAGGGCTTCGGGAGTTGAGGGCTTGTTTTTTTGGGGCTCCCGGGAGTTTAGGGTGTCAAGATGTCTTGCATCATGCAGCATTTCGAGGTTTAGGGTTGAGTTTGTTCCTTCATGAGCTGTTGCAGTGGTCCTTAAGGTTTTAAGTTTGCAGGGTCTGAACCCCAAACCCTGAACCCTAAACCGGCCGGTGCATCGCTAGGCGATAGCAGCTGGTGGCTCGGGCCTCCTTGGGGTACTTGCAAGTAGGGTTATGAGCCGGGTAACTCTGGTTATAACCTTGTTTAGGGTACTTCTAACCCCACTTAAGAGTGCCCATGACCCTTCAGGTTCCCATGAGCATCATCTGTCACCAGCGAGCATAGGGCGGGGTTTTCTTGAGCTGTTTGTGCTCGGGGCGCCTAATTCGAAACTCGAAACCCGAAAACTCCTCAGAACGGGCTTAAGTAGGGTTTTGAAATCTAGGGTTTATGGCCTTTAGGGTTTAGGGTTGTAGTTGCCCAAGACCCTCACGACCCTGCTCGGAGGCAGCGGCGCCCTGCAGACCTCAATTGTTATCATCCCCAAGCCGTAAACGCTAAACCCTAAACCCTAAACCCTCAACCCTCAACCCTCAACCCTAAACCCTAAACCCTAACCCCTAAACCCTAAACCCGAAACCCTAAACCCTAAACTGGTTCATAATCCCTGCCTGGGGAGGATATGGCGGCGCCGCCAACAGATCCCGAGGTGACGGACTCGGGCCTCGGATGTCGCGTTCGCAAGAACTTCTGAGAACCCGGAGCCGTGTTTTTGTCCCCAAGCCCTAAGCCCACTGAACGGTACATGGATGCTGAGACCGTACACCTAAACTCGACACCCTAAACCCTAAACCCAAATTGAGGTTGGCTTTTCACGCTGAATCGCCAGCCCACAATACCTCTAAACTCTAGACCCTAAACATCCCCCGAAGCTCTAAACCCCCCAAGCCCGAAACTCCGAACCGAAAGATTCGCTGATTCTGGGCAGGCCCAGAAACTGGCCCACGTGATTTGGCAGGCTGGGGGTCCCAAGGTTGTTGAGGCTGTAGGATTTCAGAGTATCTTGGGGGTTTAGGGGTTGAGGCTCAACGGTTGAGGTTGTGGGATTTTGGGCTGTTTGGGGTGGCTTTGTGCTTGGCACCTTCCCAAGGTTCATGGTGTCGTTCGTGGCATCTGCACACGGCGAAGTCCCCAATCCCAGAGTCGATTCCCGAAGAAAGCTTCTTCTGGAGGGAAGAGTTACTTTGCCTCCTGAGCGCTTTCCCAGTGGGCCCTAAGTTCTCTCGGATGAAACCTTTCAACTGTCAGATTGGAGATCCTAAATCCTCCAGCCCCCCCCCCCCCCCCCCCCCCCCCCCCCCCCACCCCCCCCAAAAAAAAAAACATGAAAACGGCCAAGCCTTGTACTTGCAGTCTTCTTTTCCTACGCCCTTTACACCCCAAACTTTAGGCGACCCTAAGACCCAAAACGAGCAGAGTGCTCAGCCTCCACGCGGCTGTCAAGTCCTGCGCGTCCGTCCGGTCTAGGTGCGAGGGTCTGTAGGGTCCAAAATACAACGGGATGCAGCATGAAGCAGCATAATGCAAGAGAACAGTTTCAAAAATTGTATGTATGTAGTATATATGTATATGTATATATATATATATGTATATGTATAGGTATGTATGTATACACACACATGAATATATATATATATATATGTATATACATATAGTATCTACACAAATAAAGAAATACATAAATACATAAAGAAGTGCATAAACAAATACATAGATATACATATATATATATATAGACACATATACTACATACATTATCGGTCTAGGGTTGACGTCAGGATGTCTCCTCCTGGGTCAAAGATGGGTCTGGCGCGGAGGCCAAACGAGCCCTAGGACAGGGGCTCTACTTTGGGGTCTCAATGAGTCAGATCTCGGTTTAGGGTTTCGGGTCCAGGGTTTCGGGTTAGTGTTTCGGGTTTAGGGTTTCGGGGTTAGGGATTAGGGTTTAGTGTTCAGGGTTTAGGGTTCTCATTCTTTTCGGAAGGGTGCCGATGGCGAGCATGAAGGGCATGCGTTCACATACTCTGAGTGTATCGGAGCTGTTTGGCCGTCTTGTCCCTACCCTACACCCAAAATCCTCAAACCCTAACATGCAAAGCTCCAACACCCCAAACCCTCAACCCTGTACCCCCTAAATACCACCCCTCCCATACAACCCAAAGCTCGCAGACATGCAAAAAGGCCCTTGCACGCAGCCTGGAATGAGCCCTATAGAATGCCCCCCGAACTCCCTACGACAGAGCACCCTGTTGAGTCTTTTTGTGGGTGGGGTGGGGGGGGTGGGGGGGAAGTAATTCTTTCGTTCTTCAACATGAACCTATAGGGGGCCAACTGCGGATTAGACTTGAGGGAAACCCTAAGCCCTAAGCCCTAAGCCCTAAGCCCTAAGCCCCAAGCCCCAAGCCCCAAGCCCCAAGCCCCAAGCCCCAAGCCCCAAGCCCCAAGCCCCAAGCCCCAAGCCCCAAGCCCCAAGCCCCAAGCCCTAAACCCTAAACCCGAAACGGACGGCGGGAGCTTAGATCCCTTGTAGTATCCCGAGCGTAGGACTCTTCAGAATCGACCACCAGTCTGCGGCAACCTTTGGGCGGGAGGTGGGCCCACACGCGCCATCCCGGAGTTTCCAGACAAAATCAGAAAAGCCTAAAGGTTTAGGGTTTAGGGTGTAGGGTTTAGGGTTTAGGGTTTAGGACCCTAAACCCCCAAACCTCAAACCCTAAACCCTAAACCCAAATAGAGCACAATCCCTTAAGGGGCCCCCCAAAAGGGATTCCCAAAATGGATGTGGCTTTGGGGTTCAGGAAAGGCCGATTGAGGTCGCGAGGCTGAAGCCCACTCCAAAAGCTTGGGTTCTGATAGTAGTAGCAGTAGCGGTCGCAGTGCATGCCAAGTTGCAACAGCTCCACTGCAACATTTGGGGGCTTACGAAAATAGGGGGCCCCCTAAAATGGACCCCATATAGTAGGATGCCCTTCTGGTAAGGACCCCAAACGGTACCCTTAATTTCGGAAACCCCCATCTGTGTCTGCTCCTGCATGGGATCAGGCGCGCGATCCCCGCCCTGGTGGGCAGGTAGGCGAGTGGTGTCGGAAGCCGAGATGACAAGCATTCGTCCGCCCGGTTTGCGGGTTCACCTTCCCTCTGGAGATTGCAACACTTGTTGGCGCAACCTCGCATGAGGTGGACCGGCAGCCCTATACAGCACAATCCCAAAGCATAGAATGCACAGCCGGCAAAACTCTAAAAGTCCCGCCCCACGCCCTGCGTATGTCTGATCCTTTAGGGTGCGTGGAAACAAGCCCCCGCGAGGTTCCCGTCCAGAGGCCCTATACCCTTCGGGCCTAGGGTGCTGGGCTCATAACCCTTCGGGCCTAGGGTGCTGGGCTCATGTGTCCCCTCAGGCTGAATCATGCATTCCCTGAGTTTGCTTCAAGGCGCTGAACCCTAAACCCTGAACCCGGAACTCTGAACACCAACCGCAGACAGGGCTTTGGAACATGTTTTTTCCCATGATGGTTGTTGAAGGGATCCTGTTAAGGATTACTTGCAGAGGATGTATTAGTGGCCAAGCAGAACCGTAAACCCAAACCCCTAAACCCCCAAACCCCCAAACCCCCAAACCCCTAAACCCCTAAACCCCTACAAACCCCTACAAACCCCTACAAACCCTAAACCCTAAACCCCAAACCCTGCCTAATCTTAAACCGTCCCTCCGCCGGCCTTGATTTTCTTTGAGCTCACGAAGCGGTTTGGCTCTGCAATAGGGCCAGGACACCGCCGAGTTCTCTAAGTCAGGTCGCACCCTGCGGCGATGGCTCCTTGACTTTGAATTGCAAATTGCGGCTTGGGTGTAGTTTCGACTTCAGGGTTTTCGGGGTTAAGTCGAGGCTGAGGGCTTTTTGGACCTCGGGCCTTAGGCGATGAATGTTTTCATTAGTCGTCTTTCTTTTTAGAAGCATAGTCGTTATGAACTACTATAAACTCTTGTGTGTGTGTGTTTAATGTTCAGATTTGTATACTTATCAATGTTTCTTCATTTTACATACGCCTGAAGCTAAACCCCATGAGCCAGAGCATCGGGGGCTCTCGAGTGTTCCGGGCTGTTCGTAGCGACTGGGGACATAAGGTGCCCTGTACACGTGCCCCCATGCCCTCATTCCCTACTAAGGAGGTATACATGGGGGGATATAGGGTCACCCATTCCCTCATTCCCTACAGAGGAGCACCAGGTACGTGGGGACCGGGGGGGGGGGGGGGTTCGTGGATTCAGGGCTGGGAGTCCCTCTCTAAGAGGGCAAAGTTCACCCCCTGACCCCCTGAGCCGGTAGCTAGAAGTAGAGTTTATAAGTGCCCTAAACAAGGTTATAACCAGCTATAGCTATAGCTCCCCTACATAGAACCCCACTTATAACTACCCATGTACCCTACATATAACTACCCATTACCCTACATAGAACCCCACTTATGGCTACCCCATGGCCTTCAAGTAAAGTGCGAGGTATGCCGCCTCTAGCCATGCCGCTCCTCGCCCCACTCCTGCTGACCATCGCCGCGGAAGGCCGGGCTTGAAGAGTCGTGCGCCGCTGCCGGGTTTAGGGTTTAGGGTTTAGGGTTTAGGGATTAGGGTTTAGGGTTTAGGGTTTCGGAAACCCCCCCCCAAAAAAAAAAAAAAAAAGGAGTCCTGGGCCCTTCGACCCTGAACCAAGGTCCCAACCATGGTCGAGGTCTTCAAGTTCGGGTTTCAGGGTTCAGGGTTTAAACCCTGAACCCTGAGCCCCAAACCCCACCAAACCCCAAACCCCAAACCCCAAACCCCAAACCCCAAACCCCAAACCCCAAACCCAAACCCCAAACCCCAAACCCCAAACCCCAAACCCCAAACCCCAAACCCCAAACCCCAAACCCCAAACCCCAAACCCTAAACCCTAAACCCTAAACCCTAAACCCTAAACCCTAAACCCTAAACCCTAAACCCTAAACCCTAAACCCTAAACCCTAAACCCTACACCGCTGCCTTTCATAACAAGACTCCCTAAACCCCAAACCCTAAACCCCTTCTTGTAAGAGGTTGCCTTCTAGAAACGTCGCCGAGGGACCCGAACAGGTGGGAGACCTTGGAGTCCAAACCCGTTTAGGGTTTAGGGTTTAGGGTTTAGGGTTTAGGGTTAGGGTTTAGGGTTTAGGGTTTGGGCTTAGGGCTTAGGGTTTAGGGTTTAGGGTTTAGGGTTTAGGGTTTCGGGTTCAGGGTTTAGGGTTTAGGGTTCCAGAAGTTCCTGTGACCAAGCTTTTCTAGCAGGCGCCGTGCACAGCAGCCTCGCCGAGGCGGACGACAGCTCAAGTTAATTTAGGGTTTACGGTTTAGGGACTAGGGTTTAGGGATTAGGGTGTAGGGTTTTTCGGGGTTGGAATAATCTGCAATAGCCCCCCCCCCCCCCCAAACCCTGTTCCAAATTTGTCACGCCCCCTGCATTCGATTTTTTTTTTTTTTTTGGGGGGGGGGGGGGGTGTTTGTGCCTAAGGGGAACCTCCCAGCTTGACGAAGGAGAAGCTTTCCCTTCGACTGGGAGCTGATTTCCAGGTTCTACCTTAGGGGTTTCGGGTTTGGGGTTCCGGGTTTAGGGTTGAGGGTTCAGGGTCCGTGTTCAAGAGCTGTGCTCTTCTTGTGGCTGTGACTGGCTGTTTCCATCTCCTCTTTCCGCTCTTTTGCCAACGGGGAGGTGCTCGTCCCAAGAGCTTGCAACCCTAAACCCTAAACCCCAAACCCCAACCCTAAACCCTAAACCTTAAACCCTAAACCCTAAACCCTGAACCCTAGCCCCTCAGTCACCTGACCAGAACAAATTGTTCAAGACATCGCCAGGTGGACCTGCACGGCCACGCCCGGCTTGTCCGCTCAGTGCAGCCGTATGGCAAGCCGCTTCAGCAGCACCATGGATTTAGGGTTGGGCTGTTTGCCCTCATACTCATAGCCCTCAAAAGGGAGTAGAATAGGGGGTACTATAATCCCTAGTAAGGACTGTTAGTACAAGGGGGGGACATCCCACGATTAGGGGGTTATGGTGCAGGGATTCGGGGGTTGGTTTGGGACCAGGAGATTGAGATTTATTCTTGGGCTTCGGTGGATTCCATGCTTTGTTGGACTGATCTAAGGCGACGGGATGGGCCTCGGCTGTAGGTCCTCCCGGTCTGTTTCGGTTCGATGCGCAGCTGTGGGAGAAGACTACCTTCCTAGAGACCCTTAGCCACACCCTAAATCCTAAATGCTACATCCTCAGTCTTAAACCATGAGCCCTCTTCCGCAGGGCCCTTGCGCCAGCCTTCTGCGCGTACCTCCGCAGCAACACCGGCTGCTTCCGCCGGGGCGAGTTCAACCTGCTGCTGGGCAAGGAGAGGGTGTACTTGAAGGGCATGGGTAGTTCTAAGTGCGGTTATATGTATGGCAACTATAGTTCTAACTGGTTCTAACCCTGTTTAGGGCACTTGTCACCCTACTTGTAGCTACCCTGTTGCAGCAAGCTGCCACAGAAGCCAAGTAAGATGCTGTGCGACGCAGGATGTCGGGCCGGCACCCGTGACAAAATCTCAGGAAGCCCTTAAAATCCTGAAACGCAAACCTCGCGGAAACCCTGCAACGAGTTAAACCCCTAAAGCCCTAAGCCCCTAAACCCCAAACCCTAAAGCCCCATAAGCCCTAAACCCTCAAGCCCTAAACCCTAAACCCTTAACCCTAAACCCTACACCCTACACCCCAAACCCAACACCCGAAGCCGAGGCGCCTGGAAGTAACCGCCGAGCCCACGCGCTGCCTGAAGTTCGCCTTCTACAGCTTCGAGGCTCCTGGGCAAAGGGAGAACAAAGGGTAGGGTATAGAGGTTAGGGTTTAGGGTTCAGGGTTTAGGGTTTAGGTTTTTAGGGTTTTAGGGTTTAGGGTTCAGGGTTCAGGGTTTAGGGTGCAGGGTCTGGAGTTTACCGTTGGGTTTTAGGTTTGGGGCTTGGGGTTCAATGCTTATAAGGTGAAGGGCTTTAGATTCAAGGCTTTTGGGATGGGGTGTGTCTGGCTTCGGGTTTGGACTGGTTAAGGGCTCATACCCGGCAGGAAGAACCAGCAATGGACCTTCCCGAACTCCCAACCCCACAACGCTTCGAGCTTCTGGAGGCGTTTAGGATTGAGGGTCTAGGGTTCAACCAGCGTAGAAGTTTCGTAGTAGGTCACTTCAAGTTCGAATCCTCGGAACGAGGATACCACAACCGCAGCCATGAACTAAGTGCCAATGGCGACTGAAGATCACACTTCCCACAGGATTCTCAGAGATTCCTGTTCCCAGAGCCTAAACCCTAAACCCTAAATGCATTCCCCCCAAATCTTGTGTCTCAAACCCCTCAACCTGATCCCCCCCAAGACCAAAACTTGTGTTCCAGACCCGAAGCCTTTCGTGGCAAGGGCAGGTACGCCGTGTGCGACTCCGCAAAGTACCCCTCCACGTGACTTGGATTTCAGGAGTTCTGCTTGCTTATAAAGGAGGTTTTCAATTTTTGGGGAGGGTTTAGGGTTTAGGGTTCAGGGTTTAGGTCGATATCACGATATCCTTAAATTACGAAGAGATATACCTTCTGAATGAGGCTGTAGGGGAACAACGAACGAAGCACTAGTACATAGGTTAACCGCCTGGACAAGATCGATCCTTTTTGGTGGTTGTTTTGTTCCTTCCGTTACTATACAACGAACGAAAATTAGGTTCATGCAATGGGCAATGCGCAGTGCGCGAAGAGAAAGAAAGGAACACAATAAATATGTCGGCATTCAGTCTTGCGAGTTCCTGCTGAAGCATTCAAAGAACCGTTGGGCGGCTTTGAAGGCACAGGCTAGAGATGTTCGCAAAGGTCATATCAACCTCTGAAGGGGCCGAAACCCCACACCCTGAATGCCACCCTCCCAGACAGCGTTTCGTCCCTAAAACCTAAATCTTATACCCTTAACCCTAAACCTAAACCGTAAACCCCGATGAGACCCGTAAGGTACGGCCGCAGCGATGGCTCCGGCACACACGATGTGTGCTTCAGCAGCCTTGCCCGAGGCCGGCGTGCTTATACCCACGACTCGTAGGGACTTCAGGGTTCAGGGCTGAGGGTTTAAGGCTTACCTTTCCTACCCTAAGTCCTAAACCGTAAGCCTTAGGCTCAAACCTTAAACGTTGCAGACCCTCAAGCCCCTCCGATAAACTCGAAGCCCTAAACCCTAAACCCTAAACCCTAAACCCTAAGCCCTAAAAAGCCCTAAACCCTAAACCCTCTAGGCCCTAAACCCTATCCCCCTCCTCTCGGCCACGCCACGTCGCGCATGCAGGCCGCTTCGCCTACGACCCCGACAAGAACCTTCCGAGCACGTCGTGGGCTCAGCCCAGTTGGCTTTAGGGGTTAGGGTGTCCTAGACCCTAAACCCTAAACCCTAAACCCTAAACCCTAAACCCTTAACCCTTAACCCTTAACCCTTAACCCTTAACCCTAAGCCCTTTGTTTGGGGGGTCCCTGCGAGAGCGCGGGGCTCCTGTGTTTAGGGTGCCCTCAGAGAATTGGCCATGGGCATAGGGGGGGGGGTCTTGAGGTTAAGGGTTGAAAGCCGGGGCTTTTGGCTTGTATATCTACCCTAATCCTAAACCCTAAACCCTCAACCCTAAACCCTAAATCCTAAACCCTAAACCCTTTTGGTTTGTATATGTGTTTTTGGCTTGGGGGGTCGAAGCTTGGGAGAGTGGTTAGGTTTGAAGGTTTAGGCTTTACAGGGTTTTTTTGGGCTTACAGGCTTTACAGGGTTTATAGGGCTTGTAGGGTTTGTAGGTTTTTTTGGTTTATAGGGTTTATGGGGGCTTACTGGTTTAAGGTCTGGTATGCTTGGTTTGGGGCTTGCAAGTTTAGGGTGCACTGGTCGAGGAAGTAGCCTGCAACTACACCTTTTCGGGTCGTAGAATCTGTACAGAGCCTGACCTTTGCTTCCCTTTCAGGACTTGGGGCAAAACCCTCAAGCCCTCAAACCCTAACCTTAAACCCCTAACACTCTAGAACCTTAAAACCCGAGCGCCCTAGGCCTCTAAACCCCTAAAAACGCCAACACCCCCTCAGACCCTAGAAACCCGACAGCCCGAAACTACCCCAAAACCTAAAGACTCTAAAACCGGAACAAACCCTACAAAACTCTAACACCCTAACCCAAAGACCCAAAGGACCCCAAACCCGACAACTGAAGACCCCCGGTCCCCGGTGCTCAGGGTTTTTTCGGTTTGAGCATTGAGGCTCCCTAAGCCCGGAGGGTTTCGGGCTTAGGGTTTAGGATTTTGGGTTTTGGGCTTAGCCTAAACCCCAACTCTTCTTGGGATGCTTGCGCGAGGCAGTGGGGCCTTGAGGAGAGCGATGGGCTCTCCTTCCTCAAGGCACGTTGGGGTTTGTGGGGTGGAGGGTGTTGTAGGGCGCGCCGGCGCAGCGACAACATCGTGACTCAAGCTCTTTGGCGCGGCCCCAAACCGTAAGAGCCGCATACCCTCGGGCGTGGTCCTCATTCGGAAATCGGGAAAAACATGTATTATCCAGGACATGCCCCACAAGCTCTAAAGCCGCGTCGGGTTCTTTCGGGCCCCACCGAGCCTGTATATGGCGTGAGAGGCCCCATCCAAGCCTAAAGCTTTTTGCCCGAAGCCTTAACCTCAATCAACCCCCCCCCCCCTCAAAAATCATTTGAACACTACTGGCCCTCGGCCCTGAACCTAAATCTTTATCCTTACTTGGAGGTTCATGGGTGCTTTATAAGTAGGCTTATAAGCGGTAACTATGGTTACAACCTTACTTAGGGTACTTCTAACCCCACCCAGAAGTACCCATGAACCTTCAGGTAAACCCTGAGCCCTGAAGACTCAACCCGAAAACCCTCGAAAACTAGACTTTCTTTTGGGAGGAGGGGAGGGTTTAGGATTTCGAGTTGCGGATCGTTGTAGTTGCGGCCTTTCCATTGAGAAGCGGGATGTGTCGTCATGGTGCTGTGTATCCACCTGCGACGTGGCGGCATCTGTGGCGCAGTCTGATCTTCACGCGGGACATTAACTCGATTGCTGATGACACGACGCGCGCACGGCCCCGCATCACGGGGTGTAATTGACTGTAGTGCAGCATAGGGATCCGTCGACGTGGCTGATGAGTTGTCCATGTAGTTGTCCGCCGTTTGGCGCATGCTTGCCCCGCGCCTCGCCGTGTTCGATGACATTTTTGGGGCGAGTGCCTCGTAAGCCGCAGAGAGTTGGAACCTTTTCTTGACATCTGCGAGCCCTGTGTGCCTGCATTGAAGCCCCCGTGTGCGGTCGCTGGATTTTCTGAAGGCGTGCCTGGATGTGTCGTTCGCCAAGCAGACACGCAAGCGCTCGACCGGAACTGTTGGGGCAGACCGCGTGCAAGGGATTGCTGGGACTGCTGAGTTTGTGCGAAGTAGCACGCGCGGGTGTGTCGCTCGCTTTGTTTGAGAGAGCCCGGTTTTTTGTGAGAAAAGCATGAAAGCACCCACAAGCCCCGCGATCCTGCCCGCGGCTCCAGGACAGCGGCGGACGCTGCATCGGCATTCGCGACGAGAAGGTGCTAGACCCAAAACGATTGACGCCAGGAAGGGCAGCGCTTCAGGATCTCTAGCGTTTTGGGTTGAGAGGCCAGAGGATCCCAGAATGTGCGCATGTTCACCAACTTCTGGCAGAGGAGGATCGTAGTGCTGGAACACTCAAATACTCGTCCCAAGCCCAGATGACCCTGCACCCACGCCCCAACAGATAGGGCTTGTCCTTCGGTCACCATATGGCGGCCTTCCATCATGGGGTTCCTTAGTAAAAAGCGTTGCTCCCCGATCGACCCCCGAGCCCTAGCCTGCGCTCAGTTAGCATTCCTGGAGCCCGCCGCTTGTTCTGGGTGGGAGCTGGAGAGGACTGCGGACTGCGCCGGGGTCAGGTTTTAGGTGACGAGCTCTGACCTCGTGACCTTGGGCAGAAAGGAGGGTGCGGTTTTGTTCCTTCTACAAGCGTTGCAGAGCTAAACCCTGACAAAGCAAGAGTCTGCGAGTGCGAGAAACACCGCGGCAGGACAACCCTGCACACTGGCTTTCGAAATTACATTCAACCGTCAACCCTAAACCCTACCCTAAACCCTAAACCTAAACCCTAAACCCTAAAGCCTAAACCCTATAAGCTCTAAAATGGTCCGTTTGAGTCTCTGTAGAAAATTGCCCCGAGTCTACCAACCTCGAGTCCTCAACATCCAACAGGGCTCGCTTGACGTCAAACCTCCAGGTTCATTCCACGTACAGTTTAGGGCCCAAACCCTAAACCCTAGCAAACCCAAACCTTGGGATTCTCCCCCTTCTACTAACAGTCCGTAATTAGTAGGGATTATAGTGCCCCCTAGTTACTATCCCTTTTTAAGGACTGCTAGTATGAGGGGGAACATCCCAACCCCAACCTTAAAAGGCCCAAACCCAACCCCTAGCCCTAGAAATCCAAATCCTAAAAATCCCAAAGTCCCTCAGCCCTAAACCCGAACCCTTAATCGTACACCCGAAGCCCTTAAAAACCCAAACTCCCCAAAAAACCAAACCATAAAACCGCCAAAGCCCCTAAATCCAAACCCCTTAAACCCTAAACCCTAAACCCTAAACCCTAAAAACTAAAGCTTGCTTGGCGCGGTGCAGGACCTCCTGCTCCTGAGGATGCCAATAGGATCACACCAGAGAGCCTAAGACACCCCGAACTCAAGGAATGTGTATAGATATATATATAATATATATTTATTTATAATATTAATTATATTATTTTTTTATTATATGTATTATACATTGGGGTTTAGGGTTTAGGGTTCAGGGTTCAGGGTTTAGGGTTGAGGGTTCAGGGTTTAGGGTTTAGGATTTAGGGTTTAGGGTTTAGTGTTTAGGGTTTAGGATTTATGGTTTAGGGTTCAGGGCTTCGGTCTTGGGGTTTGGGGTTTAGGGTTTAGGGTTCAGGGAAACTTGTACAGGGCTTAGGCTGATTCGGCGTTGAAGGGGTATGCGTTAACATCAAGCGTGCAAACATGTGCATGCATATATATATATATATTTATTTATTTATATTTATAACTATATACATACACAGGTATGTATTTTCGCTTCTTAGTTTAAGGGGTCTTGGGCTCCCTGACCAAGCTCTAGCAGGTCAATCGATTAGCGAAGGTTCAGGGTTAGAAGATTTCAAGGAGATGTGGGGAAGTACAGGGTTGTGGGGAGGTTTGTGCGGGGTTTTTAGGGTTGTCCTGGGTTTCGTACCTGTAGAGAGTGACCTTTGGCAACGCATCGCACCGGCCAAAAAGTGACAGTGACAACGGCGTGCCGTGACAGTTCGCTGCCGCAGGGGTATAGAGATAAGCTTGCGGGCTCGTGTAGTAGCTGTGTTGTGCATCTGTGTACGAGCGGTGCTCTGCTGGGGTCTTTCCTTGGTGCATGTGACGTCGTTACAATGACCGCCCCGGATGCCAAGCCCCAAGCTCGCTGGTCCTTAGTGTCGAATGAGGGAACGAGGTACCCTATAGAATCCCTGATAGGGTATGTATAGGGCCTAGTTCCCTTAACCCCAACCAAGAACCAGGGGGCCTGAATCCCACAAGAAAGCCTAAGCCCACACGTGCCATCTGGAGGGTTTCGATGTGTTGTCGCCGTACGCTACACACAGTTGCACACACACTTACACATGCAATTATACACTTGCACACTGACACACTTAACACGCCCATGCACCTACACACTTAAACACGTGCACACTTACATACTTGCAGACTTGCACACTTGCACGCTTGCACGCTCCCACGCATTCACACTTTCACCCTTTCACACTTGCACACTTTCACACTTGTACACTTTCACACTTACACACACACAGAGTTTTACTTCTACATTTACACTTACACTACTTCGGCCCGCGAGCGAATTTCCGAGGCTTCATCCCCACCTCAGACCTCTTCCTCGTTATCGGCGAGGACCTTGTAGGCGTGACGCTTGAAGGCAGGGTCGTTAATGGTTCAAGGGCTTCAGGGTTTCAGGGTTGAGTTCTTAGGGTTTGAAGCCCGAACCCCTCATCCCTAAACCCGAAACCCCAAACCCTAACTCCCAAGCCCCAAACCCTCAACCCCCAAACACTACGCACTTACACCACTCCAGCGAAAGGGAAGGGGAACTCTTTGCATCCTGGCTGCCAACGGCGTGGGATGCCATACAAACACTGATGAATCTTGAGCACGGTCGCCTCAGGCGACCGTCAGCCACGAGGATGAACCCTAAACCCTAAACCCTAAACCCTAAACCCTAAACCCTAAACCCTCAACCCTCAACCCTAAACCCTAAACCCTAAACCCTAAGTCTTAGACCACTCTTAACCCCCAAACCCTGCAGCCATGCCCAAAGTCCATCGACCCCCGTCCCCTGGCGCCCTTTGCGCCCAGCACCCCACCCCAAATTCCAACAAGTCCTCAACCTACCCTAAACCCTTCCCCCTCAAGCCCTGAGCCCTTTAACCTTAAAACCCTAAACCCTAAACCCTAAACCCTTAACCTTAAACCCTAAACCCTAAACCCCAGATCCTAAATCCTAAGCCCTGCTCATCTTTGGAACTCTTACTAAACGCATGAGCCCCGTTGCCCGAAGCCCTAAGCCCGATTGCCAGGCCTTTTTGCCGATAACGCTCCCGGCCAGAAGAGGCCCCGACGTGAAACGGTTTAGAGCTTAGGGTTTAGGGTACCCAGGCCTTTATTCTCTTTAATAAAAGCCAAAAGGGCATCCGCTTTATGCCTAAGCTACTCGGTCTAGTCGATGGTGCGGGGTTCTAGGGTTTTGGTTGGTGTTGCGCTGTGCAGAGAGCCCAATACCCCGGAAGTCGGGAAACTTTCCTCAGACTTGAATGCTAAACTAAAATTGAGGAGACAGCGTGTGCTGTCTTGAGACGCCTCGTCCGAGAAGCCCCGGACGGCCCCAAAAACCCCAGCCTGTCCCTAAACCCTGGAGCCCTACACCCCAAACCCTAAACCCTATTAAAACCCTAACCCCTAAGCCCCTGGAGCCCTACACCAACTTAGGGTTCAGAGCTTAGGGTGCCCCAAGTTCCTGCACCCTGAGCGACGTGACGCCCGCACCTGTGCCCTCACCCCCGAGCTCTTCAGCAAACCTCAGCCGGTCGAATCCAAGGCTTTCAAGTTCCGAGCCAAGACTTTCAAGTGCCCCTACTTGTCGATCAGGGTTAAGAGTTTAGGGTTTTGCATCAGATCATGTACCCCGAATCCCATCAAAACTGCTACACCTTCCCATTGGTGCATTCCATGTTCCATGCTTGCGAACTTTTGTTGTTAAATTTGGGGTATTGAACTGTGTGAATATCCGGTGGAGCGTGGCAGAGCCTTAAGTCTCAGAGTAGGGTCTTATTCCCTTTTGTGAGGGTTTGGGCTCCCCTTATATGCGCCTTTAAACCAAAAAGGGTACCCTGTGCATTCTTAGGTTACTCTTGTGTCTAGGTGTAGTTCAGGGTTTAGGTTACTCTTGGGTCTAGGTGTAGTTCAGGGTTTCGTGCTCAGGTTTAGGGTTCCTTTGTTTGAGGGACAGCTGGGCGTGCCAGATGCATAAACCTTAAAGCCTCATACTAATATAATATCGTAGGCATGAAAACTCAATCTAACCAATCTAACCCTACACTCTGAACCTTTAATTAGCCCTGAACCCTAAACCCTCAAACCCTGAACTCGGAATCCTATGTACCGTCAACCCTAAACCCTCAACCCTCAACCCTCAACCCTAAACCCTAAGCCCTAAACCCTAAACCCTAAACCCTTGGGGTCTCAACCCTGGCTTGCCCCGGTCTCGTTGAGGAACTTACCGGAGTTCCTCTTAACGCCCTAAGCCCCACAACGCTTAAAGCCCCTCAATCCTAGGGATTCTTGTACCCCGACTATCATCCCCATGAAGGACTGTTAGTATAAGGAGGAACCTCCCAACTTAAGGCCCTTAAACCTAAATCCTCAAGCCTTAGCCCTTAAGTTGAGGGGTTTAGGCTTCGTTCGGCTTTCCGCCGCAATCCCCCCAAACGTTCAGGAATGTTACGATGTACTGCCTGCACCGATGTTTAGGGTCGCACTTGACAGGGTTTAGGGTTTACACGTAGGATTTAGGGTGTAGGGTACCCTAAACTCTAAGCCCTAAGCCCTAAACCCTAAACCCTAAACCCCAAACCCTAAAGATGGAGGGTTGAAGGGCTCCGGGCCACCCTGACCTTCAAGACCCTGGACCCTAAGTAAGGAGCTCCAAACTCCGAACCCCCCTCCCACTCTCCTCTCTACAAGAGTTAAGGGTTCAGGGTTTCGGGTTTAGGGTTTAGGGCTTGAGGGTTCGGGGTTTAGGGCTTAAGGGTTAAGGCTTAAGGGTTAAGGGTTTAGGGTTTAGGGCTTTAGGGTTTGGGGCTTAGGGTTTGGGTGTAAGCCCCTTAAGCCCTCGTGCAGGCTTAGCTTGGCGGAGTGCTACAGGACCGGACCCGCACTCTGCAGACCGCAGCGCAACTTAGGCAAACTCCAGGAGCCCAGAACCCCAAACCCCAAACCCTTACAAGGGACCTTAGGGGGTAATCTAGGGGCTACTTCTAATGGTGAATGTATTCAATTTAACATATGGTCTTGCTTTGTTGGGCCGGGGGGAGGGTTGGGTTTGCGTCCAGGTCTCAGAAAAATATGTTTTTGTTCTTTCAGCTCTGCATAGATGTGAGTATGGTTGTTTGCGAGCGGGCCCTTTCAGGATTTGTTAAACTTCGTGCTAAACGTCATGAAATCGACTTCAAAGGGTGGGCGCGGGATGCTGTCAATGTCATAGGATTGTCAACATCTTCCTGAACTTTCACAGGCTCTCGTTGGATTTCAATTACTTCAGCTCTGCAATAGATCTCATGGAACTGTCTAGGAGGTCACGTGATTTGATAGGATTTCTTGGGGTTTAAGGAGATCCATGGGGCCGTAAAAAGGAGCTCTGGTGACTCTGGTTTCAATGAGTTTCAATAAAAACGCGATCCCATGAATGTTCTAGTCGAGTTCATACAAATCATATGTTTCATCATTAATTGTTATTAGACGTCATAGAATGTCATAGGATTTCGTAGGAATTTGGAAAAGCCTGCTCATATAGGCATAGAATTCCATATGGGGTTCATCCGGTCACACAGGATGTGGTGAGAGATTTTTCGTCATTTTTTGACGAACAGAAAACTACCAAGACCTTTCCGATCCCATGGAGCTTTATCAAAATGTAGGTAGGAAATCCCACGAAACCCTACGGGGTGTCGCGACTTAATAAATTCCTAGGTAATCCTAGACCACAAAATGCAAACCCTATGGAATTCTCTGAAAACGATGAACATCTCTGAAATCTTACGAAACTCTGAATTCCTATGAAAATAATTGAAGTACTATGAAATCTGATGACGCCCCATGACATCCTGTGAAATCCTAGGGGGTCCTACGAGATCCGAGGCAATCCTCGGAAACCCCATGAAATCCTATCAAATCTCACCTATGGAAACCTATGAAATCCCATGAAATCCTACGAAAGATCCTTCGAAACATGGCGGAAAGTTTCACAGGAGCCGACCAAGCAACGAACGAGACTACTTTTTTGGTGCTGCGCCTCCTTAGCAATGCCGGAAATATAGGACAACCTTGATATCCTGGGGAGCTTAAAGACTTCCTGGTAATATTGGGATTTCTCAAAACACGAAGAAATCCAGAATTCCGGGATATGAATGGCAGACCGGTGCGGCTTCGCCTGTTGCGCTATTCTGGTCCTACTTGCTGGTCATCTTAAATCAGACGGGCATCCGGGACTCAGCAGTTGCCGGACGCATGGGCCAGAAACTCCAAAAAACCTCATCCTCAGACCATCTGCCCCGGTGTCGTGGCGACGCGTGGGAGGTTGCCACTGGATGCAGTGTTTGCTTCTGGCTTGAAGAGTTCCAAGCGATTGGACTTGTTTAGTGCCGACGCCCGAGCTCAGGTTTCCATGACTCGATGTGGGCCTTTCGTGCACCTGCCTACCTTGGTGCCATACGTTTCAGACGTTCCACCGCCAACCCCCCCCCCACCCCCAACCCCCGCCCCCCCCCTTTCCAGACCCCCGTTCTGGGCTCGAAGCCCTAGGTCTGGGGGCACATCGGGCGGGGTGGGGGAAAGGAATGAATGAATGAATCAAGCAAAGGAGAATGAGCGACTGATTGAATGAAGCCCATGCTGCAGCTCCACCCTTGAGGAGTCTCCAAAGCCCCTTCGTACACGTTCCCGGTCGGCAGCGAGCCCAGAAACTGCAAAGCAGGAGCTGAGAATGTTTTCAAAGCCTCCTGTCGTGGACATCCAGGGGCCACTGCAGCAGCGGGCGGAGCTGCGAATATTGCATGCCGTCCATGCTGTCCCCTGGAGGCACAAAGGTCTTCTAAACAGCGGACTGGCGCCAAGAAATCATTTTTGGGGTCTCCCCTTTAGCTGGCAAAGGTGCTCAAGAGGAGATCTGCGGCCAAAGACCACCTGGCTAGCGGTTATGACCTTGTCGCGAAGCAACAAGGGCCCGACGCCCGGCCTCCAGCCAACATGCACGTGCTGTACGCCCGTGATGTGACCTTGTCGCGAAGCAGCAAGGGCCTGATGCACATGCTGCACGCCCATGATGTGATCTTGTCGCGAAGCAACAAGGGCCTGACGCCTGGCCTCCAGCCGCAGCTGCGCCGCAACAGCATGCTGCGCCGGCAGCGTGGCTGGTGCATGGCCGCTGCGCTCCTTACGACCGCTAGGAGGTGCCTAGTTAAAAAAACTACTTGTTTGGGCGGACTGGAGACAGGGACAGATGCGAAGTCGCAGCGTGCTGATTGCATAGATGATCCCGTCGGCCGTCCAGCGTAACCAGCGTCGGAAAAGAAAACAGACCGCAGACCGCACGGTACTCGTTACTGCGTTTGCGCAAGGGATACCGCCATTGAACATCGAATCAGACGTCAAGAATGTGTGCCGATTCGCTTCCGCTGTAGCTGCTGCTTAGCTTAGCTGTCCGTGTAGTTTCCAACGCGTGCTCTTTGCTGCCAGCCAGATGCTTCACGTGTCTTGGTTGCCAGCAGTTTGGCTGTAGCCGTCTGCCTGGCACGAGAGAACGTCCCTTTGCAGACCCTCAGCGCAGACCCCAACTTTCGACGAGATTGGATCTTGGTCACAAAGAGGCGCAACCTGGCACGACCCTCAGGTGTGCCGCACTGTTTCGTACATACGGCGCTGTAAAAGCAACCTTCTAGGTTGAGCCCCGTGCTGCTGAGGCCCACCGTCCTCAACCAGAAGGAGAAAAAACGAGGTGCGTTGGCTTGTAGCTCCCTTTCTGGGCGCGTCAAGCACCAGTGATGGAGGGCCACTCCGGCACAGGGATCAAGAAAAACATCATGGGATAGAAAAAAAACTTGCCAAGGAACAAAAATCACTTGGCGGGGATCAAGCAAGCAATTTGAGTTACAGGACACCCTCAAGTAGTCAATGGTCTTAAATGTTGGCACCTAGGTGCGGAAATAGAATGCTTTGAACTGGACCACGGACCATGTGGGACCATTTGGCCACCGACAATTTAAGACCCTTTGCAGCCCGCAACTCTGAGCACTCCGGGCCCCACTTCCTCAAGCCGATGCCAGGCTCAGGCCGCGCCCGCCCGTTGGGTTTGGGGTTTTAGGATTTAGGGTTTAGGGGGGACCTGAGACCAAATTCCGACAGGTCGCAAATGGTAGCCGGATTACGGCCTCAAACCCTGGGTGCAACCATTCGAGATCGTCAAAAAAGTTTTCAAATGGGGAGCCCGCGTAGACCATAGGAGTGTAGGAGTGTTGAGGAGATGTTACAGGCCTCGGACCCAAACCCCAAACCGCCACACCGCTCCGGGACCGACGCGCGCAGGCCAATCCCCTGACGGGAACAAACGGCTTCAGACCATGGCTCGTGTGTATGATTCACTTCTTGCAGTCTCTTGAACTGTGTTGAGCGAGCTTGTTCTGTATGCCCTCGTGCCTGGTCGAGCCGCATGGTCCTGCGCCCGTGGTCTTCCGGTCCTTTTGTTTCCAGTGGACTTCATCAGATCTCGCAGAGGTCATAGCAATGTATTCGATTTCATCATCGGTTGTCAAAAGGCTTCATAATAACTCATAAGGTTCCACTCTAAACCTAAAGCCCTAGACTCTTAACCCCTACGCCCTAATCCCACTGAAGTGCGATGGAACTTCAAGAAGTCCTATGACATCTTATGAAACCCCATGAAATCTGTAAAATCCTATGAAACCCCATGAAATCCTATAAAAGCCTGCGAAATCCCATGAAATCCTATAGCACCCAGCGAAATCCCATGAAAGCCTATGAAGTCGTATGAGATCCCATGAAATGTTGCTCACGTAGCCACTGGCATACACAAAGCATACAGCCCAAGATGTTATGTTCATGATATTCTGTATAGGAACTGTGATTGATCAGTATTCATTTTAACCTTATGAGCCCAGCTGTTCAGATCACGTGCACGATCTAGCGAGCCTAGTGGTATGTGAGAAATAAACCTGATGTAAATGACACATCTGATGCAATTAAATCTAGTATGCTTCGAGGATCGATAATCGAAAAAGTATGATAATGTAGCCGTTGAAGTTATACAATGCATTAAGCTCAGTATATGATGTTCATTATATTCAGTATAACCACTATATCCATCAGGTTCATTCCCTACATTCATTCTAGTGCTGAGTATACTCAAACTAACATTTTTATTCATTCTGCACGTTTCATTCCTTGCATTTGTTAGATCCGATGCATTCATTGCTATTCTTGTCAAGTTCCGCGCTGCTTTTTTGGGGTGGCGGGAGGGGCTACCCGGATCCAGGATAATCGTTCTGAGAAAGCGTGACCGAAATCACTCAAGTTTTCAGTTTTGCTTATCGGGGGGGGGGGGGGGGGGGGGGGGGGGGGGATTGCTTGAGGGTTAGGGTTTAGGGTTTAGGGTTTAGGGTTTAGGGTTTAGGGTTTAGGGTTTAGGGTTTAGGGTTTAGGGTTTAGACATGCCATGTTGTGCTTGTCGGGAAGCTTAGCTTGAGACATGATCCTGTGGATTGAGCATCACAAACCACAAGCCTACACGTCTCAAAGTCCAAAAAGTCCAAAAAGTCCAAAAAGTCCAAAAAGTTCAAAAGTCCAAAAGTCCAAAAGTCCAAAATCCACAGGCCGACAAGTCCAAAAATCCATGGTTATTGGGACTTTTGGACAAATATAGGCCGGAGAATCTTGAGCTTTTGGATTTTTTGACTCTTGGACTTGTGGACTTTTGGACTTTCAGACTTTAGACTATTGGACTCTTCGACTATTGACCCACGACAGGCGCGTGTCATGTACATATATATATATATGTATATGTACAGATATTAGGGGCTACGTAGGGGAAGAAGATGAAGGGTCCAGCCCTAGGGGTCCCTCCTCATAGGCCTCACAAAACACCCCCAAACACCCCTCTGCAGGAAGCGACCCACGCCGGTGGAGGCTCAGGGCTTGGGAAGTTTGTTTATTTACATGTTCTCCTATTGGGTTTAGAGGATTTAGGGTTTAGGGATTTGAAAAGGTTTGCGTTCAGGAGTGGGCTGGGGGGGGAGGGGGGCTGGAGGGAGGTGTTGCGTGCAGGGTATGTGGGCCTCTCTTTGTCTGCTGTGAGCAGGCTCTGAACGAGGGCGCCGAGGAGAAGGGGCCGCCCAAGAAGGCCGGCTGTAGGGTTTACAAGGCTTGGGGTTTCGGATTTCCACGCGAGATGAGACCGTTCGGATTCCCCGGAGTCTTGCAACCCCCCCGCCCCCACCAGGACTAAACCCTCAACCCTAAAACCCAAAACATAAACCCTTGAACTTGGGCTTGAACTCTGGCCCTTAAACCCCCCAACCCCCCCCCCCCCTCAGAGCAGGCTCGGGGGCCTGCGGCCCCCACGCTGGCGGACCTTTTGAGCTTGGGCCGATGAAGGCCCGGGCTGCGATTTTTCTAGGGGGTTCTTAACTTTGTGGCGCTTTACTGTAACTTTAGATCCTTGGCCTTTTTGGGTTTATTGGGTTTCTCAATAAGGCAGCTAGTACTTTAATTTATAGCGGCCCTTCTGAGTGCAGCCAAGTTAGGGGAGGGGTTGAACGAGGGCATGTAACCCAAGGTTTCTAGTACTCCCTACTACTCCCTAAGGGTCCGTAAGCTTCCTAAGGTGTTCTAGGTACCTGCCCTCCCCCCCCCCCCGTTTTGAGGATCTTGATTCCTGGGCAGGCCCTTGGGGCATTTTCAATTTCACTTTATTGGGTTTCAGGAATAGCCTTCATGGAGGGTTTGAAGGGCCATCCATTAGGTGTTCATGGTGGTCTGCAGCGATGCCGACTGACGTGGTGGCACTGAGTCAGAGGAGAGAGCCTGCAGTCTAGACCCGACGCTTGACTCCCTCTACACCCTAAACTTGCGATGTAGGGATTGTAGTACCCCCTAATATAATCCCTATGCAGGGCTGTTATAGGGACTGTAGTACCCCCGAATATAGTCCCTAATAAGGGCTCGTAGCATAAGGGGAACATCCCAACCCTAAACCCTAAACGCTGCAATCCCCAGACGCCAGAGCCCTGAGCCGCAGGAGACGCAGCGCTGGCTTCCTGTGAGCATCTCGTGGCCAGATGGCGAAAGAACCGCCGCAATATGCTGCAGGGTTCATACCCGGTTTAGGGCGTAGAGTTTAGGGTAAGTTTTTGCGGGGACACGAACGTGTTCTGGAAAGTCCATATGAAATCCTCTACCCATGTGTTTGCTAACCCTAAACACTAAACCCTAAACCCTAAACCCGAAACCCGAAACCCGAAACCCGAAACCCGAAACCCTAAACCCTAAACCCCAAACCCAAAATCCAAACCCTAAGCATCGTGGCCTCTTAGTGATGATTTCTAGAGAGCCACTACCTTTGGGCCTTTGGGCTAGGGTTTTGTGAGGTCAGGGTTTAGGGTTTAGGGTTTAGGGTTTCGGTTTAGGGTTTAGGGTTTAGGGTTTAGGGTTTAGGGTTTAGGGTTTAGGGTTTAGGGTTTAGGGTTTAGGGTTTAGGGTGTTTAGCTTAGGACTTAAAAGGTTCAACTTTAGAGCCTGCTTGGGATTTCAGGGTTGCGGGCCGCCCGGCATGTCTCACCCAGCCATGGAGGAAGCAGGGAAGCATGGAAGGACGATGCCGGACGCGCGAGCCCCCCCAATCAGCCCAAGAGACCCGAGCCGCGCCCCTAAACCCGTGACTGAAACCCGAAGCTCCGTCCTCTTCAGGCCTACCCGTACCTTCACCAACCCCTAAACCCTAAACTTATAAACCCTAAACCCCCCAAGTCGAAAGCCCTAACCCCCTAAGCACCCTCGACCCCTGGACCCCCCCCATGCAAGCCCCGGAAGTGTGCAGGGTCCTGGCAGACTGGGAGCTGGAGGCAGCCTGGTGGGCGACCCAGCGGGCCGAAGTCGTGGGGTTATGGGGGCTGCTTGATATTAGGGTTTTTTTTTTTTAATTGAGAGGGGTGGGGTAAGTTGCAGGGCTGTACCTCTGTCGCAGCCCCATCCTGCTCCACATAGCTGACTGTTGTAATCTGACCTACGATGAAGCAATGCGACATGTTAAATCTTTATGAAATTATTTCTTCTAAGCTCTTGCATTCTAGGTTGTTATGATGAAGCAGTACGATGTTTCAACCTAGTGTGAATCATTACCGTCTGACTGCACCCGGCTTTCGAACTACACGACGCGCGCGGTCAGCTCACCACCGGTCGCCACACCATCACCACGGTCGCGGTCACCATGTCACTTGCGGTCGCCACGCGATCAGCACACGGTCACCACGCCATCACGGCACGGTTATCATACGGTCACCACATCACCACACTGGTTACCGCACGCTCACCACACGCTCACCACGCGGTCACCACACAGTTCCCACTCCGTCACCTGCTCACTCAAGACTCAGAAACCTTTTTTCCCAGAAATTCCCTGTGCTTCGAGAAACTGCTGCTGCTAGTGCTGCCTACGTGTGCAGCTGCCTGCTCCAAGAGACTGACCAAAACAATACCAGATTCCCAACTGTTCTGAGGGCTTTTGGCCGGAGTCTAGTTCGATGGGAAATCGGCTTCTCTGCACTTTGGGTGCTGGCCTGCCTGATGCTCGCAGTACGGAATGGAGGATGTATGCCAAAGCGCGCTAGACCCCCTAAACCCTAAGCCCTCATGACTCTGGGAATTAAGGGCATACTAGCCCTTCCATCCCCCATACCCTGAGGCGGTGACGTGCATGAGACCTTCTGCCACGCAGCAGGAAAAACACCCTAAACCTCAAATCCTAAACCCTAATCCCTACCCCTAAACCCTAAACCCTAAACCCTAAACCCTAAACCCGAAACCCGAAACCCGAAACCCGAAACCCTAAACCCTAAACCCTAAACCCTAAACCCTGAACCTCGCAAACTTTCATCCCCAGGATGGAGCTCCAAAACCGGAGGTTGCCCTGCATCGAGGCCATGTCATGGGAGGTTTTTTGGGAGGTTTGGCCCTCAACCCGAAACCCGAAACCCTAAACCCTAAACCCCAAACCCTAAACCCCAAACCCTAAACCCTAAACCCCAAACCCCAAACCCTGAACCCTAAACCCCGAACCCCGGGGTTGAGGTAGGAGGGCGTGGAGACTAGAAACCGGATTTCCGAATGCGCCCGAAGCCCAAAGTTGCACATCAGCCCACGGGCTTTCGTGCAATAACAATATTCTTATACTACTGTTACTGTTGCTTTTTTTTCTAATAAGTCTGTATTGTTGTATTATTCGAGTATCATACTGTTCTCATCATCTCTATTATCTTAGTGGTTTTAGTAGATGATTAACCACGATATTACTATATGACTACCAGTACATTATGATAGCATGTTGAAATTCTGAGATTAATGTCACTACATTATCATACAAGCCTTCACTGCCCTCCAAACCTTCACCGAAGCCTCAGCCCGAGGTTTAGGTTAGGGTTTGATTGAGGTCACGAGTCACAGTGCTTGATGCCAAGGCGTTTTCCCAGAAGCACCCCCAAGAAGTTGGGTAGGACTGTTGGGGATTACTCCTTTGGGGGCAGGCTTGGGGCTAAATGGCTACACCTTGGGATGTTCCCCCTAAACCCCAGACCCTAAACCCTAAACCCTAAACCCCATTAAGGACTGTGAGTATACGGGGGGAACCTCCAAACCCCTAAACTCAAGACTGCGTCGAGGTTTGCCGCCTGATGATGCCCGGCCCTTAGACAAGACTTGCACGTCTTCCACGTCGCTTGAAGAAGGTTTAGGGTTTAGGGTTTAGGGTTTAGGGTTTAGGGTTTAGGGGTAGGGTTTAGGGTTTGCTTTGCTCCTGGAATTCGTCGTTCAGCTTGTGACCGGTTACGTGTCATCAGTAGGTGCTCCCAAAGCTCAACCTTTGTTGTTTTTCTTCAGGGCTAGCGGAATAAATTCGCCGCGGGCGTTGGGTCTGGAGAGTCTGAGGCGAATCGTAGGATCCCCATGGCTTTTGCCGAGTACCTAGTGGAACCAAATCAAGGGAATGGGCCGTGGACACCTTATAAAGTAATATAGGGATTATTATGTTTTATTTTTTGGGGGTTCTTAAGCAAATAGTAGAAGAAGAAGGGGCAGGCAGGTCTTAGGGTTTAGGGTTTAGGGTTTAGGGTTTAGGGTTTAGGGTTTAGGGTTTAGGGTTTAGGGTTTAGGGTTTAGGGTCTGCACTCCTGACGCTCAGACTCGAAGTCACGCGGATGTACAGACAAGCACCTTGCCTGCACCATTCACTAGGTAAGCCGATACTGTTGCAAGAGGGTTTACAGGGCCGTCTGAAGGGTTGATTGAGGAGGTTTGGGGCTAAGGTTTCGTGGTTTCAGGGTTTAGGGTGTTGGGTAGTTTAGGCTTCAGCATTTTTAGGGTGTAGGGGGGCTTCAGATGTTTGGACACCTTGCGTGTAGGGAGGTTTCTACATGTGTGTGACGAGGCGTGGGGACGAATAGCCTCCGAAGCAAGGGGTTCCGACTACTGGACTCAACCCTGGACCCTCTTTACCTACAGTTTCATGGGTTATACCTACTAATCAAGGGTAGCTACTACTAATCTGTAGGTAAATAGAGTCCCAGGAAGCTGCAATTCCTAATCCCCAACCCTCGGAACCCTAAGCCCGAAGCCCCGCGAAGGTAAGCAGGTGCTAAACGGGCCAGACTGCACATGAGAAAACCAGGAACTCACTGAGACTCGGAAGCCCTTGGCCCCTCGAAATGACTCGAAGGTTTGTGTGATCAGGGCTTCTTAGCTCAGATCTTCCAAGCCGGACCGTAAATCCTAAATCCTGAAGCGGATGAGCTCCAGCAGTGCAGGAGAAGAATGTTGTGAACGTTTCGCCACCCGATGTTGGTGCGAGGCCAGAAAGTTTGAGGCTTTGAAAGTTTTGGCTTCAGGGTGTGGAGATCAGAAGTTCTAGAATTCAACGTGGAACTCTACACGGCCAGGATACCCTCATATTGAACTGAATCCTGAACCCTTAAGACCCAACAGCGGGGTTTTGGATTTCGGGTTGGTGGCCTTTGTGCTCAGATCTCCTGGTAAGGTTCCTAGGCGACCTGTGCGAAGATGTGTTTTCTGTTCTGAGGTAGAGGGTGAAAGCCCTAAGACCCCTAAACGAAGACCAAAAACCCTTCCCAAGCTACCCGGCCTCCCCTTCCCCCCCTAAACCCATGAACCCTCACCGTAAATCCTAGCCCGCCCCCCCCCCCCTAAACCCCTCGCCCCCCCAAAAGCCCCAAAAGTTCCCTAAAAGCGTTTGACGCAGGATAGTCGTGGTAGGAGACCTCCACGGCCACTTCTCTGCCGGGAGCCCCAACAGGCCTTCGGGGGGTTTTGCTTTGTCATAGTGGGGTAACAGTGTACTACTATTGGCTTAAGAACCCCAAAAGAATACAAATAATAATCCCTATAATTACCCTGGCAAGGAAGATTTTTTTGGGGGTTCTTAAGCAATTAGGTCTTTACAATTTTTAAGGGTGCTTAAACTCAATACGGAATAGAAGAATAAATCCTAATCCGATCCCAACCATGAACTGGTTTTAGGCTTATGCAATGTATGGGTTTCGGCGTAGCTTCCAGCCCTGGCCCACCTTGCGAAGCAAAGCTTGATTGCACGCGAAGCTCCGAGCGCAAATTGCAGGGCCAAGGGGCTCCAAGGACCCCAACGCAAAGTGTGATATTCGACTATGTCATACTACATCATGAAAACGAAGGACATAGAATGGTGTATAACAATACATAATCGTACATAGTAAATAAGAAAGTCATGTGAAACATATCAATGTAGACGCACGTCGCTGCAAGAGACGGAGACAGAGAGAGAGAGAGAGAGAGAGAGAGAGCGAGCCTCGTTGCATTGGGTGCCAAACCTTGACCAGTACTGCTGCCCCCGACTGCAGGCCCCCCCCCCCCCGGTGCGGGTATCGTTTCGAGACAAGATCCATCCGATCTTTGAATCTTTGAAGTGCGGCCACTCACTTGCCCGGTCGTTGCCGTGCGTCGTCTCTCTCTGTCTCTCGCGACACACCTGGAAGCCGCACAAGGAATTCATTTAGGGTTTAGGGCTCAGTACTAGACCTCAGGCAATGGCAGACAGAAGCCCCCTCGATCTGCTAAAGTCAAGGGCCATGCGCCTGTGCAGCTATACACCGAACTTGTTCAGCCCAGCACCAAGAGCCGATTGGGTCTCCACGATGGCCCTAAGAAGTGACGGTTCTGCGTGATGGTTCTGCGGCACAGCGCTTTTGGGCGAACATTCCAGGTGCCATCACATCAAGCAGCGCCGGTTCGAACGATTGAAGTCCAACCTTCATGAACGCATGCATGATGCATCCTTTAATGGTCTAAATGGCCTTTATCACGGAAACCTTAGGCTTAAAAAAATCTGTAAAAAGCCGAAGGAATAGGCTGTTGATTAGCCAGCTAGTGGGCAACTCAAGCAGAGTGTACCGTTGCCTCACTGAACGCTCAACGGGCGTCGCCTACCCAGCGGAGGTGAGAGGAGGGGCGGACGAATCTAGTTCCCGGAGGCTAGGCTTGGGTTTAGGGTTCATGAGAGGTTTCAGAGTCTTTAACCGGGTATTTGGCTGATTTTTATACGGGCTTTAGGGCTTAGGGCGCAAGGTTCGACTGGAGGGCGGCTCAACCCAGGACCTGGCCCATATCCTGCGGGAGAATGGCGAGCCGCAGAGCGGACCTGGGGGGGTCAAGCCGCAGCCTTGGGGTTTAGGGTTTAGGGTTTAGGGTTTAGGGTTTAGGGTTTAGGGTTTAGGGTTTAGGGTTTAGGGTTTAGGGTTTAGGGTTAGGGTTTAGGGTTTAGGGTTGTGGGGTGGGCGGGGGAGGGGGGGAGGGGGGGAGGCTTTCTTTTTGGGCTAGGGCTATTTGGGCTTTGGGAGGGTTCTAGACCCTCCACCCGAGGCCCCTTAATCTGGGTTAGACACGAACGGTCTTCGAGCTTGGGGTTTCAGGTAGGGAAACCTAGGCCGGTCGTTTATCCTGGACTTGGATGCTGGCGTTGAAGCAGACATTCGGCCCGGTTCGATGCAAGCATTACAAGGTAGTACTCGAGAAAGTGAGGCAACGTGGCCGTAAACGAATGTTGTCCAACGAGAATTGAGTGATTGGGGAGAGACACTTTTGTCACACTATTCGCAGGACACCGCTCCCCACGTAACCCTTCAGGGGTCTGCTTTTTGCATCCGCCCTGCTGGGGGTTGGAGGTTTAGAGGTCCTTCTCAGGTTGTTTTGTTCTTGTGGAACCCCGTTTGAAGAAGGCCACACACACACAAAAATGAAGGGCCCTAAGCCCTAAACCCTAAACCTTCTACTCCAAACCCTGAGATGAGGTGAGAGCTTTAAGGAGCGTTGCGCGGGATTGGAGGTTTCTCTACATCCCCCCTTGGGAATATTTTTGTATCTTTATTCATATAAAACCCAAGAGGATATTAATTAATTTGAACCCTAAACCCTAAACCCTAAACCCTAAGCCTTTGACTACTAAGGTTCTAAGGGGAGTATGGTTGAGGGCGTGGCCGGGGATGCTGTCCAGGGATTGAAAACGTGGTGGCAGGCCAGGCAGCAGGATCACAAGACACCGAGAGCCCCGTAGAGTAACTGCTTTGCTTTTTTAGGGTTTAGGGTTTAGGGTTTCGGGTTTAGGGTTTAGGGTTTAGGACTTTGGGGATTTCGGGGTTGAGGCCCCTCTCAGGACAACTCAACACTGCAATGCGACCAGGAACCGTAAACGAGCTAGGCCCTTCTTGCAATGTCTTAGATTTTCCCTGCTTGGGTCACAGGGCCAGCCTATAAAACCCAATTTGACAACTCGAACTGCTAAACCTTAAACCCTAAACTCTAAACCCTGAACTGATAACCCTAAACCCTAAACCCCAAAATCCCCCCCCCCCTCAAAAAAAAACAAAAACAAAGAAGCGCACGGCCGAACATCCCTGAGCAGCGCGGTCTAGAATGGGAGAACCCAAGCTTCCTGGCAGAAGATCCATGGGAGTTAGGGTTTGGGTTTAGGGTTCAGGGTTTGGGGTTTCAGGATTTGGGGTTTAAGGTTTAGGTCCCCCCGAAGCCCCGAGGTACATTTTCAACGGGGACTTTGTGGATCGAGGAGTGCGGAGCCCGAGCGATCTCAGCGAAGCCGGTCTTTGCCGTCTCCAGTTTCTAGTTTTTACGGTTCAGCTCTGGGTTTAGGGGATTTGGTTTAGGGTTTAGGGCTTAGGGGTTAGGGTTTAGGGTTTAGGGCTTGGGGTTACATAGGGTCAGTCCCCACCCTACACCCACAGCCCCGAAGCCCTCAAAGCCCTTCAACCTGGAGGTGACCTAGGAGGGTTGAGGGCTAACCTTAATTACCCTAAACCCTAAACCCTAAACCCCAAACCCTAAACCCTAAACCCTAAACCCTAAACCCTAAACCCTAAACCTCAAACCCCAAACCCTAAACCCCAAACCTTAAACCCTAAACCCTAATTCAACACAACCCTTAGGGTCTGATCGCCTTCCAACCCCCCTAAACTCCTGAGCCCCCCGAAGCCCCCCCCCCCCCCCAAAAAAAAAAAAAAAAAATCCTAAACCCCTGAACCTATCAACCTTCATCCCTAAACCCTAAACCCCAAACCCCAAACCCTAAACCCTAAACCCCAAAGCCCCAAGCCCCTAAACGCCGCTAAGAAGCCGCGCTCTGCTGAGGCCTGGGGACCTGAGGTCCTGCTCGCCATCTACTGCCTCAAGTGTAAGAGCCGGGGGCCCCTGTTTTGGTTTAGGGGTTTAGGGTTTAGGGTTTAGGGTTTAGGGTTTAGGGTTTAAGGTTTAGGGTTTAGGGTTTAGGGTTTAGGGTTTAGGGTTTAGGGTTTAGGGTTTAGGGTTTAGGGTTTAGGGTTCAGGGTTGAGGGTTTAGGGTTTAGGGTTTAGGGTGGCTTGGGGTGTTTAGGGTTTAAGATTTCACCGGACGTTTAGGAGGTCAAGGGTTTGAGGGCTTCGGGGCTCAGAGCTTCAGGATAAGGACGCGGGGGGCTGTGAGACCTTTGCTGTCTCCCAGGGTGTAGGGCTTAGGGTTTTGGGCTTAGGGTTTAGGGCTTAGGGTTTAGGGTTTAGAGCTTGGGGTTTAGGGTAAGGTTTATGTGCTACCATCTGGCAGTGGCATCCAGACAGCCGGTGAGCCCTGACCCCCCCCTCCCCTTAAGCCTAAACCCTAAACCCTAAACCCTAAACCCTAAACCTCTCTTTCATGTATAATTTAAATGTTAATGAGTTACTGGGCAAGGTCATTTTTTTACTGGGCAAGGTCATTTTTTTACTGGGCAAGGTCGTTCGGTCTAAAACATCGACCTTGCCCAGTAAAAAAATAACCTTGCCCAGTAAAAAAATGACCTTGCCCAGTAACCCTGTTACTGGGCAAGGTCATTTTTTTACTGGGCAAGGTCATTTTTTTGCTGGGCAAGGCCATTTTTGTTGCTGGGCAAGGTCATTCTATAAGTGAAATATTTTCTGAATGTTGTGGGATTCTTTGGGCGGGTGGGTATTTTCCTGGAGCAATTGCTTGACTAGGGAATGCTTGGACTTGAGATGCTGAACCCTAAACCCCAAACCCCAAACCCCAAACCCTAAACCCTAAATCCTAAGCCCTAAACCCTAAACCCTAAACCCTAAACCCTAAACCCTAAACCCTAAACCCTAAACCCTAAACCCTAAACCCTAAACCCTAAACCCTAAACCCTAAACCCTAAACCCTAAACCCTACCTAATCTTCCTCCTCCCACCCCCTTGCTCTGACATGCCGAAGGCCCAGATTGCATCTTTCTGAACCGGGGGAACCATGAGGACCGAGGTTTAGGCCAGGCAGGCCCTTGGGACATTTATATTTTCCCTTATTTAAGAGGATCATATTCAGGAAAATCCATCCAAGTAGGGTTTCGGGGATTAAGACTGTCGGGTGTTAGGCACGGTGTTCGGGTTTAGGTTAGGGAGTGGGGTTCGGGAGGTTTAAATGAACGGATCGATTTTACACGGTGGGCCCCTTTCCGGGGGTCTCCAGCAGTGCTTCCTGAGGTCACAGCACTCCATATTGTGAAGGTCAAGGGAGCATGCATTTCGGGTGTATGCGGGGCCGAGGATCGTTTAGGGAATGGTTGGGACTCGTAGAAGGAAGTGCTTCAAGTTGGTAAGCCCAAAGCCGTCTACTGCAAGGTGGTTCGGGGCAGAGATGCAGGGCAGGGTCCTCCTGCAGATGTTCTTTTTTCATGCGCTGCAGGTGCTATTAATTTGTTAGTGACGATTACGACTGGTGATGGTTGTTTTTTTTTGGTTTTTCCGTTCATTTGTTGTTTTGTTAAAATGCCTCAGGTATCCATGGCTGTTGTCATCTGCTGTTGAGATGAATGGAGTTTGGCGTTTGGGTTTTTCTGTACCAGAATGGATGGTTTTGGGGGCTTCGCTTCCGACTTCCGTGGTGTAGAAAAAAGTCCTAAGACTCAATCTGTAGAAAACCCTAAACCCTAAAACGACATGGGTGATGACTGCGACCTGGGATGCAACCACTTGTACTTGGCGGTCATGGCTTCAAACCCAGTTACATACTTTCTTGCAGGTAAATCCTGTGCTACTTTGGAGTACCTGCATCAAGAGGCCCCCCTGGCCCCACTAAACCCTGAACAGCCCCCTCCCCCCCTTTGCAGGACCAGCAGCAAAATCTGAAGCCAGACAATGGCTTCGTCCACTCGCCGGGGCCCTCGCTTGGGGATTCCGGGACTTCGGGTGTCGCAGACCTGCGGCAACGATTGCGTCCGAAGCTCCTCCAGCTATAGCTCCTTACAGGCCACCTTAAGAATCCAACGCCTAAACCCTAAACCCTAAACTCTAAACCCTGAACCCTGAACCCTATGAAGATTCGTGGGTTCGTGAACCCTCAAAATGTTCGGGGGCTCTTTGGTCTCTCAAGCCTCAACGGCCTTTCAGCTTAGGCCGCAAGCCCCCAGGCCCGGCCCAAAATACTTAAGTCCTTATTAGGGTTTAGGGTTTAGGGTTTACGGTGTAGGGCTTAGGATGGTTTAGGGTTTCGGGATATGTTGGGAAGCCTCCACTTGAGAACCCAAGCATCTCTAAAGCACCCCAAAGGCATGGTTCTAGACATGTCCGAGCCCTGCATCGTAACCAAAGCCCGCAACCATGAAACCCCAGAACCCTAGAGGCCCAAAAGTCCTAAGCCCCTAAACTGCCCTGCACCCGAAAACCCCACAAAACCTCAACACAAACCCCAAACCCTAAACCCTAAACCCTAAAACCCAAACCCCAAACCCCAAACCCCAAACCCCAAACCCTAAACCCCAAACCCCAAACCCCAAACCCCAAACCCTAAACCCTAAACCCTAAACCCTAAACCCTAAACTCAAACAACGACGTCCGAGGCACTGCATCCGCGCCTTTGGAGCTGACGCGCAGAGCCCGGTGCCCTGGGTTCCCAGCAGGCTCTCGAGGGTTCGGGCAGTTCACGGCTTCGGCTGTCCTGGAATTGGGGTTTGGGGTTTGGGGTTTGGGGTTTAGGGTTTAGGGTTTAGGGTTTAGAGTTGAGGGTTTTACAATTTAGAGGGTTTAGGGTCTTCTTACGGGCTCTGGGCTTGGGGGGCGTGTAGGGCCTTAATCTGCTCGAGTGGCTGCGGGGTAGTGGTGAGCATGAGACATTGCATATTTCCCCTTACTTGGGTTTAAGAGGATGATGTAACCCTAAACCCTAAACCAGGATTATTTTTCCGAGGGTTAGAAGGGGCCATCGTAGGAACTCTTTCAGTGTTGATGGTGGCCCCAAAGCCGTCCTCTTGGGAGCAAAGTCTTCGGGGGCGGGATCTTTGAGGGGAGCTTGGATGGTTTAGGGTTTCGGGTTTAGGGTTTAGCATGGGGATGAGGGCATGTGGAGGTTGATGGGGCTTGAGATTATTAGTGTACATTTTTGAGGGGTTCTTAAGCAACTAGTAGTAAAGTCCATGATCCCTTCAGCTGGGCTTTGGGGAAAGCATCCCTCAACCCAAAACAGCCCCGGATTCCTGAAGGGGTTTCCATGGCTGCTTGGAACCTGCTACGTTGCAAATTCCCCTTCCCCCAGAAAAGATGAACAAAATAATAACAAGTAATGATCTAAGCGTATAAGAACGGTAAAAGCCCTAACCCCCCCCCCCCCTTCCCCCAAAAGAAGAGCAAATAAAATAACAATAATGAACTGAGCTGGCCGGCCAAGGAATGTACTCCCTGTGCAAGGCAAGCTTCAAGGTGCTTCCTCTTTGCCACGCCGCTTTGGCTGAAGTGGAGTTTTTTCTTTTCGTTCAAGCTTGGCCTGTGGCGCCATCTGGCGCCTTTTTTTGGAGGGCCCCCCCCCCCCACCCAGGGAAGTTGAAGGCATTCGAACCCTAAACCGTAAACCCGGGACCCTTGATCCTGAAACCCTAAACCGAGCATTCGGCTCGAAGATGTCATCGTTAGCCTTGAGCAGCCCTGCAGCGCTGACCTCCTCATAGCCTCAAAGCCCAAGAACCCTCCTCCCCAACAAAGGCTCTCAAGCTTAAGACTTCAGGAGACCCCTAAGCCCTAAACCAAAACTTCCTAAACCCTTCCCCGAGGACCTCCCTAAAGCCCGAAAGCCCCAAGGTCATCGGCAAGGAGATTGCCGTCATCCACGGGGGGCTGCCGTCCGAGCCCCTGTTGGTTCCACACCCTAAACCCTAAACCCTAAACCCTAACCCCTAAACCCTTTGGCCTACGTGAGGGTGAGACGAAGTTCCAAATGCGTGAGCGCATGTGGTCTGTTGTGAAGGCCGTTCGTGAGGCTGCCATCCCGTTAAAGTCCACAAGTACAGTGGGGGCCGCGCCCAAGAAGCTTCGGGCATCCTTCGTGAAGACGCGAGAAGCCAGGCAAAGAGGGGGACATGCATGTATGGTGAGGCGGGTTGCCCAGACATGTGTGGAGGAAGCCACGGGGGAAGTCCAGCTGGAAGCGAAGAGCAACGACTTCTACGAGGTTGACTGGGTTTCGGGCACGGTGTGCGCGGGCCAACACAAACTTGGGAGTTCCGTTCATCGCATGCCACGCAATTCAGAGTGTGCCAGATGCCTGGAGGATGGGTAGACGTGAAAGAGATGTCCAAGGCCATTGGGGTGGAGGAGCTGGCTGTCAGGGCTGTGCTGGAGCGTGAACTGGCTCGTGCTTCATGGCCGGGGTGATGTACTTGCGGTGTTGGTGTGAAGTGAACTGAGGAGGAATACGTGAAGTACATGAAGTAAAGCTGATGCTTGGATATGGATGGACTTCTATGGCGGGTGGTCGTCGTCTTTGGCTACCAGTGTGAGTGCTGGGCATAGTTTCACCACTGGAGGACGTTACCCGTCCCGCCTTTGGGCGATTCCAGTTAAAAAAAACCTTAACCCTAGACCCAACCCTAGACCCTAACCGCATTACGGGCAGGCGAGGGGCCCGCGAGATCGCCTCCTTCACTCCTGTCGCTCTTGCCTTCGAAACCTGTTGAAGAGGGAGCTTGGTTTAAAGTCAACCCTGATATGGCCTATGCGGCCTCCTGTCTCCTACTTACCTTGTAAATGCAGCGGTTTAGGCTTAGGGGTTTAGGGTTTACGGTTTAGGGTTCAGGGTTCAGGGTTTAGGGTTTAGGGTTTCGGGTTTCGGGTTTCGGGTTTCGGGTTTTGGCGGCATTGAGGCTGGACCCGCAAATTCGACTTGCTGACATCGATGCTTGGGCCTCAGAGCGCGTGGGGTTTAGGGTGTAGGGTTTAGGGTTTTGGATTTTGGGGTATGGGGTTTGGGGTTTTAGGGATTAGCGAAGGCTATTCGGCCTTATTCTCCCGTCAGCAGTCCTAGAAAGGGCCGGTTTAAGCGCTTGCAGGGTATGACAGGCCATCCTGGTTTGTTAATTCCCAAACGGTGTGGCGACTCTCAGCGATTCTGAGATCCAAGTTGGAAGCCCTTCCGCTCCAAGAAGACCCCCAAACCCTATACACACCCTAACAGCCTAAACCGATCAAACATCAAAGCGTGCTGATAAGTTGGTTATTTTGTAAGTAGGGAAACTATGTTTTTTTTTAAACCTCATTCAGGGTACTTATAACCTGCCCTTATAAATACCCAATGAACCTTCAAGTAAACGTTCCCTAGTGCAACAATCCTTAACTGGGATAGGGGGGGGGTACTATAATCCGTACTAAGGGGTACTATAATCCCGATTAAGGGGTACTATTGCAGCTATTCAGGGGTACCATCATCCCGTAAAAGGGGAACTAGATTCCATATTAAGGTAGTACAAGGGGGGAACATCCCAACATCAAAGCGTAGACTATGGGCTTCCAGGCCATCGACCGTCGCCGGGCAGTCCCTGTGGCCCTTTGTGGCGTGCTGGGTCCGGAGCCCTGGCGCTGGGAAGCGCTCAAAGCCCTAAATCCCGTCCTTGATGACCAAAGAAAGGGTTTAGGGTTTATGGGGTTTATGGGGTTTATGGGGTTTATGGGGTTTATGGGGTTTATAGGGTTTATAGGGGTTATAGAGGGGCTATATTATGGGGTTGAAAGGGTTTGTAGTAGGGTTTATAGGGTTTTGGGTTTAGGAATTTAAGGGTTTAGGGTTTGGGGTTTAGGGTTTAGGGCTTAGGGTTTAGGGTTTCGGGGTCAGGGTGACAAGGGCTTAGGGTTTTATGGTCTTGCGCACGCGCTCAGAAGAGGCTACCCTTACTGGTGGTTACCCTACATAGGATATATATATATGTATATGTATATGTATATATATATATATACTAGTATATTAGTATATTAGTATATTAGTATATTAGTATATTAGTATATTAGTATATTAGTATATTAGTATATTAGTATATTAGTATATTAGTATATTAGTATATTAGTATATTAGTATATTAGTATATTAGTATATCAGTATATTAGTATATCAGTATATTAGTATATTAGTATATTAGTATATTAGTATATTAGTATATTAGTATATTAGTATATTAGTATATTCGTATATTAGTATATTAGTATATTAGTATATTAGTATATTAGTATATTAGTATATTCGTATATTAGTATATTCGTATATTAGTATATTCGTATATTAGTATATTCGTATATTAGTATATTAGTATATTAGTATATTAGTATATTAGTATATTAGTATATTAGTATATTAGTATATTAGTATATTAGTATATTAGTATATTAGTATATTAGTATATTAGTATATTAGTATATTAGTATATTAGTATATTAGTATATTAGTATATATATATATATACATGCAGGGCCCTGACTTCCCTCATTCCCTGCTAACCCACAGTAAGTTCCGAGGCTACCCGCGTTTCCAGAAAGTCGTATCCAAGAGGATCCTCATCACTGGAGACGGCGAGGAGGCTGGCTAGAGGCATTTTCAAGGTCTCAAAGGGGTTTAGGGTTTAGGGTTTAGGGTTTAGGGTTTAGGGTTTAGGGTTTAGGGTTTAGGGTTTAGGGGCTCCAGTGATCTGCAAGAGGCATCTTCAAGGTCTCCAAGGGGGTTTAGGGGGTTTCAGGGTTCAGTTAGGGTTTCAGGGTTTCAGGGTTTAGGGTTCAGGGTTTAGGGTTTAGGGTTTCAGGGTTTAGGGTTTCAGGGTTGAGGGTTTAGGTCTGAGCCGATTCAATGATGCTGCGGTGCTGGGTTTAGAGGCTTTAGGTGTTAGGAGTTACTCGTAGGATTCCTGAAATCCATCGCGAAACGCCGGACTTTGCAAATCCGCAATGTCGAAACCCTCACCCGAGGGTGGAGTTCTGAACTCCTGGTAGCCCTAAGCGCCCCAAACCTCTGAGGCTCGAAACCTCTAAGATCTCTAAACCAAGCCGCCGCCCCCCCGCCTAAACCTCCGAGCTGGTGCTGGCCAGGGCTTTCAAGACCAAACCAAGCACCATGGAGCATCCATCCGTCAGCTGGTGCTGGCCTGGGCTTTCAAGCCCGAACCAGCATCAGCTGGTGCCGGCCTGGGCTTTCAAACCCAAACCCCAGAGCATCATGAGCATCAGCTGGTGCTGGCCTGGGCCTTCAAACCCAAACCCCCGAGCATCATGAGCATCAGCTGGTGCCGGCCTGGGCATTCGGCACAAGCTGATGCTCATGATGCTCTAGGGTTTGGGCTTCAAGGCCCAGGCCGGCACAAGCTGATGCTCATGATGCTCTGGGGCTTGTGTTTGAAGGCCCAGGCCGTCACCAGCTGATGCTCAGGATGCGCTGGCGTTTGGGTTTGAAGGCCCAGGCCGGCAGCTCATGATGCTGTGGGGTTGGGGTTTGAAGGCCCGGGCCGGCGCCAGCTGATGCTCATGATGCTCTGGGGTTTGGGTTTGAAAGCCCAGGCCGGCACCAGCTGATGCTCATGATGCGCTGGGGTTTGGGTTTGAAGGCCCAGGCCGGCACCAGCTGATGCTCATGATGCTCTGGGGTTTGGGCTTGAAGGCCCAGGCCGGCACCAGCGAAGGCTCAAGAGGCTCTGGGGTTTGGGCTTGAAGGCCCAGGCCGGCACCTGATGCTCATGATGCTCTGGGGTTTGGGTTTGAAGGCCCAGGCCAGCACCAGCTGATGCTCATGATGCGCTGGGGTTTGGGCTTGAAGGCCCAGGCCGGCACCAGCTGATGCTCATGATGCGCTGGGGTTTGGGTTTGAAGGCCCAGGCCAGCACCAGCTGATGCTCATGATGCTCTGGGGTTTGGGCTTGAAGGCCCAGGCCAGCACCAGCTGATGCTCATGATGCTCTGGGGTTTGGGCTTGAAGGCCCAGGCCGGCACCAGCTGATGCTCATGATGCGCTGGGGTTTGGGTTTGAAAGCCCAGGCCGGCACCAGCTGATGCTCATGATGCTGGGGTTGGGTTTGAAGGCCCAGGCCGGCACCGCATGATGCTCCGGGGTTTGGGTTTGAAGGCCCAGGCCGGCAGCTCATGATACTGTGGGGTTGGGGAAGGAAGGCCCGGGCCGGCGCCAGCTGAAGCTCAGGTTGCTCTGGGGTTTGGGTTTGAAAGCCCAGGCCGGCACCAGCTGATGCTCATGATGCGCTGGGGTTTGGGTTTGAAGGCCCAGGCCAGCACCAGCTGAAGCGGGCCTTCAAACCCCAACCCCATAGCATCATGAGCTGCCGGCCTGGGCCTTCAAACCCGTGCCGGCCTGGGCTTTCAAACCCAAACCCCAGAGCATCATGAGCATCAGCTGGCTGGCCCGGGCTTTCAAACACAACCCCCCGAGCATCATTGGCATCAGCGTCCTGGTCCAGGCTTTCAAACCCAAACCGTCCAAATCCCCGAGCATCATGAGCACCTAGACCCAAACCCTAAACCCTAAACCCTAAACCCTAAACCCTAAACCCTAAACCCTAAACCCTAAACCCTAAGCCCTAAACCCTAAACCCTAAACCCTAACCCTAAACCCTAAACCTAAACCCTAAACCCTACAGTAGTGTTTTTGCCTATCCCCCGGGCGAGCAGGCACCCACAGCCCCAACGTCCCAGGTCCCTGCAGGCAAGAAGGGCAAACTCTTGGAGCGGGTAGGCAGCCCAGATGTCCCCCTATGTTGTGTTGTAGGGTTTAGGGTTTAGGGTTTAAGGTATAGGGTTTAGGCTTTAGGCTTTAGGCTTTAGGGTTTAGGGTTTATAGGATTTCGGGTTTAGGGTGTAGGGCTTCGAGGATGGCAAGAAGTATCCCTCTCATTTCCCGGCTGTTCAGGGGCGTTAGGCTCCCTTAGAGACCCAAGGGGTGGGTGCCCTTCTTGTTCTTCGGTTGTTTTCAACCTGGACAGGAGGCTTTGTGGTTTAGGGGTTTAATTAGAGGTTTGGGCTTGGGTTCAAAGTATGAAGGTAGAGGTTGGGGGGGGTGGGGGGTTTAAGAGGTTTTTGGCTGCGAGGGACGGTGAAATGAGCCCATCTCACTCGAGACCGGATGTCACTGGGCTGAGGTTGGCAAGACCCGACACGCGGTCGTGAAATTCCCAGGCTATGAGGAGGAAGTGCCTTGGCCAAGAACACTTGGAGGTTCCTGGAAGTAGGCTTCTAAGCAGGGTAACCACGCGTGGCCTTATTAAGGGTACTTTTTAACCCCACTTACTACAAGTACCCACGAACCTTCAAGTACGCCCTGCACACACCCCGGCCACCAAGTGTCATCAAGCTCCGAATCCCTCAACCCGCCCCAAACCCGAAGCCATGTACCAGGTCTTGGTCCAACTGGCAGGCTGTCCTGAACACGAGCAGGCGGTGGGGGGGGGGAAGGAGGCTTGCGGTTTGGGGCGGCCATTGGGGGCTCCGAGGGCTTCAAGGAAAGGCTTTAGGCGGAAGGGCTTGGAGGTCGTGAGGCGTGAAATAGCGGCTGCTGGATGTAGGTTGGGTATGAAGGGGTTTCGGTGCGTTGGTCGGCACGTCTGAAGCATACGTTCTTTCAGCCACGCAGTCACGGGTCCCTTTCTGAGCCTCCCGACCTTCGAGGGCAGTGCAGTGTGCACGACTCCCCCCCCCCTCTGAGATCAGATCTGTGGACTTGACGGCCAAACTCGTAGAAGCCTGTGAGCGCTAGAGACAGGACGTGGACATCGTCTACGCCTCGGAGGAGGATCGCAAAAACCATCGATGCTTCCACCTCAGGTCTGCCACAGATCGGGCTTGGGGGGCTTGGGGTTTGTGCTTAGGGTTTGGGCAGGGAAGCCCTGCACCATTTCGATGTGTGGGATACAACATGTGTGTGTATATATATATATATATACAAATGTATGTACATATATATATATATGTATACATATATGTATACACAGGTGACAAGAAAACATGTGCAACCCTAAGCCCCAGACCCCCCAAGTTCCGCCTTTGGACACGTTCAAAAAATAGTATCCAGTTGCAACAGTCAGAGGGGATATTTGAGGTTCACACTTTGAGACCCTAAGCTCTGAACCCTAAGCTTGAAACCCCGCTCTTCACAGTGAATGCCTGGGAGAGAGAAGCCGACCCTTGCGCTCGCCCAGTGAATCGCCTCTTCGTCGCACTCCTGTGGAGCGACCCGGTGATGAGCAAGTCGCAAGTAGGCTGGGCGACCGTGCCTAAACCCTAGAAGGGTGTTGTTCAGGGTTTAGGGTTGAGGAGCGCCGGCAACCCGATCCGATGCCCAAAGCCCACTCAACCCCCAATCGCCTAATTAAGCCCGAAGTTGTGTTGCCTACAGGCCAAAAAGCTCGTCAGGTTTTCGGGCCGTTCTGAGGCCAGGGCGAAGGCCCTACACCCTTAAACAGATAACCATACTTATGGCCCCACTTCTAAGTACCCATGTATCTGCAAAGCAGGGCTGGGGGTTTAGGAAAGCGGGTTTGCGGGTTCTAGGGTTTAGGATTAGGCTTCATTCTGGGAGTTCGGATCATCGAGCTTATGGGGCCTTCAAAGAGGGCCCTACTAAGAGCGGACGGGACCGTTCTGCAAAGTACTGTAAGGGTTGGGATGATTCCTAATGGTGTTCCCTTGTGGTCCCTATATAGCTATATATGTACTGTGATAATTCCCCAAACCCTGTTCTAATCATTAAGGCGCCTATATTACCTATACAGGGTCCCAAATTCATTCATGTTTGCCTCAGTTGTTGTGGGAAAGGCCTTAGACACCCTGAACCCTAAGCCCTAAACCCTTGAAGCCCTTAAAGCCCTCAAATTAGAACCCCCTAAATCCCTAAACCCTTGAAGCCTTAAAGCTTTAAAACCCCAAAATCACTTGGGTCGAGCAGGGCCGAACAAGCGGGGCGCCGGCACTTGCTTCGACGCGCGCGGGCCTCTGCTCTTGAAGTTCGGGACCCAAAAAACCCACATAAATATGAGGATCCTGCTATTGGTGTATCAAGGCCCCCTAGAAGTGGGATTCCGAAAAGCCCTGCTTGTAGGATCCTTGTGTTTACGTGGTTTTCTGGGCTCCTCGAAGGTTGAAGTGAACGCTCACGTGGCAAAGTATAGGGGTCGGAATAAGTGACGAGTATCATTCCCTCATGGTTTCCAATGCGATTATAATACAATAAACCCCCCCCCCCCCCCCAATAAGAAAAATAATAAAGCAATTAGAAACTATTCTAATCCCTAAGGCCCCTAGAGTATGCCCCTTGATCGCGCCTCTGAGCATCTTGCGCCGCAAGCTTCTGTCTCGACATCGCTGAGGAAAATCACGCAGGACTTCTTACGGCTGAACAAGCTGTCTCTCATGCCGCATGCTGAGAGTTTAGGGTTTAGGGTTTAGGGTTTAAGGTTTAGGGTTAGCGGCTGAGACCGTAATGTTCAGAAGGTTTTTGGCAAGAGCACATTGGCCATGCCGTCTTGAAGGTTCACGGGTACTTACAAGTGGGCTTACAAGTATCCTAACTGTCCTAACTAAGGTTGTAAAGATAGTTACCCTGCTTTATTGAAGCCCTACTTGTAAGTACTCATGAACCTCCAAGGAGTCCCTCAACCCATAGGTGTGGACGGTGCAAGCTATGCTTCCGTGCCCCTAAGACCCAACCCAGTAACGGTTACAGTTGCACGTTGCCGCGGCGCACGGATGGAGCGCTTGAAGCGACGTACTTGCATGACTCGATGATATACAAGAGACCTGCGCCAGTTGACACGTAATGTCGCAATTCCTGCTTTTGTGAGCCGCGCAATCAGAAGTCTTATAAGTCCTGGACCCCTAAACCCCCTCAGCCGCCAAGTGCAGCCAGCCGCGAAGCCTTGGATGGTGTCTCTGGAGTGTTGGCGGTGTTGGGGTTTGAGACCACAGGTAGGAGCATCTAGTCTGGCTCAGCGCTCATAGAGCAGATAGGCTTCGGGGTTTTCCCCATCAAGCCTGTGTGCTGGACAAAAGCGGACACCTTTCCGTAGATGCTGACTTGTTGGGCATGCTTAACCTTTCCTGCGCGTACCTTTCTCCAGGTACCGGGCGCTCCCTCAGCCCCACCCAACCCACCTTGAGCACTAAGTGCTCAACCTTAATCATTACTCAGGCTCAAGGCTTCGGGTTTAGGGTTTAGCCTTCGACCGCTTGTCCAGGCTCCGATCCCACGAGAAGCGCAACGATGGCTTTCAGGAGGACCCTTGCGGTCTAGGAAAACCCCCGGCAAAACCCCCAAAAGCCCAGGAACCCGATCCCCAAAACCCGGCAAAACCCCCAAAAGGCCACGGAACCTGATTTCCTAAACCCGGCAAAAACCCCCAAAGGCCACGGAACCTGATTTCCTTGTAGGAGCATCGCTCCGCGAAAATGGGGCTGATGTCGGCGACCATCTTCTCGGCCAGCTCGGCCCCCAAAGCCGGATTAGGTTTAGCCGTGCTCAACCCCCAAACTCCACCCTTATAAGGGACTGTAGGGGTCCTTTGGGGGTTATTTAGGGTCGATCGGGACTACATGAGGCATATATATATATATATACATAGGGGTTTTGCAGGGAATCAGATTAAGGGTCCCTTCTAGGATTCCCCACCCTTATATCCATTAACTTCAGGGGTTGGGTTTACACAGAGTTTGCTAGCACCCAGAGTGGGCCCTTATTACCCTTTTCCAGGGTTTAGGTTCCCTTGATAAGCCCCTTTATGCCAAAAAGGGCACCGAATCAAAAGGAGCCGGGCATTCCGGATGCTTCTTCGGGTTTGCTATAGTGAAGCCTTGCACAGGCAACTGTACGATCTAGGTTTGCTAAGATGATAGATGATCAGCAAGCACTTCGCGCATCGATGAACCTGGGATGAGGCGCTATTCTGTAAGCCGTGCGCCAAGCCCTAGGACCGCATTGACATCCTGAACTAAGCGCTTACGACAAGCGTCGCCAAAAAAAGCTTAATTAAGGAGCCTTGCAACCCTGAACCCTAATCCCTAAACCCTAAACCCTAAACCCTGAACCCTTAACCCTAAACCCTGAACCCTTAACCCTAAACCCTAAAACCCTAAACGCTGAGCCCCAAGCAGCCCAGCAGTTTCCGCCCGAGGCAACTACCCGGGCGGTGCCGGAGAGCAAAGTGGCCGCAACTTATTTGCCCCTTAAAAACTTAAGGAACTTGGGGTTTAGGGTTTAGGGTTTAGGGGATTTAGGGGTTTAGGGGTTTAGGGGTTTAGGGTTTAGGGTTTGGGGTTTTGGGGTTTAGGGTTTGGGGCAATTGCTATACTCCCTTGAAGGACCACCCTTTACAATCCCCTGAAAGGGTTCTACAAGGCGGGTCTTAGAACTCGTAAGACAAGCAGGTGCCGCAATTTTGGGATTCTGGTGCGGCTTCAAGGGTTAAAGGCTGGCTGGCAGGGTTTAGTTTTTGTTTCCCCAGGTTTAGGGTCTAGGGTTTAGGGTTTAGGGTTTAGGGCTTCTCGGTGATGCTTCTACTGGGTCCCAGACAGGCATGCATGATCAGTGTCGCATAGAGTTCTCGCTTCACTAAGCAGAAGGGTGCTGTATCCCTGTATGGAACATTCAGAGGCGCGGTCCAAGAGACTCTGAGACCGTTATACATACGACAAAATGAGGAGTCTTTTGCAGCTTGCTTTGTGGAACATGCTGCTAAAACGGCCGATTTCGTGTCACGCTGCGTGACGACGCATGCCGTTGTCTCTGCAGGCTAGCTATGATTTATGTAAGGGGACCGTAAACCCTAAACCCGAAACCCTAAACCCTAAACCCTAAACCCCAAACCCCAAACCCCAAACCCTAGGCTTAGAAGGGCCGGCTGCATCAACATATGACCGGTACCTGGCCGGAGGCCCTGTGGGAACAAAGCCGCCGTCGTCGTCCTGCGGTGCCCCAAAGCGCCTCGACTGGGGGCGGAGGGCCCTTCACCCTAAATACTAAACTTTAAACCCTAAACCCTAAACCCTAAACTCTAAACTACCCTGAAGTGTAGGGTTCAGGTTTGAGGCTCTTGAAGGGATGTGACGGGCTTGGGATTAGCGGCAGGAAGGGCCTTCGCGTTGTCAACCCGGAGCCCCATGGCAAGAGTTTGGGGTACCCAAAGCAGGTTTCGGGTTTAGGATATAGGGTTTAGGGTTTAGGATTGAGGGTTTAGGGTTGAGGATTGAGGGTTTAGGGTTCAGGGTTAGGGTCGACAACAAACCATGCAATGCAATGCCCTGGCGCCCCCTAAAATGCTCCCATCCGAAGTTCTTGCGCTTTGGAGTCCTCAACTTCAGGCCTAGGGTGTAGGGTTTAGGGTTTAGGGTTTAGGGTTTTAGGCTTTAGGGTTTAGGGTTTAGGGTTTAGGGACCTCATACTGGGCTTTGCAGCTCAGGGGGGTTTGGGGCGCACAACTCGAGTCGTCTGCCTAGGATGGGCAGTCGCTGGCATCGACGATCGCCTGGGCCCTAGAATGATGCCCAGACTCTCGTCGGGCTTCCGGAATCCTATCGAAGTAACTAAAATATAAATTCAAAAAATATATAAATATAAATATCCATGCAATTATCTATATACATAAAGATATCTCTCTCTATATATATATATATAGAGATAGGTATAACTTTACGAAAGCCCTAAATGCTAAAGCAAAAATTGTTCCCAAATGGCCGTCCTGGCGAGATGGAAGGTATTTAGGCGTCTAAATTCCGTTGGGGGTTCTCGGTCCCTAAACCTAAGCCCTAAACCCCAAACCCTAAACCCTAATCCCCAAACCCCAAACCCTAAACCCTAAACCCTAAACCCCAAACCCTAAACCCTAAACCCCAAACCCCAAACCCAAAACCCTAAACCCCAAACCCTAAACCCCAAACCCTAAAGCCCAAACCCTAAACCCTGAACCCCAAACCCTAAACCCCAAACCCTAAACCCTAAACGCAGACAATCAACCCGGGGATGCCAAGGCCGGCAGCGCCCAGTGGCGGGAAGCCTACGACGACGGCACCTACCATGGGCCTCCTTGGCCTTGTTGAAAGAAACCATGGAGGTTTAGGGTTTAGGGTTTAGGGTTTAGGGTTTAGGGTTTAGGGTTTAGGGTTTAGGGTTTGGATCCCTATTATAACACGGCACCTAATGTTTAGGATACTCCAGAAGGGATCATAATGTTGATAACCACCCATTGGGGGGGGGGGTTTCCGAAAAGGGTACCCTTTTAAGGGGTCCCTTCAAAGTTTAGGGTTTATGGTTTAGGGTTTGGGCGGAAACGGGTACCCTTTTTGGGGGTCCTTTAGATTTTAGCCAAGTCACTCTCAGCCCCACGGGGCTTTCGAGAACAATGTTGCGAGTAGCAACGAGCAAAGCTTTTCAAAGCTCGAGGTCAGTTAATTAAGTTCTTCGGTGGCGAATCATGCATCACTTTCCCGGGGGTTTCTGAACGGAAATATGGGTTCCCACAGCGTCATGTAAGCATTGCTTCTGGCTGGTTTCGGACTACATCTCAGCTGAAGTAGGCAGTGAGGAAGGTTGAATAAGGTGGCAATGAGTTCAGGCTTTAGGGTTAAGGGGTTTCCGAAAAGGGTACCCTTTTTGGGGGTCCCTTTAAAGCTCAGGGTTTAGGGGGGTTTACGACAAGAAGGGAGCCCTAATGTACACCCCAACTAATAAAATCCCCTTATCAAAAAGGACCCGGGTAAGCTACGCCAAATTTCGGAAACCTCCCAAATATGGTTTTTCATACTACAATACTACGACAGACAATATATGAACAGACTTATATACTCATGTAGTAAACCGATACAAGAATATAATAATGTGTTCACATAACAATATACTCATGTAATGATATAAGTAAATAAGCAGTCGTATCACAATATCATAACATCAGAATATCAAAATATCACAATAGCATCATATCATCATAAGATCATAACATCAAAGTGCCAAGTTCAACCCCTGGGGGCCATGTGCGTATGACACGCTGAAGGGCTTCAGGGTTCATGGCTAAGGGTTTCGGGTGTAGGTGAGGGATTTGAGGGTTCCCGAACCCTAAACCCTAAACCCTAAGCCCTAAACCCTAAACCCTAAACCCTAAACCCTAAACCCTAAACCCTAAACCCTAAACCCTAAACCCTAAGGTTTGGAGTTTAGGGGTTGTTTTCAAAACCTCCGACAGTCTCGATGGGGCCTCGAATTCCTGAACCTTACTGTGTAGGAGCTGTGGCAGCCCTACGGTCTTCCCTAAAACTGCAGGATTCAGGGTTTGGGGTTTAGGGTTTCGGGTTTAGGGTTTAGGGTTTCAGGGTTTGGGGTTTAGGGTTTCGGGTTTAGGGTTTCGGGTTTAGGGTTCTGGGTTTTATAAACTCTTTACACCTTGAGCCCTAAACTGACAAGGGCAAGTCGTAGACAGGTCGGGTGCTCAGTCTCAACAGCGCAGGTGTCGCGGAAGCAGATCCGCAAGTCTTCGTTCCGAGTCAAATGTGTGAAATGGGGTGCAAACGGAAAGGTGCACTTTGCCCCATTTCAGGCCGCCAGGCTTCGGGTTGTAGGGTTTGGAGTGTAGGGGGGAGGGGGGGGGGGGCAGCATGGAGAACTTTGAGTTCCACGCTCCGGCACGTTCTGTTGAATCTCCGTGCCATGTAGCTTTCGTCAGGCCTGCCTCACCGACTCGAGGTTTGGGATTTAGGGCTAGGGTTTAGGGCTAGGGTTTGAGGGTTTGAGGGTTTAGGGCTAGGGCCTTAGGGTGTCCAAAGTGGCAGTTCCCATGTGTGCGGCGTCGACTCGGCTGCGGCGGCATTTGTTGCCCCCACAGTGCCTCTGCTTTGCCCGAACGGGCATCAATGATACAGGACGTGGAGGCAACATGGAGCTTGATGTTGCGCACCCTGAACCCTAAACCCTGAACCCTAAACCCTAAACCCTAAACCCCACCGGAAGAGTCGCCCTAAACCTGAAACCCTGAACCATAAACCCCAGAGGTCATATGGGGGCTGTAGCTACAGGGTGGCTGGGTGCCTTCCAGGTTCGTTGAGGGTTTAGGGTTTAGGGTTAGGGTTCAGGGTTTAGGGTTTAGGGTTTAGGGTTTAGGGTTCAGGGTTCAGGGTTTAGGGTTTAGGGTTTAGGGTTTAGGGTTTCGTGTAGGGTTATAGACTCCACAAGCCCGCCAGGTTCGGAATGAGCAGCGAGATGAAAGCCCGGTTTCAGGAGATCCAGGCCTCCCCCCCCCGCCTAGCCTTTAGGGTTCGAAGAGGGTTTAGGGTTTAGGGTTTAGGGTTTAGGGTTTAGGGTTTAGGGTTTAGGGCGAGGCCTAGGGACCTCCTAGCGCAAAAGCCAATATGGGTATCGCAGGGTTCCCACGGAGTGAATTTGCTTACATGGGTAGCTCTCTCTATATTGGGGGCTATACATATACATATACATATACATACATATATATGTATATCAAGCGGACCCCAATCTAGAGAACTGCCCACATCCAAGTTCAAAGGCGACTTGTGCTTCGGGGTTTCAAGGGTTTTTTTCTCTTGGTTTCTTGAACTGGGCCGGGTGTTGCAAGCCCAAGGGCACTACTTTTCTGGTTCAGGGTACTGAAAACCCCAGCTATAACTGTTCTTACAAGGCCCCTAAGTCCTCCAAGTCAGTGAGAAGTAGATTTATACTTGGGGTTATATGTACCCATGCACCTCCAAGTAGGGGCTCCAGGGTAGCAAAATCCCTTGAGGTACGCGCAGGTCCCTCAATCCTCAACTTGCTCTTAGCTCGAGGCCTTCAGCCTCAAATACCCAAACCCCTAAGCCCGAAACCCTAAACCCGAGATCCTCAACCCCTAAAGCCCCTCTAAATCCTAAACCCCAAACCCTAAACCCTAAACTCCTAGCCCTAAACCCTAAATTCTTGAGCTACCCTAAACCCGAAACCCTAAGTCGTGCCCCCCCGCAGGCCACGCAGGCGGCCTGGGCCCCCAGGAAAGCTGCCGATGGTGGAGCTTAAGCGGTCCAGAGCGGTTAGGGCCCAGGGCTTAGGTTTAGGGTTTAGGGTTTAGGGTTTAGGGTTTAGGGTTTAGGGTTTAGGGTTTAGGGTTTAGGGTTTAGGGTTTAGGGTTTAGGGTTTATGGTTAGGGTTTAGGGTTTAGGGTTTAGGGTTTAGGGTTTAGGGTTTAGGGTTTAGGGTTTAGGGTTTAGGGTTTAGGGTTTAGGGAGGTTTAGGGATGTTTAGGGTTTAGGATTTAGGGTTTAGTGGTATAGGGGTTTAGTGTTACATAGGAACCCGAACCCCAACCCCAGCCACTTCTCAGGTCGGGCCTCGGGCCCGTGCGCTGGCGAAGATGTGAGGGAGCCCAGCAGGGCTCCCTCGGTAGTTAGGTTTAGGGTTTAGGGTTTCGGGTTTAGGGTTTGGGGTCTAGGGTTTAGGGTTTAGGGAATAAGGTTTAGGGTCAATTAGTTAAGGGCTTTTGTGGGGTCAAGGGGAGTGTGGTTTGGCGGTTGGCGATTTGAGCCTTAGGGTTTCGAGAGGTCGAAGGTCGATAAACAGCTCTTACGTGGAAGCATCCCAAAGTCCCTAAGCCCTAAGCCCTAAACCCTAAACCCTAAACCCTAAACCCTCATCGCGAACTCCGGACACGGGCCCTGCGCTGAGCCACCCCCAACCCCTAAGCCCTGAAACCCAAAGGCCCGAAGACGCCCCTCTACCGCCCTTCCCCCGGCCCCCACCCCTCAACTAAGCCCCTCAAACCCTAAACCCTAAACCCTAAACCCTAAACCCCAAACCCCAAACCCTAAACCCTAAACCCTAAACCCTAAACCCCCCAAACCCTCAACCCCAGAGGCGCGAGCTCATCTACTGCTCCCGGCCAAAGCTGCTCGCCTACTGGCAACGGCTTGACCACTACGGCCAAGGCTGCAACCGGCCTTCGACCTTTCGTTTCAGCAACGCCGAAGGGACATACAGAAGCCAAGCCCTGCACCCTAAACCCTACACCCGAAACCCTAAACCCTAAACCCTAAACCCTAAACCTTAGGATCCTCACAGCGGGGATGACAGGAGGCCGTTTTTGGGTAGAATTGTATCAGGGGTCGGGCTTCCTAAAGCCCATCCCCATTCCTCGGAAGCGCAGCTCGCGCCCTGTGTGCTTGCAGGTGTTGTGCCGGTGTCCGCGTGGGCACGGGCCATGCGAGCATGCGTGCAAGCCTCAGGGCCTTTGGAGGGGTCTTAGGGGTTTAAGGGGTTTGAGGGGTTTGAGGGGTTCAAGGGGTTCAAGGGGTTCAAGGGGTTCAAGGGGTTCAAGGGGTTTAAGGCGGTTTAAGGGTTCTAGGGTTTTAGGGGTTTTAGGGGTTTTAGGGGTTTAAGGGGCTTAAGGGGTCGTACAAGGCTAGGGCTCACGATTGTGGAGTTCGGTAACGGTTTGTTGGGTCTCATCTGGAACATGGGTTTCTGTGACACGCACAGGATTCTGGAAGAAAATGGTTGGATGTTGGGATGTTCACCCTGAGATTAACAGTCCATAATAGGGATTATAGTGGGGGGGGGGGACTATACTCCTTATTAAGGACCTAGTGGAAGGAGAGCATCCCAAGTTGGATGCCTCAAGATTCTTTATTTGGGTTTACAGGGCTGAGGGTTCAAGACCTTAGCTGCTTTGGTGAACCTCTGACCCGTCTAGGCCCGAAATCACCCAGGTGGTTGCAGATGACGAGTTCCCCTGGGCCCGGGACCCAGCAACCGGTGTGTCGAGTATTGCAAGGACTTCGAGGCTTTTGGGGGTTTAGTGGTGGCTGTTTTTGTTGCGATAGGGCATGTTAGGGGTTTCTAAGCTCAGGGTGTAGGGTTTGAGGTTTCAGGGATTCGAGGGCTCAGGGTTTCAGAGTTTCGTTTCGGGTCTGGGGCTGGGTCTCGGGTGGCTGCCTCGCTACAAGTACCCGACATAGAGGTCACAACCATAGCTACCCTACTTGGAAGCCTACCTATAGGTACACATGAATGCCCCTGGCCGCCTAAGTCATGTGCCCTGGAGCCTCATGGTTGAGTTGCGATGGATCTTTGGGGTTTCATCTGGGGTTTAGGGTTTAGGGTTTAGGTTTAGGGTTTAGGGTTTAGGGCTTTTGAGGGGCTTTGGGTTTGGGGGAGCTTACTGGGCCGCAGACTCCCTGATGGGCTTTAGGGTTTGGGGGGGTTCGGGGCTGTCTTAAATTTGATGTGGTTTAGGGTTTAGGGTTTAGTGCTTGGAGGCTCGGGTACTTATACGTATAGCCATGGTTATAGCTCAACCATATACAGGTCACCTTGAACTCCACTTACAAGTACTCATGAACCTTCAAAGTGACTCGGCGCTTTGGCTCGGCTGGGGGTGCAGGGACTGTGCCTCGCTAGGTGCGGGCTTGGCTTTCTCGGCTTGACCTCTCCTTTTCCGAGCTGTGGCCGTGCAAGCCGTGCAAGCTTCCTTTGAAGGACATCACGTCCTGCCATCAAGAGGAGTTGTAGAAAAATAGGGTCCGTACTTTTGCATCTGTTCCAACCATCGTGTTTGCCCCTCAGCCTCGGCTTCCGAAAGCTGTGCAAGCCTGCTTTGAAGAACGAACATCATTCCGTTTAGAATTTGTCGTTTCCTCCCCCCCCCCCCCCCCCCATCGTGTTTGCAACAGGGTGGGATGCCCGTTTTTGCATAGGGGGCGGGCTGTGCCGTAACACGCCTGGGAAACAACCTACACCGTTTTGGGCAGCCAAAGCCAAGCTAAGCCCAGCCACACCCACGCATGCCAAAGCCAAGCCGCGCCTTGGAACAAAAATGAACACCCCTCCCCCAAGCCAGACCCTGAGCCAAAGCCAGGCCAAGATGCACCAGAAGCCAAGCCGTACATAGCAAGGGCAATAAAAGCAAATCTCCCCACCAGCATGCAGGAAGTTCACCCCAAAACCTTCAACCCTAAGAGCCGAAGCAGCCCATCGTCCTTGTCCACCCTTGAGCAAACCGCACACCTGATGTACCGCAGAATACTTAAATATCCACCCTCCTGTTCAACCTAAACCCCAAACCCCCAACACTAAACCTTAAACCCTAAACCCCAAACCCCCAACACTAAACCTAAACCCCAAACCCCAACCCCCCAGCACTAAACCTTAAACCCCAAACCCCACACCCCAGAGGAGTGGCTAATGCCCTACTTCCTGCGGAGCTCGGCGTGGGATGCCCCAGAGTTTCGGTGTCGGGTTTGAGGCTTGGGGCTTTGGGCTTTGGTTTGGGGTTTAAGAATCCCGCATTCTGGTAGTTTAGGGTTTTGTGGGTTTGGGGTTTGGGGGTTTTGAGTTTTGGGGCTTGGGGTTTAAGAATCCTGCATTCTGGTAGGGTTTAGGGTTTTGTGGGTTTGGGGTTTTTGGGTTTTGGGGCTTGGGGTTGGGCTGGGGCCCTAAGCCCTGGACCCTGTTTAGGTCGTCAAGGTGCTGTCGCTGTAGCTTGAGGGTTTAGGGCCTTAGGGTTCAGGGTTTCCCGTCGGATCGCCATTGGCGTCTAGCTAGCAAGGGCTTGGGGATTTCGGGTAGAGGGCGTCGGGGTTTTAGGGCTTAGCTAAGCCCAAGAGTGCACTACAGGCGCAAAGGCTTGCAGACATGCATGTGAGGATTTCTCCCGGCAGCTAGTAGAAGACAGAGCCTTAGGATGTAGGGCACCCGAAAAAGGCGGCCGTGAGTAAGATCAACCCCCCATGTAGGTCGTGCTCAGAGCTTTGATCGCCGGTTGGTGCCTGAAATCACAGAAGAGCGCAGGGGTTCAAGCCGGTCCGGCCCGACCGCGCAGCTTGGGCCCCCAATTGCTGGACGCCCGCGGGCGGGGCTCCGCGAGCAGGCCAGACTAAGACTAAGACTAAGACTAAGACTAAGACTAAGACTAAGACTAAGACTAAGACCCTCAATTCTTAACGGTGCCTCTTCTTGGGGGATGCAGAACATGCTCCTGAACCCTTCCAGCCCTACAGACCATAAAGCCAATAAACCTGACCCTTATAAACCGTTATAGCCCCGAATCCCGAACCGCCCCGAACCCCCTCGCCCCTCGCAAAAAAAAACCCTCAACCCTCAATCCAAACACCTGAAGCCACAGGAGAACTTATGCGCTTCCTTTGGGCCGCTGTTTTTTTGGGCACAGCCAGAGCACAAAGCTACGCCTTCAATGCAGCCGCCGTGCCAGAAAGCAAGTCCCTGAGCCTCACTTGCAAACTGGAAGGGCCGTTTGGGGTGTAGGGGTTCTAGAAGTGTAGGGTTCAGGGTTTGGGGTTTAGGGTTTAGGGGGTTTCATGGTTTAAGGTTGAAGGCTTAGTGGTAGGGTTGTTTTCACAGCAGAAGGGCCAGCAGTTCAATTTGGTGCTTCTTGGGGCCAGTGGGGACATTCCCGACTCCCTATAAAGCCTGGCCCCAAAACCCTAGACCCTAAACCCAAAACCCTAAACCCTAAACACCCCAGACCCTAAACCCCAAAACCCTAACAATCCCAAACCTGAAACCGCAAACCCCTACCAGCTAGCGATGCCCCTGGACCGGCTTCTTGGAGCATTTTGGGCTTCAGTCCGACCCCCGACCCGAAAGCCCTAAACCCAGAGAGCCGTACGGCTGCCGGGTTTAGGGGTTTGGGGTGAAACGGGTAGAATATAGGGGTCGGAAGAATTTACTAATACAATTCCCTTATGGTCCCTTTATAAGTATACTAGATAAACCCCCCCCCCCCCCCAAACCCTAGTGTCATTATTAAGGCCCCAGTATTATGTGTAAGAGGTGCGGACGGATGTGCATTTCAGGGTCCGGGGCTGCGCAGGCTTCGTAGACGCAGGGTGTTGTGCTGCTTGAAGGCATAGGTTAAGAGTTGGGTTCGGCTGACAATGTTCCCGGCTCCTGCCGAGCCTCAAAGTAGCAAGGAGCTTGCTCTACGCCTTCTTCGTCTATGACCCGGCGAATGTCACGTCGAGCCGCGCTCCCACGACTCCCTTCGTGCAATTCAAGGGTTTGAAGGCAACCTCGTCGTCGGAGGATTTCACCGACGACAAGCTCTCAGCTTACCAAGGCCTGCAGATCCACTTAATAAAGTACGAGGACCTGTGGTCACAAGTTGACACGAGCCAGATGTGCGCCACCTACTACGACGTCCAGGCGGGCCTGAGCCAAGTGCAGGATCACCTCATCATACGCAGAAATAAAGGGCAACTAGGTCGGCCCTTGGGATATGTTTTACATTTCCCTTATTGGGTTTAAGAGGACCATATTTAAGAATGATTTTCTCAGAGGGTTTTTAAGGGTCATCCTAGGCAAAGCTTGGCTGATGTCAACGTCTACCGACACCAGCTTCGATTCGGGAAGAAGGACCGCCGCTCTCAGGGTCTTTAATGGCTCCGGGTTCCCTGGCACCCGATGTACTCGCGACTGAGCTCGGCTTTCAGGTTACAGTTTGTTTTTTGAGGGGTTCTTGTATTGCCATAGATGGGCTCATAGGTAAGGGTAAAGACTAGAGCCGTCTGGTCGTCGTCGTCGTCGTCGCCGCCGCCGTCGTCGTCGTCCTGGCGGTGGTCGGCGTCGTCATAGTCGCCGTCGCCGTCGCCGCCGCCGTCGTAGTAGTATTAGTATTAGTATTAGTATTAGTATTAGTATTAGTATTAGTATTAGTATTAGTATGAGTATTAGTATTAGTATTAGTATTAGTATTAGTATTAGTAGTAGTAGTAGTAGTAGTAGTAGTAGTAGTAGTAGTAGTAGTAGTAGTAGTAGTAGTAGTAGTAGTAGTAGTACAGTAGTAGTAGTAGTAGTAGTAGTAGTAGTAGTAGTAGTAGTAGTAGTAGTAGTAGTAGTAGTAGTAGTAGTAGTAGTAGTAGTAGTAGTAGTAGTAGTAGTAGTAGTAGTAGTAGTAGTAGTAGTAGTAGTAGTAGTAGTAGTAGTAGTAGCAGCAGTAGCAGTAGCAGTAGCAGTAGCAGTAGCAGTAGCAGTAGCAGTAGCAGTAGCAGCAGTAGCAGCAGTAGTTGCAGTAGTAGCAGTAGTAGCAGTAGTAGCAGTAGTAGCCGTAGTAGCAGTCGCAGCATTAGTAGTAGTACTACTTTGGAATATTGGGTAAGATTTTAGGGCCACTTTTTCTTTGGATGGTTGAAAGGTTTGCCGAATAAGAACCCTAGACCCCAAACCTAAACCCTAAACCCTAAACCCCTCACACCAAACCCTGCAGGAGCCGGACGAGAAGTTCCTTATCAAAACAGGTGGGGTGTACTACCTTGTCGTTTCGAAGCTTGCGCCGCAGAGGGCTTACGGTTTAGAGTTTAGGGTTTAGGGCATAGAGTTTAAGGGTTTAGGGTTCAGTACCCCAAACCGTGTTCGTTGTTTTTCAAAGGCAAGGGAGTATAGAGACGTTGCTTTAACGGTCCTATCGCGAGTATAGCAACTAGTATAGTAGGGTCCTAAACTTTCGTGTCCCAGGCTTAACGATGAACTTAGGCTTAAGGTACCCATGGTATCAGCCCCATCCCAATTTTAGAAACGCTTCCGAAATGGTCTTTCTCCATGCGTCATACCTGTGAGTTCCCTATTTTGGTGTGTTTGGTGTCAGAGTCGGTGGGATTGTCCCTGAGCCGTAGCTTCAATGCCTGAGGCTCTAAGGCCTAAAGCCCTACATCCAAAAAACCCCAAAGGCTTTATGAACGCTTCTGTAAGACACTGATCCCCAATGAATGCCTTGAAGCCCTAAACGCGCGCAGCCCAAAACTGTCGAAGAGATGTCTCGCCCCAGGAACTGTGGTTCGTTTGACCAGGCCAACCACAAGTCCTTGGGGCGCTGGGCCCCGAAAACGGGTGTGGGGTTTAGCCATCGAACGGCTTGCAAACCCAACTAGAAACCCCCAAACCCCAGACCCCTTTTCAGAGGGATGTTTTTTCTAGAGCCCCTAAAACGGAATCTTGGTTTTCAGAGGGGTGTGGGTTTTTCAAGTATTGCGGTCTTCAAGGGCTGAAGGCGACTCCTGCCCTGAAAGCTGCCAGGTCCGGGGGTGTGGAAACCTTGAGCCTGTAGGTTTCAGGGTGTAGGACATATAGAGTTTAGGGTTTAGGGTTCAGGGTTTAGGGTTTAGGGTTTAGGGTTAGAAGCTTTGATGCGTGTCTGTGTGATCAGCAGCTGGGTCACACTCTTGAGGGCCCAGTGAGTTAGGGTTAGTAGCCGTCGCCAAAAAGGTAAGAGCCTAATGAGTCGCAGTCATAGCCGCCGTGACTGCGGCAATGGTAAGAATCATAGTCGTCGTCATCGTCAGTGACCTTCAGGAACAGAAATGCCAAACCCTGTACTCTGAACCCCAGAATCGTGAAGACACTTCAAAACCACCAACCATTTGTTGATGATGCCTTCCCCCACACCTAAGGACCCGACAAATCCTAGTCAGGGTACCGTGCGATATCATAGTCTGAGGCATCGTCCAGAAAAACCTGTCTACATTCTTGGTTGATGGTCATTCCTATGCGGCTGCAGCTTTCACACTCACCGGCGGGCTTAAGGTTTAGTATCTGGCGCCGCCATACTCCCGCTCTAAGAAATAGGAATGGTTTCCTTAAGTTTTAGTTTGGGGGGTGCCTTGAAGCTACGCATGAGCACACCCCAGTGTAGGAAAGCAGCTTGTCTGTAGATTTCAAGTTCGCCCTTCTTCCTACGATCAGGCGTCCATCTCCGGCCAGGTCATCGTTAAGAATAGCCATGGCTTCCTCCCGGCCAATGAGTGCCCCACCTCTGCTTCTCACAGCTGTTGTGAGGTTTAGGGTTTAGGGTTTTGTGTTTAGGGTATTATGGTTTTGCATACAGTACTTTGCACGGTTGTTATTTCGAGCACTGTATTTCCGCTGCTGCTGAACAAAGCAGATGCCAGGGGAAGACATGTCAGAGCGTCAACGAGGTTGTGTAAGTGGGTGAGTGAGTGCGTGAGTGAGTGATTGAGTGACAGAATGAAAGAGTGAAAGAGTGCGTGCGTGAGTGAATGTGTTCGTGCGACTGTGTGCATGCGAGCATGCGTGTGTGCGATTGTGCATGTGACCGCGCGTGCGTGCATGGCTGTGAGTGTGCGTGCAGGCGGGCGCAAGCGGGTGGGTGTGGGTTCGTGCTCGTGCTCCTGGGTTCGTGCTCGCGCTCTCGCTCGTGCCCGTGCTCGCGCATGGATGTGCGTGTGTGCATGAGTGGTTCAAAGGCGAGAGTCCGGTCCGCGCTGTACTCCCCAGACCAGCGCGCTCGATGGGGGCTTTGCAGATCGAGTCATGCCGCTGGGCCGTTGTAGCCCAAGCACGCCGCGCTCTCAATGCATAAATGATCAAACTCACACTTGCTCGACGAAGTGGGTGATACAGAGGCCAGCAGTCGCTTCTGCCTCGCATCGAAGGCCTCCTGAAACCTCTTCAAAGGCGCCCTTAGTGATGCACAGGTACAGCAAGATGCCCTTCTACGGCATTTCTGGCATCGTTTGCGCTGTGCTGTTCCTCATCTGGGTGCTGCTGTGCGTGCGGTGGTGGACAGACCTATTGCAACAGTTCTCCCCACTGTTCTTGGGGGGTTGTGGGCCCTGAAAATCTGGATGATATACTGGCATGAGTTTCTGTGGATCATGGGGGTGCAATCCTTAACCTTAAGCCTCGACCCTTCAACATCCACCTTAAACCCTAAACCCCTCAACCCTAAACCGAAATCCCTGAACCCTAAATCCCTGAACCCAAAACCCTGAAGGACTGAGCTCTTCAACATTCACCTGTGTATTGCCGCGGTCTGCGGCCTGGCGGTGGCCGAGTCAGGGCTGTGGTACCTCTTCCTGGTAGACTGGACCCTCGGCCGTGGGCGAAGCGACCAGCACCTCTCATTTTGGGGGGCTTAGGGGTGTGGGGTTTATAGGGTTGAGCGGTTTAGGGTTTTAGGGTTTTCGGGTTTCGGGTTTCCCCACACTTTGGTACCCTTCTTTGCCCTGTTGGGGTTCTCAGATCCTCTTCTCCAAGCAATGGGGTACCTTACCATGGTTAGGTGCTGGGCCAGACCGATCCCCCCGCAATGAGCCCAAGAGGGATCTGCGAGTCATGCTTCAAATCGTTGCCGTGCGTTTTGTGTGGGTTTAGGGTTTGTGGGGCTAGATGTTTGGGTTAAGTAAGGGTTTTCGGAAGAGCAGAAAGGAACAGCAGCGGCATTCACAGCAACTTCCTCTTCGCAGCCTCAGTGGTCTTGTCTGTGACCAGGTGCAAGCCGCTCCATGGGTACATTGGGTTTAAGTTATATGGTTTGGGGAGACAGGGTTTAGAACAGCTACTGTATGCAGCTTCTCTGGCTGCATGAACTGATAGCTGATGGCAGCAGCACTTGCACATGCCATGGACATCTGCTCAGATAGCGGGGCCTTTGGCCGGATGAAGAGACGGTCGATTGCAGAGCAAGTATATCCTAGACCTCAAGCCCTAGATCCTACACGCATGTAGCGAAGTACAACCTCTTTGAATGGCAGAAAGGACCAAGACCAAGCCTTCGGGCTTCGGGCCGTTCTTGGGTAAACTACGGCTGCTTTTACCTCAAGCCTCTTCAAACCCTGAGCCCAGAGCATCCCCAACAGGTCGACTGCCTCATATATGCTGGTCCTGCTAGCTTGCTTGGGCTGGGGCGTGACGAAGCCAATTCTGGACGGCTCTACCCTTTGTCGCATCCTCTGCTTGTCGTTCATTTACATCGTGCTCAATGTGATTCGGGAGATTGTGCCTCTTGGCCTGACACTTCAGGGTGGAGGGTTTAGGGAAGAAGTTGTATGAAATGTGCCGTTTATACTGAGTCTAAACTCCCCACACCCTACCCTACCCAGACCTTCACCACGATTGAAGTATCAGTGGTGGTGAGTTCTGCCGTCATACAGTCTTCTTTAAAGTTTATGAGATTTTGTATGGTGGTTCTGGTAGTTCGGTTGTGTAGTTGCCATAGGTTGTTCGTAGTGCTTCCGCTTGCTTATTGGGAATCTTATAAATGGAAGCACTGTGTTTACTCTTCAAGAAATCCGAGATTATGTTTCGCGATGATATCACAACAGCATCATCTGGTATAGCAATGTGATCAAGGAATGCAATGCAATGTAGAGAGCGGTATCCGGGAAGAAGAGCGTACCCGGCGCATCTAAGCAAGCTCCTTAGCTACAGACCCCCCCCCCGAACTCCACCCCACAAAGCCCTCAGCCCTCAACCCCCCCCCCCGCCCCCCCACATTCCGAGGTTGGCATACAGCCACTCCCAAGCCATCCCCATTCCCTTTGTCCTCCTCTGCCTCGTTCCTGTTTCGATTCTCAACGGCAGCATATTCTACTGGCCGCTTGGCAGCACGGGGGCTTCATAGGGCTTATGAGGGCTTATTAGGGCTTATAGGGTTAGTAGGTAGGGTTCAGAGGTTTTTTTTTATTCGGGTTTGGGGTTTCGGGCCTCGCTTGGACTTAGCGCCTTAGGGTTTGGGTTTCGCAGTCATGGGGCTCTATCTTGGACCCTAAGGTTGTTCCCTTTGGTTTACCCTGCTTAAAGATCCACTAAGAATATATGGGCCGTGTCAGGAGTGTATTGAGGGAACCTCTAACGGATGCATCCTTACAGGTGCGAGTGTGACGAGAGCGGCTTTGACTACGTCCGACCTCCCCGAGCCGTTGGGGTTGAATTGGGGTGGGGTGGTAGGGGTTGGGGGGGGGGATGCCGAAAACACTGATATTTGAGAACGCTGTGCACACTGTTTTCGCCAGATAGAAGCGTTCAAACAGCACGCGCTTAGAAACGCGCACTTCGCAAGTGTCGAAAGATTCGCTGTGCGCAGTTTTTTTTACGCACGCGAACACAATTTTGAGCATAGACACGACATGTCCAGCGAATGCGACGCGCAAAAACCTTGAGTTTTCCACGTTTTCCGGCATCCAACTCCAAAATGACACATACAAAACACGCGGGGCCGCAACGAGCGGCGTCGCCGGGTTTTGCGATTTTAGGGTTTATAGGACTTTAGATGCTTTAAGTTTAGGGTATAGTGTTGAGCGTGGGTACCGGCAGCAGCAGTCGACCAGCAACTTGGGGACCTGTCTGGCATCTAGCCGCTGTAGCACTCCCAAAAAGCAATGAGCGTGCGAAGTTAAGAGCACCCTAAGCCCTAAGCCCTAAACCCTAAACCCTAAACCCTAAACCCTAAACCCTAAACCCTAAACCCTAAACCCTAAACCCTAAACCCTAAACCCTAAACCCTAACCCTAAACCCTAAACCCTCACCGGTACCCTGAACCCTAGGGCACTCAACCCGTGCGAACCTGGAAAGCCCACGACCCCAGGCGAGATGGGGGCTGTTCTGAGGTAGGATTTTCTTTGGGGGCCTTTGTCATAGTGGATTCCATAAACCCTCAACCCGAAACCCCTAACCCTAAACCCCCAAATCCTAAGCGCCTAGCCCCAAGCCCTAACCCCCAAGCCCCAAGCCCCTAAACCCTAAACCCCAAACCCCAAACCCCAAACCCCAAACCCCAAACCCCAAACCCCAAACCCCAAACCCGAACCCCAAACCCCAAACCCGAACCCCAAAGCCCTAAACCCCAAACCCCAAACCCTAGCTTAAACCCTGGACCGGCCGTAGGTGCTACGCAAGCAAGCAACGCGGGCTTGTTTCCCCTGTAGGTTTAGGGTTTAGGGTTTAGGGTTTAGGGTTTAGGGCTTAGGGTTCAAGGGTCTAAGACTGAGGATCTTCGCAGCCCTGACAGGGCTCATGGAGACGCATCCCGACTGCGGTTGCTGAGTGCTCTCGTCCATCCACCACCCCTATAGGGTTTAGGGTTTAGGGTTTAGGGTTTAGGGTTCAGGGTTTCAGGGTCTCAAGGTTTCAGGGTTTCAGTTTCAGGCTTTAGGGTTGGGATGTTCTCCCTTATGCTAACGGCCCTTAAGAGGGATGAGTTCCCCGTATTATAACCCCAACTAAGGACTGTTAGTATAAGGGGGAACATCCCAACCCCATACTTTTCTAGATCCCAGCCCTCAAGACCTCATCACTTGAAGGTTCATGGTATGTATAGATGGGGTTATAAGTACCCTAAACAAGGCTATAACAATGATTACCCTACTTCTGACCCCCTACTTTTCAGTACCCGTGAGCCCCCGAAGTAGTGCCTTCCCGAAACCGATTGGTTGAGAGGCTTCTCACGGGCTGGATGTAGGGCTGAGGGCATCATGCAACTCGTGCGCTTGCGGATTTGTCAGTCAAGTAGTTGACTCTCTGTCTCACTCTCTCTCTATGTAATATGTATATATAGATACATATGTATATATATATATATTCACTTATTTATTTTTCTATATGCAATATACATAGCTATACATCCATGCAAGCCCAACAGCAGACACCAAGAGCCAAAGCACAACCTACCAACCTGGAAGTCCAAGACCCTCAACCTGGTTTAGGGTTTAGGGTTTAGGGTTTAGGGTTTAGGGTTTAGGGTTTCGGGTTTAGGGTTTAAGGCGAAAGTCCCACATCCCGATTGACCGGGAGAATGCATCCTGAACAGGCATTCCAAGAGGGTCGCACCATTATGGAGGTAGGTACCAAAAACCCATACGAAACAAGCTTTTTGGGTACCTACTTCCATATAATAGTACTACAGATGGGTTTTCTGGATTGTGAGTCAAGGCATGAGAAGGCGTGGGACACGGCTTCTTCAGGGTTTAGAGGGGTTTTAGGGCTCAGGGCCTGGGTCGAAACCCCGCCTGCGTAAGCCCAGCTGAGGCTGAACCCTAAACCCTGAACCCTAAACCCTAAACCTCTAACCCAGCTGAGGCTGGAGTCTCAGGGGCAGACCGAGAAGCTGCAGATCTTCAAGAAGCCTCCTGACTCAAGCATTGACAGAGCTTCGGGGTTCATAGGGTTTAGGGTTTAGGGCTTAGGGTTTTCGCTAGAATGTGGTCCGGGCATGTCTGTAGTAGCCCAGGAATAGAGCAGGTTTAGTAGGTGATCTTAGTAGGGGTTAGCCAAGAATACCATGTAGGCCCTAAAGGGGTATCTTCTATTCTTCAAGCCCTTGAAGGGGGGCTTGAAGGGCTGGAAGGACTTCCATTGCAATAGGATCATATTCAGGCATGTTTTCGGCATCCTCTCATAACCCCTACATACTTCTTATCTACTTGGTTCATGGGTACTTGTCACCCCAGGTATAACAAGTCCTCTCTAAGTAGGTGAAACGCAGACTGCAGTTGGGGTAACAAGTACCCATGAACCTGCAAGTAGGCCCCTGCATCAGGGAGTCTAGCGGCCGCAGCCGGGGTGAGGTTCTGAAATGGGGACTTGCTCGAGACGATAGGGACTTTTTGAAGGGCTTAGGGCACGCGTGTGTATATATATATATAAATGTAAGTATATGTATATGTATGTAGGTCGATGTATGTATGTATGTACGTATGTATATATATGTATATATATATATATCCACACACTATCATCAAGACCCCCGGACAAAGCGCCTAGCACAGATGCACAGCAGCCGCAGGCTGTGGTGGATCCTTCTGATAGCCATCGCCTTCGCGGTGGGCGTCCTTATGGCCCAGGCAGCCGGCTTAGCGGCTACACCAAATGGTTGATTCGGATCCGGAGTAGGCCCCCATTTCCTGTTTTTAGGGTTGGGGATCCCTGGCAAGCCCCTTTAAACCAAACAGGGGCACCCTTTTTATTCCTATGTTACTCCTGGGTCTAGGTGTTCTGTTAGCAATACGGGTGTTTCCTCAAAAAAGGCGACCCCCCCCCCTTGTTTACCCACACGTCATAATCCTTATAACTGGAAGCCGACCCATCCCGAAAGTTTTGCTGCTATTTTCGCAAACCCCATGATTTGTTCAGGCTTCTACTTGAAGGTTCATGAGTAATTGCTTATAAGTGGGTCTCTAAGTACGTTATAACCATAGTTACCTTACCTGTACCCCTCTTTTGAAGAACCATGAACCTCCAAGTAGGGAAGTAGACCTCTAGTTGTAGGGTTCTTAGGGTTTATTTAGGGTTTAGGGTTTAGGGTTTACGGTTAAGGGTTTGGGGTTTAGGGTTTCGGGTTCAGGGTTCAGGGTGTAGGGTTTAGAGTGTAGGGGTTGAAGGGTTCAGGGTTGAAGAGCTGAGGGTTTAGGGTTTAGGAGAGCCCAACGAAAAGATTGTGATAAGAAAGCCTACGCGGAAGCCCACAGCCGCCCAAGAAGAGGCTCGCTCGCCTCGAAGCCTACAAGCTTCCCAAACCCTAAACCCCCACCGAACCCTAAACCCTAAACCCTAAACCCTAAACCCTAAACCCTAAACCCTAAACCCTAAACCCTAAACCCTAAACCCCTGAAAACCTTGCAACCCTGAGGCCTGCAACCCGATTCCTACGCCCGACCAGCCGACAAGCCCATGAGCCCTCAACCCTACAACCCCCTCCACCCCAACGCCGCGAGCGCCCGCAGCAAGCTGTCGGCTGCTTCGGGTTTGTGGGTTGAGGGTTCAGGGCTCAGGGTTCGGAGCTCGGATTTCGGGTTGGAGGGCCTATGTTTAGTAGGGTTTAGGGTTTAACGATTGTTTGTGTTTGTTTGCTATTGTTCTGTCGGCTGTCTTTGGGTGTGACTCCTGGGAACCTCTTCGCCCATGTTCTCTGTATCCTCGGAGGCCCAGTCTGTTTCTCATTGGGCAACCTTGTAAAGGAAAGCCTTTTGTTGCCCTAGATGTGAAGAGGGAAACCGCCACTGACTTTCCCTGAAGGGAGGGCATCAGAGGAAGCGGAGGGACTGAAAGACGGAAGGAAAGAAGGGGAACAAATTGGAAGAGAAGGAAGAAATACTTGTTAGCCCAGTGGCACCCTTTTCCCTTGTTTCTTGTGGGTTCCCGGCTCCCTTATAAAGTAACCAACCCCAACAAGGGTCCTGACAAGGTGCCGGAGTCGTGAGGATTAAGTCTCTGTCCTCGGTAGTGCTGTGAGCCAAACCCTAAACCCTAAACCCTAAACCCTAAAGTTCCTAAACCCTACAGTTCCTAAACCCTAAAGTTCCTAAACCCTAAACCCTAAACCCTAAACCCTCAACCCTAAACCCTAAACCCTAAACCCTAAACCCTAAACCCTAAACCCTAACCCTAAACCCTAACCCTAAATCCCTTTCGAGGTGTTTATCTTCTCCCGCGACTTCCCGGCGCGGTGGGAGGAGCCACTTCACGGTAAGGCTTTACTGAAACCTGGCCCCTAAATATAATATACATATGTAACGTATACAATAGAATAGAAAATTGGGTAGGGTATTAATATGTATATATAATATAGTATATGATGTATGATATATGCCTTTGGATATATGATATACGATATATTATATATTATATATGATATGTCTGTATATATATACATAAACCCTACACCCCAGTTTTACCTGGTGGAAAGTGTGGTGAGCACCGGGCTTTGTGGGTGCATTCCGCAACTTGGTTCGGCAGAATCCCAAGCCGCGACCTGTCTGCAGGAGCAGTGGATGTTTACGGATGGCGCGCCGCAGGCCGGTTTAGGGTTTAGGGTTTAGGGTTTAGGGTTTAGGGTTTAGGGTTTCGGGCTTAGGGTTCAGCACGGCTGAGGTGTCCATAGAAAAGCATAGCGAGACTTCGTAGCCCAGTGGTACCCTTTTCGTTCAAGGTTCCCTTAGAAAGTAGAAACCCCCCTCCCCAAAAGGGTACCTTTTTTAAAATATGGCTACTGGGCTACCAAGAGAATTGAAGCCATTGGCAACAGATTTGGTTCTGCTGACAGCACCGTGGGCAGAAGTTGCATTGGGTCATGCAGTTGTCGCACGCAGCATGAGTACCTGTAGGATCAGGAATTCTTCGCCCCAGAAGCAGGCACTACAGGAAGCATAGCAGCGGCAGCGCTTGCAGCTATGGGGAGGGTCTGAAGTAGCACCAGAAAAGGCCATAAGTTCAAACCGCTTACAGGCACAGTTACCCCTCGTGTGTACAGCCCACCCCCTCAAATACCCATGAAGTTCGATTCATTCTCAGCAGCACACTCGGTCACCATAGCGGGCAAACCCCACCCCTCAACATTAACGACCACAACACGAGCTAGATGAGCACACGCCTTCCTTCATGCAGAGTCCGAGTCTTTCAATTTCCCAACTCGCATTCGTTAAGAAGCTGTCTGAACCCTAAACCCTAAACCCTAAACCCTAAACCCTAAACCCTAAACCCTAAACCCTAAACCCTAAACCCTAAACCCTAAACCCTAAACCGTGGGAGGTCGGCTACCTCTGTGTGCTTGCCGCGATTATGTGCCTCTGGGCACCCAACGAAGACAGCATCTCGACGGCAACAACCAATTGAGCAGCCAGTAGAGGGTTTAAGGTGTTTAGGGTTTACGGAGCACTTCGTCCATCTTGCTGAGTCGTCGCACTTGTAGAATCCTTATGGACGCGGTGAAATCTTCTTCCTTGCAGCCATTTGCCATAGCTGAGGCGTTGCACGGGTCAAGAGTTTCAAGCTTCCCCTAAACCCTAAACCCTAAACCCTAAACCCTAAACCCTAAACCCTAAACCCTAAACCCTAAACCCTAAACCCTAAACCCTAAACCCTAAACCCTAAACCCTAAACCCTAAACCTTGGGAGCTGGGTTGGGAGTTTGAGGCTCAGTGCGAAGCCCTAGACCCTCAACCCTAAGCCCCAGACGCTTCTTGACTGGGAGATTCGGGCCTTGGGGTAGCTTAGGGCAGGTTTAGGTTTCAGCGGTGCAGGGTTTAACTCTTAGTAGCTGAATGAGCACACTTTACACTTTTTGGGATACTATAATCTCTACAAAACCAAACGTGTACACTTTTGTGGGCTTGTGAACTCAGCAACTAAGAACTGCTTAGGCCCTAGCAAGTAAAGACCTCATGAACGCACAGCCTCCGAATGCCATCCAACCCGGAGCTCCTTTGAGGCCAGCGGTTTGCGTACTCTGCGCAAATCGACCCCAACGCGGATGAGCAAAAGGACAGATCCTGGGTGTGGGCGCGGGTGTAGCCCATCCTGCACCCCCTGAACCTTGTAAATCCCGAGGTTTGAGACCCCAGTCGCAGTATTTTTGTTGGGGAGTTTTCTTAGCATCTCGCGAAGAAAGGCGCAAAGCAAACAAACCACTATTTCGGTCTTCATTCATACAACAGCCAAGCCTGTGACGTGGCTCTTCTGGCTACGGCACGCTGGCTCGCAACGAATTGGAACTCGCGGAGACGTGCCTTGTGTGTGAGAGAGAGACGGCGCCTGTATGCGAGAAACATCTAGGAACCACCCATACAACCCTCAACTAATTACAAGAAGCATCCGCAAACCCCTACAAAAACTAAAACAGATAGAGTGCGTCGCAGCTGGCAGGAGGGCGTGGTGGCGCAGGCAGACGCCGCTTGGCAGTGTGTGTGTGTGTGTTTTTTGTGTTTTTTCTCGTGAGCCCAGTTGCTACTATACTTTTAAGGGTTTGGCCGGTTTAGGTTGGGACGTTCCCCCTTATACTAACAGTCCGCAATCGGGATTGTGGGACCCCCTACTATGATTCCTACTAAGGACTGTTAGTATAAGGGGGAGCATCCAAAGGTTTGGGGTCCAGACTCGACCAACTTTCCTGGTTGACATCCATATCGAGGCTATGGCGCTCAGGATGTGCAGTCCCTGTTCAGGTACATGGATCCTGAAACCTCCTCCGCCCCGCCCAACCCCCCCCCCCCCCCCTTGCAAAAAAATATATATGTAAAAAATATATACATAGATAAAATGAAAAGAAAACAGACAAAAATGAAGCAAAGGGCTCAGCACCACTGCGTTGAGACGTTTGTCTACGGCCAGGATACCCACTAACTGTTGTGTCTACTTACAAGGGCGGTTTTGGATTGGGTTTAGGGTTTAGCGGTTTAGGATTATTGGTTTGGGGGTTTAGGCTTTAGGGTTTCGGGTAGCTGTTTGTGACGGTGCGATGTCTGACGACCTCTCACAGACGCTTCCTCTCCGACTAGCAAGACACATGTGCACCTATAAGCTCTAAACCCGGAACCCTAAGCCCTAAACCCCGATCAACTTGAAGTACTGTTGACAGAACCTCGGCTGAAAGTCTTCACCAAGAAGTCAGAAGGTGTCCTGATTTTTCACATCCTGACAGTTGAGAAGCCCCGGAACCCCAAATTTAAGTGCCGAGCCTAACCCCTCTGCCCTAAACGTCAAAGCCCTGAACCTCGAGCAATAAAATCCCCAGACCACGAAGCCCTAAACCCTCCTTAAAACAAAAAAAAAAAGCGTGTGGAAGCTGCGCTACGCACAGTCACCTCCCCCCCCCCCATGACCTACCCCTCGTGAAATCCGTGAAAATCTACCTGAGCTGCTTTAGGGTGTAGGGTTTAGGGTTTAGGGCTTAGGGCTTAGGGCTTAGGGTCTAGGGTTTAGGGTTTAGAGCTGCAAGCATACACAGTGCTTTCAGGTGTAGGGGATAATAACACCGAGAACATGCGTGGAAGTCCATGGGTCTCATGAGCTTATTCTGTTTTTTTGGGGTTCAGGGGTTTTTCGGGAAGAGAGAATCCAAGGGCATCTCTGATGAGGACGTGGACGTGATTGGCAGAAAAGGCTGACAGGCCCGAGGCGCTTCAGACACCAACCCTGAACCCTCTCAACTCAGCCCTATAAAGCCCTAGGGCCCTACACAAACCGTCAAAGTCACAAAGCCCCAAAGCCCAAAGGCTAGACCCGAGAGCCCGAAACCAAAAGAACCAAATTCCCCCTCCCCCCGCCTCCCATCCCCAATAATTTCAATCCGACACGTTCTCTTGTTGAAGTACATCTAAGAATCCCCCCAGCATGAAAAAAAGATGAGCACGAAATAAAGACCTAATGGGTTGTTCTCCAAATTAGGGTCCGTTTGAAAGTTGTTGCGTTCTCATTATAAGGGTGCTGCCTTATGTACGGGACCCAGAAAAGGACCCCAATTCAGAGAACTACCCTAATCGTACTAAGCTGCTCAGCTTTTGGAACCTCAGCTTGTCGGAACAGCGCCAAGGTCCTAGGTAAAGGTGGGCTAGCTGTCCTGACCCCAAAGCCCGTCCCCAGACTTTGCGGAGCTTGAATGCTCAACCCGTAACCCTAAACACAACCCGCACCCTAAACCCCAAACCCTAAACCCTACCTGCAGCGCCAACGCTAGATGCGGGTGCCTGATTGGGCGACCTGATCCTGAGGTTCGGGTCTGGGGCCGGGGGTTTAGGGTTTAGAGGGTTTGGTTTGGGAGGTTTAGGGTTAGCGGGGGGGGGGGGGGGGGGGCTAGGGTTAAGGTTTCGAGTGTAGGCTTTAGTTTTGAGGGTTTTGAGGGTTTAGGGGTACAAGGGTTAAGGTTTAGGGTGGAGGCTTCAGGTGTTAAGGGTTTAGGGCTTGGGGTTAAGGGGCCCGTTTACTTGCAAGAGGTGGTGGGGTGTGCTATTCCATTGCTTAACCCTAAACCCAAAACCCTACACCCTAGAAGCACCTGAAGTTGGCAATCACGTCAGCTGCTGCACTGGGTACATGTCAAACCATCTCGCTCGGTTTGGATTTGCAGTTTTAGGGTTTCAGGGTTTTGGGGGTTTGGGCTTAGTAGGTATGCGTATAGGGTGGGAAAATAAATACATAAATAAATATATTTCTAAAATATATTTACATATGTATATATGGGTAGTTGTCTTAATTAGGGCCCCTCTTGGGTGCCCTATAAAGTACCACACCCTTAAAAAGGGACCCCACAAGGGACCCGGAGAACTTCCCATATATATGTATATATATATATATATGTATATATATATATATATCACACATGTATATGAATGGGTCTAGGGCTTCTATGGCTTTGGGACAGGAAGGTTCAGGTTGTCCCAGAATGAGACACCCGGATGAGTCGCACAAGCGCAAAGCCGACATTGCAGCCTGTAGCGACTCACCCACTCGTGCCGGCTCTTACCTGAAGGTTCATGGGTACATATACTTGGGGCAATAAGGTGGTGGGTACTTTATAAGGTGGGGTGAAAGTGCCCAACAGAAGGTAAGAAAAGGTTCGTTCATGGGTACTTCTAAGGAGGGGTTCGAATCGCCCTACATGAAGCAATAGCCATAGTTACCCCCTACTTACAATCCCTGCGTATAAGTACCCAATGAACCTCCAAGTAGGCTGCCAAGCCAAAGGCTCGCCGCAGAAGGTACATAGTGTAACAGGTCCTTGGGGATTGACTTTGTCGGGTTTGCCACACAGGGTTTAGGGTGTAGGGTTTGGGGTCTAGGGTCCGACTCTCTCAGTCAAGCTCGTCATGCTCCATTTCAAGGAGTGCCGGCGTCATGAATCCTTCACTCCTGCGCCGTGCAACCCTAACCCTGAACCCTAACGAATGACACGGTTTCCAGATCGGCTCGTTACCAAGTGTTCTGTAGGGTTGGTACCCCAACCCAAAAGGCGGGTGCTGCGACTATCACATGGCTATCAAATTGTCAAAAAGTTACCTGTACAATAGCCGGAGGCTTTAGCGCCTTTCAGACTCATACCATAGAGGTCTTGGCACAGCATGCGCGGCTCGGTGCTAGCTGCGCGTGAAGACTCTCATCGCGCCACTTTGGGCCAAGACTGGCCCGACTCCCGCCACGTGAAAAGCAGCGCTGCCCAGGCATCTCAGCATGTGAGGGTGGCGAGTGTTGATACTTAGCCGACCGCGAAGGGTGGGTTTCGGGGTTAGGGATACTATCTTGGTGGCCCAGTCGTACCCTTTTCCCTTGTGTTTTGGTACAAGGTTCCCTTATAAAGTAACACGACCCAAAAAGGGTGCCCTAAATATGGTTGCTGGGCTACCAAGCTATAGCTAGACCAATTACCAATGGTATTCCCCTATGTCCCCTATATAATTGTACGATAATCATCCCCAAACCATTTTTTTGTGTTGGAAGGAACCCCCAACCGCAAACCCCCACTCTTGGGAAGTGACGCCAATCAAATACCCCAACCTTCGGCCACGTCTGAGGTGCGAGAGCTTTAACTATGCGTCGTACCTCCAGCAGTACGAGAACTCGTTGTCCGGAGCTCACGCCATGATGCCGAACACGAAAGCAGGGCCCAAGCGGTGCTTGAAGTGATTGGTTTAGGGTTTAGGGTTTAGGGTTTAGGGTTTAGGGTTTAGGGTTTAGGGTTTAGGGTTTAGGGTTTAGGGTTTAGGGTTTAGGGTTTTAGGGGCTTCCTGGAAGAGGGGTTTTAACAACCATCAATCCAAAGCTCGAATCTTGATCCTCCAATCACATTAGAAGGCAGGACTTGAGCAGGAAGGGGAACGGTTGTTGAGTTTTGCAAGGCTTGTCGGGCTTCTCAGCTGATCGAGTCTGTAGGTCTTAGCTTTCGAGCACTTTTCGAGCTTATATAGTTTCGGGAAGGTTCGGAGTGCCTCCAAGGTGATATGATTGGACCGCCAGCGATAGCCTCCTCCTGTTGCTCTAGCCTTCGGCTCCCCTGAGAAATTTTCGCCAAGCAGCAGAAGAGCCGTCCTGTTTGGTACTCCTACTGTTGGCTGCTGGGCAAGTTGCTTCGTTTTCTTGCATCCTGGGGTTGGGGAGTAGGGTTCAGGGTTGCAAAACTGACCCTACACAATAGAAAGAGAAAGAGAGAAAGAAACAGAGAGAGAGAGAGAGAGCGATAGAGTGAGAGAGCGAGAGAGAGGGATAAATAAATATGCATATATATATATATATAGATAGTCAATCCAGGGTATGGCTCCGCGTGGCATGTGAGGTCGCGCAAGCTCGCCGATCAATGGCTCAGCGGCGCAGTCCTCCTGCAAGGGAACCTAGCGGCTTTCCTAGGGCTTCTAAGACCCAGAGTCGACCCTTATTCCCTTGTTTAGGGTTTGTGGGTTTAGGGTTTAGGGTTTGTGGGTTTGTGGGTTTGTGGGTTTGTGGGTTTGTGGGTTTGTGGGTTTAGGTTCCCTCGCAAGTCCCTGTATGCCAGAGAGGCTGCCCTTGTTATTCCGAGGCTACCCTTTGGCCGACGAAGTCCCACCCGGCCTTGAAATGCCCGTCATCCTTAAAGATGCTGCAGCCCACGGGTTTAGGGTTTAGGGTTTAGGGTTTAGGGCAGGATGTAGAGGCACCCCCCAAAGCCCCTAAAGCCCCCCCCGCCCCCCCCAAGGTCATCAGTTTTGAAGCCAGTCATCCCAAGACCCGAGACGCCCCGAGATTGTTCCAAAGCCGGCGGTTGAGGTCTGTTTGTTGTAGGTGAAAGCTTAGGGTGGTCGGGTTCAACGTCTACGGCTTAGGGTCTTCATGGCTCTACTGCGTGAAGCTCCGAAATTTTGAATAGGGCCACCCCCGGAACCCCGGTGCAACCCTAAACCCTCCACCCTGCTTGGCGGTTCAGGGTACTAACAACCCCAATTAACACTGTACTTCTAAGCTCCCGAAGTCCTCTAAGTAGGTTCTAAGTAGACCAGAAACCTACTATTTGCTTGAGAACCACCCCCAAAAATATCAAGGGTACTATAGGAACCTTACCTTTTCCTTTTTGGGGTTACTTGTAGGGTTTAGGTTTAGGGTTTAGGGTTTAGGGTTTAGGGTTTAGGGTTTAGGGTTTAGGGTTTAGGGTTTAGGGTTTAGGGTTTAGGGTTTAGGGTAGCAAAGTAGTGAGCCTCCCCCCCCCCCCCCCCCCCCCACAAAGGATGGCGAGCAACGTGAAGAACCAAGCCGAGGCTTGCCCTCCATAAGTCAGTGAACTAGGGCTTATATAGTAGGGTTTAGGGTTTAGGGTTTAGGGTTTAGGGTTTAGGGTTTAGGGTTTAGGGTTTAGGGTTTAGGGTTTAGGGTTTAGGGTTTAGGGTGCTCGAAGAGGGGCAGTCTAGGACCCAGAGTAGGCGCTTATTCCCTTTTTTAGGCCTTGGCCTCCCTGATAGGCCCCTTGAAGCCAACAAAGGTAGTTCCCGACGTCATGGTCCCCTTTTTCTGGGTTAGGCCCTTGAGGGATAATGCACATGTTTTCCCCTCGTGGGCCTTAATCGGCTCATATTCAATAACATTCTTCACAATACCAACTACTATAGCATCTTCCAACAGTTCTGCCCGGATGAAGGGCCCAAATACAGCCAGCAGATTTCACCCCCCAAAAAGATCCCCCCAATTCCCGATGGTGGGTTTCTATCTCTGCGCCTCTGGAAGTGGGGGGGGGGGGGGGCGGGGGCAGCGGCCACCTGGGAGTCCAATCCGGAGATCCGGGACGGAGAGCCGGAGCGGAACAAGGTCCTTGGCCATCTTTCCGTGGCGCTGGATTAGGGTTGTTTAGGCTTTAGGCTTTGCTTAGGGTTTGGGGTTTAGGGTTTAAAGTTTGGGGGTCTTGGGCTGCACAGCGGGGCGAGTTTCGAGAACCGGCCACAGATCCTGGAATTTCTCGGAATGGCGCTCTTTGAATCGCCAGCCCTGCCCGTTGATGGCATGCCTCCTCCGGGATGGACCCAGGCCTCCGACCCTGAACGTGCCAATTTAAGATTAATTCAACATACCCCCGGGCCCAGGGCCCAGGCCCCTTACCTATAGAAGGAGATTAGAAGGAAGACTTTTCCATACTCCCTTAGTTTCTTCTAAGGCTTATAAGCCCTCAGCTGTTTAGGGCTCAGGGTTTAGCATGCCAGTCTCTCTTTTGCAGGCCTTGCTCGAAGGTTAAGAGAGATTCCGCCAAGATAGCCTTGTTCCACGCCTGGAAGGCTTGGGTTTAGGGTTTCGGGTTTATAATGGGGTTAGGGTTTTGTTGGGGCGCAAAAACGATTCCAAGAACTGCTATTAATTGCCTTGACGGCTTGCCGAGCACTCTGTTTCTAGGACACCCCCCCCATTAATATCCTTCTTTCGTTCTGTTACCAGCGAGGATGTTGAATAATAAAAAAGGGAGTGAGGGGTGGGGGGGGGGGGGGGGGGCAGCGTAGCCAGGCGCGATCAGAGCCTGAACCCTAGGACCCTACACTTGTCGTGCGCCACGTGTTGTTAGCAACAGAATGTAGTGGGGATGATAGATGTACTCAAATTACACCTTAAAGCCACAGCCCTATAAGCCCTCAGGCCCCAAACCCTGCTTCACAACCCTTAACCTTTGAGGGTTGAAGGTTCATGGGTACTAAGAAGTGGGGTTATACGTACTTTAAATAAGGTTCTAACCATAGTTACCCCTACTTTACAAGAACCCATGAACCTCCAAGTAAGCCTTTAACCTCCAAAAGGGGTCGCGGGTCTTGCGCGCCAGGTGGAGGCCGCTTGGAATGAGGTCGATCGCAATGGAGCCATGACCTGATTGAGACGATGTCTGACGTTCAAGTTTCGGAGGTTTGGTTTATTTTGGTTTTTTCTTTTTGGGGGGGGGGGGGGGGGGGGGGGGGGGGGGGGCTTTGAGGGGTCAGGGTTTAGGGTTTAGGGTTCAAGATATTGGGCTTGTAGGTTTTTGGGGCAGGGATGTCGAGCTCACGGTGTTGCGGGTCCAGGACTCTGGGGCTTCACGGTCTCAAGCAGCTGGCCCTTAAACTGGGGTTTTCAAAAATCGGGGTACCCTTTTTGGATTTTCGGTTATATGTGGTTGCGCCCCCGCCCTGTGGGGTGGTTGTGGGGTGGTTTTAGGGTTTTTGGTTTTGGGGTTCTAGGGTTTTAGGGTTTTATGTATACACATGTGTATGCTTATGCCCCGTATGTCATTCAGAATCGCCCAGCACGGGTTCAGCCCATATTCGAAGGCCATGCTCTTTTCGATTGTTGTGCCGGCTTTTTCTTGGATCTCGGAGCGTTTCCGACCCGGCCAAGTTTGACACTGAACGCCTCAAGCCTAAACCCCAAGCCCTACCTCCAAAGCTCCCTGCGCTCCCAAAGAGAGCCAGGCGACGGCAAGCTGAGCTATCAGGAGCCGGGGCCTCAGTGGAGCCCACCTCTGTGATAATGAAGGGTGCCCACCAACCATGGTGATCCCCACCGCCATGGGTTTAGTGTTTAGGGTTTCGGGTTTACGGTTTGGGGTTGCCACCACCATCAGCATCACCATACCATGTCATGTGCAGCAGCATCAGCATCACCAAGGTCTAAGTCTCAGAGCAGTGAGGCACCGCGAACGCAGCCGTGATCCGTGACACGCCCTCACGCCTCTTCTTCTGTGGCTCAAGGGGGGAGTTAGCAGGGCCTCCAACCCTGAGCCCCTGGAGCCCTGAACCGTACACCTGAGTTTGGCATCGGCCAACCGTCATCCCAGTTGGTGCAAGGTCCTCCGCTCGGGAGCGGTTTCGGCTTCGATGCTGAGGTCAGGGAGCTGCGCTCGACCCACTATCTTCGCCCTGCTGGCCTTGTCAGTGGCTCTCCAGCCTCTGTCTGCTGGATCCCCACCCTCCATCTGGGAGGGCTCGGCAGTGGAGTCTGTCCGCTGGATGCCAACGGGCACCGCCCTGATATCGGGATCAGATGACCTGACGGTGCGTGTTTGGAATGCCAGCACAGGGCAAAGCTTGCAGATTCTTGCTGGCCACACGGATACTGTTTGGTCGGTTGCCTCAAGTCCGGACGGGAAGCATATCGCTTCCTGTAGCGCTGACCTGACGGTCAGAATCTGGGATGCGACCACTGGGAAGTGCCTGCACACCCTTGCTGGCCACACCGATGACGTGCGCGCAGTGTCCTACAGCCCAGATGCCAAGACCGTGGCCTCTGGTGGTTGGGACCACGTGGTCAAGATCTGGGATACTGCCACGGGCGGGTGCTTGCAGACCCTACAGGGCCACAAGAACGATGTTTGGTCTGTTGCCTACAGTCCGGACGGCAAGCGCCTGGCCTCAGGAAGCTCGGATCGCTCCATAAAGATTTGGGACCTCGCTACTGGGCAGTGCCTGCAAACGCTCCGCGGCCACAGGGACTATGTGCGCTCAGTGGTCTATAGCCCCGATGGTGCGCACATCCTATCCGGCAGCGATGACCAAGCCGTCAAGCTTTGGGATGCGGCCCAGGGCACCTGTCTTCGCACTCTTCGAGGTCACAGCTACTACGTCTGGTCCGTAGCCTTTCGCCCTGATGGCAGGCGCGTGGCCTCGGGGAGCTGGGATAAGACCATCAAAGTTTGGGATCCCGTGTCTGGCAAGTGCTTGCAGACCCTCACTGGTCACACGGATGTGATCGACTCAGTGGCCTACAGCCCAGATGGCACTCTTGCCTCAGGGAGTGATGACGGCTCCATTCGGACCTGGGATCCCAACAGCACCAACCACCGCATCTTCAACGCAGCGAGCGAAGGCTTGACACGCAAGCCAAGGCAGTCCAAGAGTAAGGCTGGGAAGGCAGTCGAGGTCGTGCTGTGAGCACTTCTGAAAGAAGGGAGGGTATGAAAAAGCTCCCGCGTGTGATGACTGTAGGAGCGCGCTTGCTTCTTGATTGCCGGCGCTTGAAGAGATGGTGTAACCCTAGAACCTAAACATACCCAAACCCCAAAGCCGAGAATGCAGTAGGCCCCAAGGCTGCAAGGTGTGTAATCCCTGCCCCCTAATATTAAACCCCCCCTACCCCCTAAACTTAAAACCCCTCCTTATAGCTCCATTACAGTATTAGGGGGGGTATTTAAGTATTTAATATTAGGGGGTAGGGGGGGTTTACAAAGGGATGAGAGCCTTTTACCACGGCCCGGCTTAAGTCGTCTCAAGTTTCAAAGTGAATGCACACGGGTGGTGTCTGAATGAAAGTCAAGTCCTGGGTCCTGACAGTATCCCAGCACAGTCCCTACAGCTTAGCCTGCCCTTGAAGTGCTTTGGATTCTTGGCTCCATGGTTCAGAACAGCCCCCCACACACACGCCTCTCTAAACTGAACTGAAAGCAAGCCGGACGCAGTGCCCCAAACAATGTTGTTTAGGAGCTGGGGTCCGAGGCTTGGGGGTTTAAGGTTTAGGGTGTAGGGGTTCAGGGTTTACGGGTTTGGTTTAGGGTTGAGGGTTTTGGGGAGCACTGCCACGCACCTTCATGCCAGCAGCGAGAATTTCTCTGCACAACTGTGCCTTTTCGGATACCTTATAAGGCTCCGTGGTATAGCAGGAGCACTATTTGGAGAGCCGTTCATATACATAACTTCTCTTTCATGCCCCGTATCGTGTGAGAATTGCGGCAGCGCCGCAAGCTGCAGCCATGCCCGGCACTTATTGTGGCTTCAAGTTGGCTTAGCCAAGCTAGCATAGCAGTCTCCAGCACGCCAATAGCAGAAAGAGCATCTATGGGTGTGGCTGGTCAGTTGGCAGTGTTGAGCTGCCTGCCTCTTACGATGGCGGGCTGGTACATCGGCAGGAGCGGGGCGAGAGAGGACTGCAACGCCGTGTGCGCGGGCATCGGCCCTTGCAACGCCCAAGCACTCAACGACATCATGCGCTGCAGCCCAGGTCAGGTTAAGACCTTCCTTGCCGGCATTGCTGCCTTCCGCCGCGTCAATGATACTGCAGGGTCCGAGCAGACTACATCCTATGACTGCTCGCAGTCCATGACAGTTCTTACGGATTCGAACGCGACCGTCGCGCCGTTTGCAGATGCTCATGGCCTGTGCGGGTACTCCACGAATGGAGCTGCCTCATGCGACAGCCAACCGCCCCTCCCCGGCTGGGTTCGCCATTGCTGTTGCGAGGAGCATGACGGAGACTGCGCCGTCAGCAAGTGTCCTGACTCCCCGGAAGCCTGGGACGCCATCCCCTTGGGTTCGACAGTCGCTCTTACCGTTGCGCCTGATGCGACGGTGACGGAGAGCGCTGGGGTGCACCCTGTCCTCACGGTACTCTTTGTTGCACTGGGGGTTCTTGCCACTCTGACTGGGCTAGCTTGCATCATCTACTTCCTCCTCTTCGCCATCACCATGTTGCGCATGAGACAGTTGGGCCTCCTGCCCGCGAGAAGGGCGTTTATGGTTCAGGGTTTACAAACACAAACCCCGAAGGAGTTTCTCATCTGAACCGAAGGAGGACTGCGCCTAGAAAACCCAAAGCCCAAGCCTAAACCCGACAGTACACCCAGCTCGTGAGCTGAGAAGGTTCCCTTCCCGAAAGCACCTGAAAGTTCTGTCCCGCAGGCTTCTCGAATGTCTGAACAAACAGCCCGTCCTTACTGTAGCTTGCTGGGAACCCTAAGCCCAGGGGACTCAGAGGAACTTGAGTCTTGAGGGTTTGGGGCTTTCCGAGTCAGGGCTTCGGGCTTCCGACCCCCCCCTTTCCCCCCCCCCGCCCGCCCCCCCCAGTTCGGTAGAGGTTTTAATTGGGCGGGTACGGGATCGGGCTTTGGGGTCAGGGTTTTTTTAGCATTCGGGGTGCTTGCCAGTGCTTGCATATTTGTTAGGCGGAAGGGATGAAGGTTAAGGTTCGGGGTTTAGGAGGAGGGTTTAGTAGAATTCCGACCAAGGACACCTGGACGCAAAAAGCGAGCTTCCTCTGTGACGAGCACGTCCACTCCAGATGGGACGTGAGGAGGTGCAAAGCCAAAGCCGCGGCAGCGCGAAGCGTGGCCGTGCGAGGCTTCGACAATCAGGGTCACTTTGCTAGATCAACCTGGGGCTGCCCCACTTGGTAGCTGAATGAGTACACACACTTTTCGGGATGCTAGAATCCTCTCGAGAACTGAAAGTGTACACTTTTTGGGGGCTTATGAGCTCAGCAACTGTTTTTAGAATTTTTGGGAATAGCTTTTGGTGATGAGTGATCCCTGCTTCTGTGAAGCCTCTCTGTGTGGAAGCACTTTCACCTGCATGCAATTTTGACATTGCCAACCACAAGCGGCATCAATTTTGAAGGGATGTGTCTCATCCCCTTACCCTAAACCCCAAACCACAAACCCCAAACCCCAAACCCTTAACCGCAACCCTGTATAAACCTTTGCTAACCCCCCTCTCTGACCTCTGTAAGGTTAAAACCACAACATGGGCCCTCCTCCTTCTCGGGCAGAATCAGGAAACCCTTGAAAGTACTCGATGTGTGTCTATATACAGATATCCAACTATTGCAGTAAGGATGTATGCTTAAGAATATCTATGTATATAGGGCAAGCTGTAGGTATACGAGGCCCCACGACACCATGAGGAGGCTCCTTGGCTCAGACTTACGAAATGGTGGGTGAGCCTTCGAATTCGTGAATGCACCCCGAGAGTTGTCGACAGCCCGGTGGATCACTCCTGTTTCTATGTACGCCCCCGTCAGTGTTCTAGATTTATCTACGCACATGGCCGCCGATCCCGAACCTTCCCTCTGGCTGTAGAGTGCTGTTTGGCGCGGCTGTACAAGCCGTGCTTTGCCCTGCGAGCACCATCGGTCATGGCAGGTTCTGAACCTTGGGGGCCAAAAGCCCCCCACCCCCGAATCAGGTCATTTATCTCATGACCGATCTGCGTGATAGAGATGTGTATGAACCAGAAACACTTGTTAGGTTCGTTTGGCCCCCAAGGAAGGAATCCAGCCACTCATCAGGCCACCAACAGTCAAAACTCCTCCATGTTGGGCTTGGTCAGAAAGTTGCATGTGGCTCGAGCGCAGGCTCAAGCATACTGTGCTCCTTTTGACAACGTAGTCGTAGGCCTAGCTTGTGCACCCTGTCTGGGGCTATTTAGTTTTTGAAAGTTGAGGCACGGAACCGAAACAGGATCCTATTAGAGTGGTCCTGTGTGCGCATTCTCCCTGAGCCTTGGCCCCATCGCGTGGAGGAGAGAAAGAGTTGCCTGTAGGAATGCAAGCGGGATGATAACCGCAAGCACCCTAACCCCTAACCCCCAACAATTTCAGCTGCAGGCGGCTGTTCCGCCGTGCCTGAGAAGCACACGAAGCTTGAAGCCCTCAAGCCTAGACTTCAATGTTACGGAAGGTAGAAGGTGTCACCCTCAACAGCAACTCCTAACCTAACCTGTCACCCTAAACCCTAAACCCTAAACCCTAAACCCTAAACCCTAAGCCCTAAGCCCTAAACCCTCAACCCTAAACCCTACAAAGCCCTGAACCCAAGGCTGCGCCCGCTTCTTCGGAACAGTGCCCTGCAGCTCACCGACGCAGATTTGGAGGAGGAGCGGACTTTTGGGACTCTGAGCCTCCTCCTTCCGGTGTTGGATGCCACGTAGCCTTTTTTGGGCTTAGGGTTCTCTACCGGAACCCCAGACCCTAAACCCCGAACCCTAAACCCTAAACCACCAGCCCTCAACCCTCAACTTGGGGGACGCCTTCTATATATCTACATATTGAGACAAACCAATGTGTAAGTACAGAGTTGTAAGCATGTGTGCATATGTATGTATAACGTATGTCAATGTGTACATGAAGAAATAATTAAATATATAAGTATATATATATGTGAGGGGACATATATATATATATATACATTTGTATGCATTCTGGCGCATCAATGCACGTAAGGTTCGCTACTTGCAGGTTTTTGCAGCTGTGGCTATTCAGTTTTTTTCTGGTTCCTTTTGCACCCCTACGAAGTGCAGGGGTTCATATGGTCTTATGTGATCACTCTGCATGGAGGACCGAGTCTACTCTGTGCTTTCCAAGATTGACAAAGACGACTCGGGATTTGCAAGGAACTCAATTCCGGGCTCCTTGGGTTCTTCCAGTGAGGGCTTAGTGTTTAGAGTTTAGGGTTTAGGGTTTAGAGTTCAGGGTGTAGGTATTGTTCTAACTTCGGGTGCCTGCATTGGGGACCTTGTGATAAGGAAGAAGACATCGGCTGCAGTATCCAGGTTCTGACATGGTGCCGCGTTCTTGCTCTAGAGTCTTGTGGCATGTGGGCCTGATGAGTTCCCTAAACCCGAAACTTTTAAGCTCTTCCGGGGGTTTTGTGGGTTCAGGGTATAGGGTTTAGGGTTTAGGGCTTTGGGTTTCAGCACGACGAAACCTGTTTCCAGGCTCAGGCTTGTGCTAAAGTCCCTTGAGGCCGGCTTATTTTCCGAAATCCGACTGCACTCCGGCAGCTCTGGGTTAAGGGGGGGGGGGGGGGGTTTGGGGGGGTGTAGGGTGTAGAGGGCAGGGTTTAGGGTTTAGGGTTTGGGGTTTAGGGTTTAGGGTTTAGGGTTTAGGGTTTAGGGTTTAGGGTTTAGGGTTTAGGGTTTAGGGTTTAGGTGTAGGGTTTCGGGGGTTTGGAGGGTTTGGGGGGGTTTAGGGGATTTAGGTTGTTTGGGGGGTTTAGGGTTGGTTTAGGGAGAGTGCACGACGAGCAGCCCACAAGCGCCAACATCATCTGAATGATGCCCGAGGTGGGTTGATCCCACTCCGCACAAGCCTCATCCTAACCCCGAAGACCAGAAAACCCGAAAACCCGAAACCCGAACCCTAGACCTTATGTGCACCACCCCCCCCCCCCCCCCCCCCCCCCCCCAATAGGTCCACCATAACATGAACCCCAAAGGTCTGCAAGGACGAGTTCGTCCAGGCTGTGACCCGCCCCGGGCCTAACGCCAGCGCCAGGTTCGGAGTTGAGTTCTCTGCAGGCACTAGAACCCGGAGTATGCCCTTATCCCCTTTTTTGTTATAGGGTTTAGGGCCCCTTATTCTAATGCCCTTTAACGCAAAAAGGGCACCCTTTTTCATGCCTAGGTTCCTCTTGGGTCTAGGGAAGGTTAAGAGATTCCGGGCTCAGGGGCTTCGGATGTCCTCCTGGGCTTTAGAGCTAAGAGCTTGTGGGGTGTAGCTTCGGTTTCCGGCTTGGGGTTGAGCATGTCAACCTACAGGTCTTTGAAACGATGGTCCCACGTTTTAGGGTTCCTTAGAAGAATTAGGGAGCCCAATCTTGATCGGAATGACACGGCCGCCCCTTTCTGTGCCTCCCCCATGTTCTTTAGCAGCCTACACACTTCACTCCAAGTGGCAGAGGTGCGCTGAAGTTTCAAGAGGTTCTGAAGCAGTGCGCAGAATCAGGACGCCGATCTAGCGGTGGGCTGTTTAAAAAGTATATGATCCTCGAGGGACCCCCCCACCCTGTTATACCCCACCAATGCTAAGGTTCTGATCCAGGATAGGAACCGCAAATTTCATTTTCGGAAACCCCCAGGCCTTTGGGCGTGAGTTAATTACTCTGCGACTGCGTGGTCAGGGCTTTCAGCTTTGATGAGCCGGTTTGGATTCGTTGGGCACAATAACCATGAGGTGTTGGGTACCTGATGTTCGCTAGTTTAGGGCTCCGGGTCTAGCAATGGAGAGTTTACAGTGTGGTTCACCTTCCGACGGGGTTGTGTTTTTGCAAGATGCTGGTTTCGCCTATGCGGGAGTGCAGAAGGTGTTGTTTTTGGTTTTTGCGCCCCGGGGGGGGGGGGGGGGAGTACCATCAGCACCTTATTGTTGTCGGTTGTTCTATTGGCAAGGTTGTCCGCGTAGCCTTCTCTCACTCACGTTGAGACTGAAATACAGGTACTGTCCTTGCATCAAAAGCGTGCTGTCTTTGCCATGGTGGTGATGATGATGGTGGTGATGATAGTGATCATGATCATGACGATGACGATGACGATGACGATGTGAAGGTGATAACGGTAGCATTTGCTGTCATATTGTGCGGTTATTATTCCTGATACGTGTTTTTCGCGTTTCCCTTCTTGGTATTACCGTAGACCATAGCTGCTCGTGCTGTCAGTTCTATCGAGTAAGTCTTCAGCAGTCCCTTTACAGAATGTTGGGGTGTAGGGTAGGGTTTAGGGTTTAAGGTGAAGATTTAAAGGATCGGGCCGTTGAAGGCCCAAACAGGCCTCAACCGACAAACAGCTGGTGCCCGTCCGAAGCCCCCCCCCCCCCCCCAGACCCTAAACGCTAAACCCGAAACCCGAAACCCTAAACCCTAACCCGAAACCCCAAAACCCTAAACCCTAAACCCTAAACTCTAAAGCCCCTTCTCAAAGGAGAGTCGCCTGATGTGAGCCCACTGAGCCTTCGTCATGCTGGGGAGCTCGGGCAGTTCCCCCCATCCCTAAGCCCTCCTCGGGCAATTTTTGGGGCCTCGGGGTTGAGATAGAGGGTTTAGGGTTTAGGGTTTAGGGTTTGGGGTTTAGGGGTTTAGGGTTTAGGGTTTGGGGTTTGGGGTTTAGGGTTCAGGGGTTAGGAGTTTAGGGTGTAGAGTTTACAGAGTAGCAGTCATCAGGATATAATCTGGCCCTGTTAGAGATCATGTGTGGCTGTTCCTTGTGGTCACTTTCTTAAAGGTGCCCTCCATTGCAGAGCCATCCTCTGCGGGTCTTTCTACCTTTGGTGCCGTGCACTTCATGTTTTGTTTTATAAAATGCCCTTCGCTCTCTCTCTCTCTCTCTCTCTCTTTTCTTTTTTTGCGTTTTGACCCTTAAGCCTTCGGGTCGGAGGTGATACCCTTTTTTTGGGCCGGGGAAACACATGAACCTTCAGCCAGCACGGTGTTCCGCCCAGGGTGCGAAGTCCGAGAAGCGGCGATCCCGAAGCAGGATGCTGAGGCGATAGCC